TTTCTTTTTTTAGATTTATTTTTATCGGAAAGTCAGATTTACAGAGAAAAAGAAAGACAGAGAGGAAGATCTTTCGTCCACTCCTCAAATGGCCGCAACAGCCCGAGCTGAGCTAAGCTGATCTGAAGCCAGGAGCCAGGAGCTTCTTTTGGGTCTCCCACATGGGTGCAGGGTCCCAAGGCTTTGGGCTGTCCTTGACTGCTATCCCAGGCCACAAGCAGGGAGCTGGATGGGAAGTGGAGCAGCTGGGATATGAACCAGTGCCCATAGCGAATCCTGGCACTTACAGGGGGAGGATTAACCAATTGATCCGTGGCACTGACACCGTCCCCTCCCCAAGGTGAACTCACATTTAAACAGCATCCACGATGGAGCATGAGCCTCAGGGGCGATCTCCATTTCCTAAGATGACAGTTGTTTGATCATGAACATCCAGTCCCCAGATCCAAAAGTGATATAAACAGGCGGGGTGTTTACACCACAGCTGTCCTTTCACATGCTACCCATCATTGCGCAAACACGTCCTGCCTTTGCAGAGTTTCTCAAAGCTGCTCATAGGTGGCTGGGCTGAGAGGGCTGCATCTCTGCTCATGGGACTAAGGCCCAGCTGGGTCTTCCCATTGGAAATTTGGGGGAATTGGGCGGGGGCTTGCATCTTGGAAAGATCAGCAGGAAAAAAAAAAAAAAAAGGCAATTTACCAAATTATCTCTGCCTTTCAGATTTGACATTTTAAGTCACAAGTTCCAGGAATTCCCCTTTGTCCAATCTGGGCTGCTTGCTTGGCCCTACCTACAAGGGAAATTTAGTTTTGCTTTGTTTTTAAACGTTTTAAAGAAGATTTATTTACTTATTTGAAAGCCAGAATTTTATATATGTTAGAGGCATAGAGATGCAGAGAGAGTGCTCTTCCATCTGCTGGTTCACTCCCCAGAATGGCTACAACATCTGAGATTGGGCTAAACCAGACAGAGCCAGGAGCCTGGAACTCCATCCAGGAGTCCCACAGGAGGGTAGGGACCCAAGCACTCAAGCCATCCTCCACTGCTTTTGCCAGGCACAGTAGCAGGGAGCTGGATCAGAAATGGAGTGACCAGGGCTCAAACCTGTACCCATATGGGATGGCAGCACTGCCAGTGGTGGTTTAACTTGCTCCAACTCAATGCCCATTTCTTTTAAGATTTGTTTTATTTTTATTTGAAAGGTAGATACACAGAGAGGAGGAGAGACAGAGAGGAAGATCTTCTGTCCACTGATTCACTCCCCAAGTGGCCACAAAGGCTGGAGTTGCGCTGATCCAAAGCCAGGAGCCAGGAAGCCTCTTTCAGGTCTCCCACATGAGGGAAGAGTCCCAAGGCTTTGGGCCGTCCTCGACTGCTTTCCCAGGCCACAAGCAGGGAGCTGGATGGGAAGCATCCAGATTTGGTGCCCATATGGGATCTCAGCACATGCAAACGAGGACTTTAGCCACTAGGCTAACACGCTGGGCCCACAATGCCCATTTCTGTGAGAAAATAATGATGGTGGTCAACAGGAAGGATGGCGTTGGGTGCCAGGTGAGCACAGACTCAAAGCCCTCAGGTTTATGCCTCGTGAGCAGGTGGGCTCCACAGGTGCAGGGACACAGACACATTCCACTTGCCACTGTGCTCCACTCCTTACAAAGCTAATCCTAAAACTTACCTTCCTTGTGGGCTGGAGTCTTACAGCCTGCTTTGTAAACAAATGAGGAGTAATAGGAGAGGAGACAGCTGTAAGAAACAGACTTCTCCTGCAGATGTGAACTATAGGAGCAAAACGAGAGCATGGCATTTCTGGCCCTGGAGTGGCTTGTGGAATGGAGCACACACACGCCCGCCCAGGACCCCGGCCAGGTAGAGAATCCAGGTCCTTTCTGAGGTCTCCCCATCGGCGCCTGCACACACAGAACCGGAAAAACCCCGAACACATGCCACCAGATGGTGCCAGCTCCAGCTAGCGCTTCACCCCAGCTTTGCTGTGATGAACCCCAGGGCTGGGAGGCAACTTACCCCTCAGCGTCCCGGCGCTCCTGCTCCATAGCTTTTCAAATTGTGGAACCGTGGGCCTCAGGGCTATGCTTTTCCAAGTTCCTTGTTTGCCGGGGCTAGCTGCTGTGACTTTAAATGTCACTTTCAGATTAACTGGCCCCAGCTGTTTTAAAAATAGCCCCGGATCACTTAACCTTCAAGGCACCGGACGCGGCAGTGACGAAAGGGACGAGGGAACAGACGGACCCCATTGCTGCCCACCCAGATCCCTCCTCTTGGATACCTAAGCCCCGATTCACCATCTAAAGTCCAGGCTGTCGTAAGCCACGGAGACAAGGTCATTTTGGCCCGCCTGTGGGCCATGCTGAAAATTAACTGCCCACAGGTGGCTGGTCACTCAACAACAAGGGCAACTGTGAAAAGGCCTGAACGGGAAAAGTCATCACAGCTGTCACGGCGGCCTGATAGATTTGGCAGCGCCCCCTGGAGGCCCGCCACTTCATGGCACGCTTCCCATTTCTTGTGACTTAAGAGCAGGGTGGCGGGGACCCGAAAACACCCATTTACATTCAGGATTGCTGGCTCTTGCTAGGGCTGAGTGCAGCCGACTGCACACACGCCGCTGCAGTTCAAGAACGTTCCACAATGTGGGGAGGGCTGGAGGCATGTGGGACAAAGGTCACTACACAAGCAGGTGGTAGGGGAGCAGAGGCCACACAGAAACGCATTGTGCTCAGCAAAGGAAACGAGCTCCGCACCTTAGCGGCCCAGATCCCCGTGAGCGCGGCTGCAGGTGCGTTTCCCTGGCAGGTGCAGCTGGCAACGATGAGAATGGTGGGGGTGGGGCAGGGTTGTGGGGGAGGACGGGGAGAAAGGGGTGGATTGGGATGGAAGGCCTTCATTGCTGGGCTTACTTCCCAATAAAGGAAGGTCTTGGACTTTTTGGGATTTTCACCACTGCAGGTAGAAGCAGGAAGGGGACTTCTTTTGCTTGTTGTATTTGAGATCTCTCTCTCTTTAAGATTTACTTATTTTTATTGGAAAGGCAGATTTACAGAGAGGAGATAAAAAGAGAAAGATATTCCATATGCTGGTTCACTCCACAAGTGGCCACAATGACTGGAGCTTTTTCTGTGGCTCCCATATGAGTGTAGGGTCCCAAGGCTTTGGGCCGTCCTCGATTGCTTTCGCAGGTCACAGGCAGGGAGCTGGATAGAAAGTGGAGCAGCTGGGATTATAATCTATGCCCATACAGGACCCTGGCGCGTTCAAGGTGAGAACTTTAGCTATTAGGTTACTGCACTGGGCCCATCAAAATCCATATATTTTTAAATTGTTTTCCCTTGGCCTCTCCGACGTCACCTGGTGAATACGACAGGAGTGTGGGAGATCTTTCTCTCTGTCTCTCCTCCTCTCTGTATATCTGCCTTTCCAATAAAAATAAATCTTTAAAAAAAACACACCAGAGACTCTCACAAAATTACTTTATACCTTGGGACTCCCAGTATATTTGCATATGTGAGCAGAGGCATTGGTGGTATAGTGGTAAGCATAGCTGCTTTCCAGGGTATTTGCACAACTGATTTCTCTTATGTTCAAAATTCTGAGAGCCATCGGTACATCACCCTTTACGTACCTCGAGGGCTGGGGCCTCCTCTGGGTCCCCCACACGGCAGCAGGAGCCCACGCACTTGGACCATCCGCTGCGGCTTTCCCAGGTGCAGTAGCAAGGAGCTGAATCAGAAGCGGAGCAGCTGGGACATGAACCGGCACCCTTATGGGGAAGGATTAGGTTACGCCCCTCAGCCAGCCACATTCACATTTCTAATCCTATCCTCCTGCTGATGTACATTGTACCAGAAACCCAGATGAATTCCTGGCTCATGGCATCTGCCTGGCCCAGCCCTGATCCTTACAGACATTTGGATAATAAACCACTGAATGGAAGATCTCTTTTCTCTTTGAAATAAAATGAAAATTGGTTTTTTTTTGTTAGATTCAGAATGACTGTCACTACACTTTTGAAATTTAACACATTTAAATAATCATGCACTTTTTTTATTATCAATGGTATAATTGGGTCTCCTTGCTCTCTCCTTACTCATAATACTACACTGGGGTATCAAAACCTAATTGGAGGTGGGTGTGTGATTCTTGGTATTGTGACATAGGAAGTTAATCTGCAGCTTGCAATTCCCAAAACAAGCGCACATCAGAGCCAGCCCAAATACCAGCTGCTCTGCTTCTGATCTGGGGCCCTGGGAAAGCAACTGATGACGGACTGAGCACACGGGTGTGGTGTCGGAAGCCAGGATGGAGCTTCTGGCGCCATGGCTCTGGCCTTGTCCAGCACTGGCCATATGGGAGGAAGGGAGGCCAACCAGTGCATCCAAGATACCTCTCCCTGTCGCTCTTTCAAGTGCGTTTCTAAAATAACTTAAAAAAAAAAAAAAACTATCACCTTTCTCCTTGGGTAAATTAGTTGTTTATTTGTAAGCGAAGGTCCCAGACGTTGTAGGGTAAACCCTGAAGGCCTCTTCCTTCCATTAACACCTGTGTGCTGACCACAGAATTCTGGAGTCCTCTGCCACAGTGTGAATCGAACTATTCCCAAGCAAAAACAAGGTCCCCACATCCCTGCTCCCACAGCAAGTCCAGCTGCTAGCCTCTTGTTTTCCCTGAACACAATTTTCTTGCCCACGTCAATGCAAAGTCCCTCAAGACTTTGCTGGCCAGAGCCTATACCCTCTGGGGCTGCAGCAGAGGGGCCCCACTTAGGATGCTCATGGCACTAGAGTCTGGGTGTCAGCTCTGCCACCTCTCCAGTTAGCCCAGAGAGGCCCTGTTCAGGCCCAGCGAAGGGGACCCAGAAGGAAGCAAGGCTCAGAGTGAAGGACACGGATGCTGCCATGGAGACCAGGGTGGAAGGAGGAGACAGGTGCAAGGGTAGCCCCAAGGACAGCTACAAACGCTACCGAACACCAGGTACCAAGTGAAGCTTCAACAATCCTTTATTAGCAACTCTGCGCAGGATTAACTCAGCCAGCACTAACAAGATCAGGGATGGAAGTACACACTCAAGATGGCCTCTTATAAAAGGATTGAAAAAGTATCTTCCTGCTTAAGCATATTCGTTAAAAAAAATTATAAAAAAATAGAAGAAAACTTCCAGTGTTGTAGAAAACATAGCCAAGTGACTTCAGCCCATAAAAATACAGCATGTGGCAGTCGCTGCTGCCTTAAAAAAAGAAACAAAACTTCAAGTCAGGATATCTGGAGGAAAACACCTCCGCCCGGTTAAAAGAACACCCCAGAAACCCCTTCCTCCCCAACTTTCGCATTTAACTTCTACCACTTCCTCAAGACACACTCAAGTTAAACAGAACCAACCAGAACCTGACGCCTTCTCTCAGCCCCCGAGTGCCAAGGCTCACCCAGCGAGGACACCTTCACAATCATCCTCACCAGAGGACTGAGGGCTCCCTGAAAGATCAGGGGGACAGCACATCTGGCAGAGACCAGGCCCAGGGGGTCTTCCCAAGCGACATCTGGCAAGGTGAGCTGACCTAACAGGTAAACAGCAGCGGCAGGCAGCAAACTACCAGCTCTATCAAAAAGGTGCTCCTGGCCTGCCAGCGGCCGCGCAGGAAGAGAGCACCAGGGCACCGTCGATCTCCCACATCCACAGTCAGGCCTGCCTCAGTTCACATCTTCAACTGAGCGAGTGCAGAGAAAGACACTGGGCCCAAGGGCAGCCCCTGCCATGTCCACAGCACTTAAGTTCCGATGTGACTTGGTTACAGATGGATCAAATCAACAGCAGCTTCTTGTGACCCACGAATTCAACTCCAGGTCACAGCGCCTTCCAGTCGATGGGCTTCTTGCCAGACTTGCGCAGCAACTCATTCGTCTTAGAAAAATGCCTGCACCCGAAGAACCCTCGATGCACTGACAAGGGAGACGGATGAGCCGTCTGCAGGATGTGGTGCCGCTTCTGCAAAGACAAAACAAGCTGACAGGCTTGGGGCTTTCGGAAAAAAACAGCAGCTGCCCTGAGGCAGGAGCACAATTCCCGGTGGTAACCAAACTCAAGGCCTTTGGTGGGTTCATCCACAAAGCACCTGCCAGGGCAGGGTCAGCCTTCAGTCTGCTGGGGGCCACTCAATTCTCAGGTGCTGAGACTTTGTATCCAGCCATTCCACTGCAGACTGCCACCAGGACTCAGACAGACAGCCACACACTGAGAAGGCGGCCCACTCTGCACGGGTTCCATCAACCCAAGCCACACGTAGGTCCAGTGCCTAAAAGCCGCTCAGCCTCTTCCTGAAGTTTTTGACAACACCTCAAAGGTACTAGAACATGGCCCAGCTAACACAGTGATCAGTGACACGCTGTCGTTTTATCAAGAAGGGGAGGGACAGGGTAAAACAACAAATGCATTAACACTTTTTCTGGAAAACTCTAAGACGCTACTTGCAGAATTGCTTTCAGGAAAAGCAGGAATGGATACTGCCTTTCCAGCTATCTCTATTTGCTGTAGGAATCACCATCTCATCGCAGTCTATTGGAAGTACCCTCGTACTATATTAATAATGCTAGAGTCCTTGCCTTGAGCGCTCCAGGATCCCATGTGGGCACCAGTTCGTATCCCGACTGCTCCACTTCCTATCCAGTCCCTGCCTTTGCCCTGGGAGGGCAGGGATGGCCCAAAGCCTTGGGACTCTGTGTCCTTATGAGGCCTGGGAGAGGCTCCTGGTTTCAGATTGGTTCAGCTCCAGTGGTTGAAGTCGCTTGGGGAGTGAACTAGTGGACAGAGGATCTTTCTCTCTGTATCTCCTCTGTGATCAATAACTCTTAATTATTATAAAAGAAAACAGCAGAGCCTGTCGAGTGTCTGGGCTGCTGCCATCCATGAGGGAGACCTGGATGGAGCTCCTGGTTCTGGCCTGGTTCACCCCTAACCATGGAGAAATCAACAGTGGACCAGTGGACAGAAGATCTCTCTTACCACCTCTCTCTGTAACTCTGTGTTTCAAATAATCTGACTCCCAAATAAATTTAAAAACAAACAAGCAATACTGTTGACACAGTGACTCAAGGCTAATCTTCTGCCTATACGTGCTGGCATCCCATAATCCCATATGGATGGAGGTTTGTGACCCGACTGTTCCACTTCCCATCCAGATCCCTGCACCTGCATGCGAAGCCCAGAAGTAGCTCCTGGCTTCAGATCCGCTGAGCTCTGGCTGTTGCTGCCATTTGGGGAGTGAACCAGTAGACAGAGATCTTTTTATGTCTCTCAATCTCTGTAAATTTGCCTTTCAATAAAAGTGAAACCTTAAAAATGCAGAGCCGGGAGCTGGGTCACCAAGGTTCAAGTCCACTCAGCAGTTGTCATCCACTTGTGGTGTGAGACTTACAGGTGACAGATCCCCAGGAAGGGCCAGTGAGGGTACTGAGCAGCCACGGGTGCTCAGCGCTGGCAAAGCAGCCTTGGCTCGTGTGAACCCAGGTCCTCCGGGAAGCCCCAGGGAGCTGCCAGCTCTGAGCAGAGAGGACTCAGCTGTGCGAGGAGACAGCAGCAGGGCACCAAGAAAAGGTCCAGAGGCTTGGTCAGCTTGCAGCTCACAGTGAACAGAGTGGAGTCCTGGCAGAGGCCAGCTGCAACCATCATCCTCACTGGCTCGATGCCAACACGGCGGCCTCTCACGGAAGCAGTACATGACTCACCCGAGTAAGATTAAATGAGGTCCAACGCAAGGCAAAGGTAGTCGGGGGGTGGTGTGAGACAGACAGGAAAGAATGCAGACATGGACAGATGGTGCAGGGAGGACAGGAGGGGAGCAGCTGTCAGGGACAGCGTCTGCTGGGCAGACTGGCCGGTGTTGTCACTGGGTGTGGAGGAGCAGTGCCATGCGGGATAGCAGAGGAAGGGTGACTTGACTGTGGTATGCTCCTGGGCCCCAGCAGGAGGTGCTGTGTGGGTTTCCGCTCAGGACCAAAGGCAGCGGGTGAGACGGATGGAGTAAACCAGCCGGGAGCATCTCCAACTCTCACTTTCAAGTGAACAAATGAATCTGAAGAAACCCCTTTGAAGCACACTTCTTACCTACTTAGACAACCAGATCCTAGCTCCTGGGGGTCAGCCCTTAGGTGGCCTTCTAAATAGATAACTGTTTTAAATAATTCATAAAAGACATACCACAGAGAGCTTAGAAAAATTTCAAGAGTGCTACAGACAAACGTACCCTGTCGATGGCACTGCCCTTCTTCTGGGCGTAGGAGCCCCAGAGCAGGAAGACGAGGCCGCTGGAGTTCTGGTTCAGCCAGGCCACCACGGCGTCAGTGAACTCTTCCCATCCCCTCTCCTTATGGGAGTTGGCCTGATGGGCGCGCACCGTGAGCACAGCGTTGAGGAGCAGCACGCCTGTCAACACACGGTGAAGAGATGCAGTGAAAGCAGGTTCCAACACAGCAGCCTGCGTGCACTCAGTGACACAAACAAACCCTGAGACCACTGCCTGCTGGGATTCTGCACAGCTGAATGACAGCAGCAGGTACACCCAATGGGGACCTCAGGCAAGAAAAGTAGAGGGCATTTTAATCTCTGCCTCTTTGGCATCTTTCAGTTTGCTGTACTAAGCATGGGTCATATCCATCACCAAAATCACTTTAAAAAATACCCTAATGGGGAGTTAGCGCTGTGGCATGGCTGGTAAAGCTGCCACCCGTAGTGCTGGCATTCAATATAGTCACCAGTTAAGACTCCTGGCTATTCTACTTCTAATCCAGCTTCCCCGCTTATGGCCTGGGGAAGCAGCTGCATGAGAGACTCGCAACAGGCTCCTGGCTTCAGATGGGCTCGGCTCGGGCCATTAGGGCCATTAGGGAAGTGAACCAGCAGATGGGAGACCCCACGTCCTTCCCTGAGTCTGGTTAAATCAGCCCTAGGCTTAGAGCTCTCACCGGCAGACAGCAAGGGCTGCCATGCTCCAACACATTCAGCAGCCTCGGCTTTACCTTGTTTGGCCCATCCGGACAGATCGCCATGGCCAGGATGCACAAAGCCTTCGATGTCTGTGGACAGCTCTTTATAGATGTTTTCCAAACTGAAAGCAAGTCAGAAGAAACAGAACCTTAGTAACTGTGATCTTGAGAGTTCTGCGGTGTGCTTCCCAAGGTGTGTGTGATGGCCAGCCCTCTACATGACAGGAGAACAGGCCACCAGCTGTAAGCATCTTGCCAGTTCCACCAGCCAAAGCCCAGTCCTGCCTATGCCTAAGGAACAGCAAGCACTTTGGAACACCAAGTTCATCACCCACCTCCTCACTGAGGCTTACGGTTTTCTATCTTTATAGATTTTAGATCTATAAAGAAACTTCAAAAAGTTCATGGAGGGCCTGGTGCAGTAGCTTAGTGGCTAAAGTTCTCGCCTTGCACACACTGGGATCCCTTATGGGCACCAGTTGATGTCGTGGCTACTCCACTTCCCATCCAGCTCCCTGCTTGTGGCCTGGGAAAACAGCAGAGGACGGCCCAAGGCCTTGGGATCCTGCATCTGTGTAGGAAACCCAGAAGAGGCTTCAGATCAGCTCAGCTCTGGCTGTTGCAGCCACTTGGTTAGTGAACCAGTGGATGGAGGATCTTTCTGTCTCTCCTTTTTGTATATCTGACTTTCCAATAAAAATGAATGAATCTTAAAACAAAAACAAAACAAAACTCACGGAAAAATGGAATTTAAAAAATCACACCAATTCTCCATAAAGCTGTTAAGGACCCTTTACATTTATCCACCTGCATATACCATTACATAAAATCCTTCCAGCCAGTGGTTCTTCATCAGGGGTAATTTTCTCTATCATTCCCCAACATCCCACAGTGCACGATGCCAAACGATCCAGACCTCCACGCCAGCAGCGCCCACACTGAGAAATCCTGCGCAGAAGGCAAATGCCAGTCCTGTCCCCCACCCCCGGCACACCTGGAACATGCAGAGAACACATCTGCATGCAATCACTTCTGTAGGCAGCCGTACCTGGGCGGAGGCGGGACAGGCCTCTGGACGCTGAAGCACAGCCCGTGCGCTTGGTTGGGTCCATGATATGGATCCTGTCCCAGGATGACAACCTTCACCTGTAACACGGAGCACAGGGAACACCACACTGCAGTGTACGCAGTGCCATGCCACACTGGCTGACCAGTAACCTGCAGGACGGCACAGGGGGAGGGGGAGCCTCCCTTTGGACCCAACTGAGAACCCCAAGCAGTAACTGATGCTCCATTAACCTCCGTCCCATGGTCCTGATGTCAGCCCACCCCTTTCCTTGACAGGTCTTTGAAACAAAACAATCTCTGGGGGCAGGACTGTGTTGTACCACACAAAATTAAGCTGTTGCCTTGTGAGGTTACCACTAGCATGCAAGTTCAAGTCCTGGCTGCCCACTTCTCATCCAACTCCCTGCTAACAGTCTGGGAAAACAGCTGAGGGTGGCCCAAGATCTTGGGAACCTGCAGCCATGTGGAAGACCCAGAAAGAAACCCCTGGCTCCCAGCTTTGGCCTGGCTTAGCCCTACCTAATTCTATTATTTGGGGAGTGAATCAGTAGATGGAATATCTTCTCTCTGTAAATAACTCTTTCAAAAATAATGAACACGGTCCAGTGGGGTGTGGGGTGGCGAGGCCCTATTTAAGAGGTGTCTTCAAGTGCTAAGTAACAAACAAGCCTTGGAGAAGGAGGTCTGAGAGGTGACCAATTCAGAGGCTTGAGCAGGGCCAAGGCAGGCCAGAGGGCATGGACGTGGAGGTGCCAGCTCCACACGGGAGGCACGCTGCCACCAGCTGCTCCAGGCCTGCGCTTGTGCAGCACGGCTGAAGGCTCCAGTGCTGCCATGAGGTTGGTTCCAGAACTATGGAAAGCACGAGCTACGAGGACAGACACAAGGTGCATGGGCCTAAGTCCTCCCTCTGTGCTGCATGAATGAACTCAGGTCTCTCTTCTTCTGCTGGATTCAGGACAGACAACACAGTTCTGGGATCCCTCCCCCTGATAAACTTTGTCCCCAGCCTGTACTCACATCTCGTATGTCACACATCTGGGTCCATGTGAAGACTTGGTGTGGGGGTGGGTAAACAGTGTAACGCTTCCTCTCTTCCGTAACAAATCCCATGAGCTGATTTTTAAAGATAAAAATTTGAACTAAGCATCAGATTCCCACTGGCATCCAGACAACTCCAGAGGAAAGCTTCTACTGCCAGTGCCTAGAGGTCCCAGCTAGCTCCTGTCTTGAGTTTTACATCCCAGCTTCCTAAAGACCACCAGCCACCCCTGTTCCCCACCCTTACTCTCTCTCCCAGGTTTGGGTCAACGTTGGGTTTCCAGCCACCAACTCCCCTCCCTTCTTTTAAGAGGCCAGGCCAGGTTTCACTTCCCTCCGGCTGCTGGCTTGGCCACGCCTAGCTGTCCTGCATAGCAAATTTGCTGCATTTGACCGGTCAAGGCCTTCCAGTCCCAACCTGGACCCACACAAGCAAATGCAATGCCAACAGCCTGCCCTGCCTGCACCCCTTTTGCAGGCAAAAGGAGTTCGGGAAGAGAATGAAGAGCAATCCAAAAAGGGGAGCTGGACGTGGCCTTGCTGGATTAACAATACTGGGGGGGGGTCCCGGAGTGTCCCGGGGTCCCCCGCGCGCGGCCTGCCGTTTCATCCCCGCCAAAGCCTCACCTTGATAAAGTACGGCTTCCCGAACTCTCCACACAGCTGCTTCTTCCAGCTCTCCCCAAAGCCCGCCGGCACGTTGCGGGCCGCGAGCCGGAGCAGGGCCGCGGCCTTGTTCTTCTGGATGCGGACCAGCTGCTCGGGGCTCAGGGGCGACGAGGGCGGCGTGCCGGGCTCGTTCTCTCCCGCCCGGACCTTCTTGGCGGGGTTCGCCTGCGAAGGGTCCCCAGGATGGCTGGTCACCAGCTGCAGGCGACCCTGCCAGGACGGCGCCCGCAGCTGCCGGCGCCAGGCCAGCGGCCAGCGGCAGAAGACACCCATGGAGCAAAGACAGGGCCCGGGGCTCAGGAAACTTTGGGGCGTCTGGTGCTTCAGCCGGCCGGGGAAGGCCAATTCGCGGGGTTACGGAGCCTGCACCCAGCCGCCCCGCCCCCGCCGGAGCCGCCACAGGTGTCCGTCCCCATGCGGCCTTTTCGCGGCAAAAACCTCCCCTCCCGGGAATCCCGCCTCCCGCTCCCTCTGATTGGACACACGAGTCGCGCGGGGCGTGCTAGCGACGCGCCGATTGGCTCGCGGGGCTCAGAGGCTCGTCCTCATTGGCCGGCCCCTAAGCATGGCGGATGCTGGAGGACTGAGGCGGCTGTTTTGAACACGTGGAGGCTGCGCAGGAGTCGGGGCCCCCGGTTTCCCCAGGTTAGCGGCGCGCTCCTGCGTCCCCTCGGTCCCACGGGGCTCCCACCGTCCTCTCCCTCCCTGACCCTCGCTCCCGGCCCTCCGTCGCGCCTCACCGCCGCATGTCCGTTCTCCTCAGCGGCAGCCGCCAAGCCGGTCCCCGGGGCGGCCGGCTCGGGGCTGGGCTCGCGTCGCTTGCTGACGGGGCCCGGGGAGAAGAAGGAGTGGAGGGTCTTCTGGCCGATCATCCCGAAGCTAACGAGGCAGCGAACGCGCGCTGCCCGGGAACCCGCTCGTCTGGTGCCCGCCGCGACTGTCCGAAATTTGGCGCCAAAGGCTTGCGCATGCTCCGAGCGGGGGGCTTAATGGGGCGGGGGTGGGCTGGAGGGCTCAGTGCGCATGTGCAGGGCGCAGCTGCACCAGGTGCCTGGGGCGGGGGAGGGTGGGCTCCCTGCTGGCTCCCCTGATTCGCTGTGTCCTCCGTCTGCCCGCGAATCCTTCCCGCCCCGGGGGACTGGGAGGGTGATGGGTGGGACAGGAACGAGCTTTGCAATGCTGCCGGTTGAGCCTTTTATAGACGTTAGTGGTACCGACTGCAAACGAAGGTTTTAAACGCCGTCATTTTGCCCAACCGGCAGGCTTGGGGAGACTGTAGCTGAGGTCACCCCAAACCACACACGCTCCGAAAGGCACACCAAGTACCTACTCGCACCCCCAAGCTTGAGCTCTTCAGGAGAGATCTCTTTGCAATGTAAATAGTGACCTTTTGGAAGTGCAAATTGCATCCAAACAACCTCCAGGTCAAAACCTTTTCGTTTTTTTTTTTTTTTCCTAAGGTTTATTTTTTTATTGTTCAGGCAGATTTAAAGAGTGGCTGAGAGCTTTTCTGTCTGCTGACTCACCCCTCATACAGTTGCAGTGGCCGGAGCTGAGCTGATCCGGCGTCAGGAGCATCTTCCGGGGTCTCCCATGTGGGTGCAGGGTCTCAAGGCTTTGAACCACCCTTCCTTGCGCTTCCAGGTCATAAACTGAGAGCTGGATGGATGGGAAGTGGAGCAGCCGGGACTAGAACAAATGCCCACACTTATGACAGGCTGGCAACACAGAGTGAAGGATTAGCCAATTGAGCCACTTCACTGGCCTTAAACATTTTCTAAAGTGACTTCCACGTAGGATTCTAGAAAAAAAAAAGTTCATGTCAAGGGGATTGAGCTTGCAGTCAGCTGAGGCGTGGGAAGGGGAAGAGGTTGAGGGGTGTGGAATTACAGGTTCCGCGTGCTTACAAAGGAGCTGGAGCCCCGGTCCATGGCACAGTAGGTTGGCTGTGGTTTACAACTTCAACAGGTGACAACTGTTTTCATTTATTTGAAAGACAGAGTGAGATGGTTTGCCCCTCAAACACCCACACACAGCCACTGAGTTCACTCCCCCAGCTGCGTGCAGCAGCCAAAGTCAGGAGCCAGGATGGCCGCGTGGATGGCAGAGACTGTCTTGTAATGCCTTGCCAGGCACGTTAGGGGGAAGCTGGGTCAGAAACAGCATAGAGAGAGCGTGAGCAGGTGATCCAATAGGGAATACCAGCATTGCAAGCCACAGCCAAACCCCACTGCGCTGCAACCCAGGCCTGGAATGTGTGAAAGGCAGCGACAGGACTGAGGGATCCCATCCAGTGACTCCCCCAAATTCCCATGAAAGTGGGGGTGTGCTGGGGCTGGACTTGGGTTCAGGAACTCCACCCAGGACCTGCTAGGGACCCCCTAGCACTTGAGCCAACACACGTGCTGTCTCCCAGGGTGCACATTAGCAGGAATGCGAAGGTCAGGACCCACAGCCAGGAACCCAGGTCCCAACCGCAAGGTCCCAGAACCTAATACGGTTAACTTAGAGCTCAAATAAGCCCCGACTTGCTTGCAAGGCGAGGCATTCGCCACCAGGGGCCGCCAGGAGGCCGCCTGCGGCTTGTTTTGCAAATGACCTGCTTTTCCCTTCCCTTCCCGGCGGGCCCTATGCGGAAGCGAGCTGCGAGCTGCGGCCCCGGGTGAGTGTCCTCCCCTCCCTGCTGTCGCGAGCTGCAGGCGTGACGGTTTCATTCTCCCTGCGCCCTTTACTCATCCCTAGTTCAATGCAGGTGTAGCAGACACACAGAGACCCCGCTCTTCTGGGGGACTTCAGTTGTATCTCCCTGCCTCTCTGGGTGTGAGAGTTAGGGTGCCTGGTGCACCAGCTAAGAAGCTGCATGGTAGGACCCATCCCCACTACCCTGCCCCTCCCGCGTTTCCCACATCAGAGTCCCTGGGTTCCATACCCCACCCCCTCAGCTCCCGACTCCAGCTCCCTGCTACTTGCTCAGGACTTGGGTCCTTGCCAGGGGAAGTGGGGAGACCTGGGTAAAGCTCCGGCTTTGGCTCTTGTGGCCATTTGGGGAGTGCATCCACACGGTTGAGGACTGTGAGTCACAATTGCTTTTTTCTCTCTCTCTTTGTTATGGAATGAGGGTTTGAATCATAGGTTTCAAATTTGTGGCATGTAAATTCCCAGGGAGGAGTTCTTTACAGAGTCAGGTGCCTGGGCGCCAAGTGCAGGCCAGCTATCAGACTCTGATGCGTTGCCAGGATGGGAGAGCCTGGAGCAGGGCATCTCAAAGGCTCTTCCAGCTTTCTAAGGCCCTCTACTTCTTTTGTGAGATGTGCTTTTACACTTTAAATATTTGTTTATTTTTATTGGAAAGGTAGATTTAGAGAGAAGGAGAGACAGAATGGTCTTCCAGCTGCTGCTTCTTTCCCCAAGTGGCTGCAGCAGCCAGAGCTGAGCCCATCCAAAGCCAGGAGCTTCTTCCAGGCCTTCCACGTGGGAACAGGGTCCCAAGGCTTTAGGCCATCCTCTGCTACTTTCCCAAACCATAAGCAGGGAACTGGATGGGAAATGAAATGGCTGGGACACGAACCTGCACCCATTTGGGATCCTGGCGCTTGCAGGGAGGAGCATTAGCCAACTGAGCCATCATGCCAGGTCCCGGTTTTATACTTCAACTGGAAACCTGAAAAGGGAGAGTAGTTGTTAAAATGAGTCTGCTTGGGCGAACAAATGTTTGGGTCGGGGACAGCCTGGGCAATCTCTCTTGTTGCCTTCTTTCTTGTAAGGAGATGAGATGGACAGATTCCTGGTGAAGAGGGCTCCAGGTAGCCTTCCAGGAAATGAAGAGGAGGAAGAGGAAGAGCAGACCGGAGGAGAGCCAGACATGGACAGAGGAAGCAAGAGGAAGAGGCCCAGGAGAGAGTCCCCCAGCAGTGTAGCCCCCCTGGCAGCCCCAGGCTGGCAGCACATCCGGGCCGAGGGTCTAGACTGCGATTACATGGTCCTGTTTGGCAAAGCCGAGGCGGATAACATTCTCCGGGAGCTGGAGAAGGAAGTGGAATATTTCACAGGTAAGCAGAGGGCCGTGTGCGTGTGTGTTCCATAAAGATAGTGAGCTTGCGTTTGGAGAATTCAGGCTCAGCAGCCAGGTGGGACTGGCTCGCTGCCACAGTCATCACACACACAGACGCTCCCTGGATGCCGTTGAGGTTCCGGGGTTTGGGACTAGAATCGCTGGAGGGAGTCACACTTGGCCACCCTGGAGAGTCACCTAGAAAACAGAAGCAACCCACAGCCGTGCTGGACTCGGAGACCAGCTGAAGTAGAACACAGGGTTCTGAAATTCATGCATGTGAAGGAAAAAGCTCATGAAGAATGAGCATTATGAAAAAAAAACATGCAAGGATTTCAATTTTTTTGTACCAAGGAAAGTTCTTAATTCCATCTCCCATAAACTTTTTGAATTTTCCTTGTAGTTATGGGTGCAGCCTGCAGAGAAAGAGGAAGGGAGGCAGACATAGAGAATCTTCCAGCCACAGATTCACTTCCCAGATGCCCACAACAGTCAGGAATATCACCTGGGTCTCCCATGTGTGTGGCAGAAATGCCCAGCTCCTGCCTTTGGCCTAGTCCAGCTCTAGCCATTGTGGCCACTGGAGAATGAGTCAGTGGATGGAAGATCTCTCTGTCACTCTGTCTTTTAAATAAATCAACCTTCAAGAACTTGGCCCATCCTCTGCTGCAGCTCAGGTACATCAGCAGGAAGCCGGGTCGGAAGGGTCGAGTAGGTGGGATTTAGCTGTACTGTGTGCAGAATTGTACCTCCTAACTGTACTACTACTGTGGTCAGGACAATAAAATGATGGAATGTAAGAAAGTGGGTACAAGCCCAGGTTTCTATGAGGGGACAAGTCTCCCTATCCAGAAATGAACATACAAGGGCAACCACTGTGACTTCTGGGATGGGGGGTCTTCACCTATCAGATATTCCTTATTGTAATAGGGCTGGCTGGCTGGCTGGCTGGCTGAGGGGACAGGGTCATTGTGGCTTACGGTTTTGGAGGACCTGGGGGCATCTGGGGGCCAGATCCTATTCAAGAGCCGTAGCAGGGTCCCCTGGCAGAACCCTGGCGAGTGTGGTGTCTGTGCTGCCCCGCTCAGAGCACTCACCCACCGGGATCTTTGGGGGTGTAAAACAGCTTGTTCTATCCACACAGGTGCACTGGCCAGGGTGCAGGTGTTTGGGAAGTGGCACAGCGTGCCCAGGAAGCAGGTGACATATGGCGATGCGGGACTCACGTACACCTTCTCGGGCCTCACACTGTCCCCACGGCCCTGGATCCCCATCCTCGAACGTGTCCGGGACCGCGTGTCTGAGGTGACGGGACACACCTTCAACTTCGTGCTCATCAACAGGTGACAACTCCCTGCTCCGTCCCCTCCTGCCTCAGCGTGTTGTGTATGTTGGACGGGGGACACTCCAGTGCACCTGACAAGGACAGGAACATGACACAGTGCAAGCAGAGTTGGGCCCCTGTGGGACAGTAGGAAGTGACGAAGACAGTTCTGAGTGGCCCAAGATGAATCACTTGGTCTCATCTGCCTGCGAGTGGCCGACAGCCAGGGTTTTGGGGTGCAGGATGGGGTTTTGGGGGTGGCTCCTTTCCTGATACTCAGGCTGGATATGGGAGTAGGGGGCCCCCACTGTGGGTAGCAGGGTATTGAGCACTATGCTGGTGGCACTCATACCCACAGTGTCCTAGCAACTGAAACTATCTCCTGGGGGCAGAGCCAGCCCAGGAGGAAGTGCCCCGGACTGATGACGACGGGAACAGTGAGCAGCAGAACGCCCAGGGCAGGCAGCCAAGACAGTGAATCTACATGGCCCTTGGGCAGCTGGCAGGGACCAGGCAGGGCTTGGGACACATTTTCCTGTATGGAGACAGAGAGAGCATTAGTGTGACAGTGGAGACCAAACGGGGTAACTGCGAGACTGGGGGCTGCCTCGGCCTTGGCTGCTCGGTTGCTGGTGATGAGGTGCACACTGGGAGAGGGAGATGCTTGAGGAGCTGCTGTCCTGAGGCAGCCTCATCTCCCCACTTGAAGGTACAAAGATGGCTGTGACCACATTGGGGAGCACCGTGATGACGAGAGGGAACTGGCCGCCGGAAGCCCCATCGCCTCCGTCTCCTTTGGGGCCTGCAGGGACTTTGTCTTCCGTCATAAGGACTCCCGGGGCAGGAGCCCTGCCCGGCAGGTGGCAGCAGTGCGGCTGTCGCTGGCACATGGGAGCCTGCTCCTGATGAAGCCCCCAACCAACACGCACTGGTACCACAGCCTTCCCGTGCGCAAGAAGGTGCTGGCTCCGCGGGTCAATCTGACGTTTCGGAAAATCGTGCCTGCTAAGAGATAAAAAAGGTTTGCCACCGGTTGGTCGGTATGCTTACTTTCCCTTTCCACTTTTGGGACCTGGGGGTGCTGACAGGGAATACAGGCAAGGTTTCATCAAAACCATTGACCTGGTCTCTGTAGGATTCAGAAAGAGGATGTTATAATAAAATCATGTTTCAGTAATCAAAAGACGACAGCTGACCTTTTTTCTAACAAAATGGTTCTTTATTGCCATAATACACAGCAGATACAAAAGTACCATTAGCAAATACATAAATCAGCAGTTATTATGGCATAGCTATGGGATTAATTTAGGGGGTTTCTTGAAAAAGAGGCTACTTACTTTTGTAAATAACTTACAGCTCAAAATCAGATGATCTAGCTAACTATGTAATGTCTATTAATTTACAAAATGGAGTCAGCTTAAGAGATTTGGTGGAGATGCAGTTCACATGTACAACCTGGGCTCCTGGCCCGGCCCGACACTGGCCAAAGGCCACGGACACATCCCTGTCACCACTCTCTCTCTAAGAACGGAGCAGCCCACACCCGTGGCCAAAACTTTGTCATGTACGTTAAGGCCAAATGAATAGGCAACCGTTCCACCAAACAGGGGCAACATCCAAGCTGAGGTCTGCTGTGGGCCGGCTGCTGCCTTTTCAGCAGCGTCCGTGGCCTGGAGTGCCCGCACAGCAAGCTCTAGGGGGAGCACAAGTCTTCAGGATGCCTGCTGGGGCCCTGGGACAGGGGTGGGCTTGTCTGGACTGTGCGTACTCCAAGCTGCTTCCAAAGTCTGGTCAGGGAAGGTACCAGTTTGCCCTGGCAGAGGAAGTCCTGTTCTTTGGCCACACTTTGGGACCACCTTTTGGGTTGGTTAGGTCTGATTCCCGATCTTGCCCCTGAAGGGTCAGTATGAATCTGGTATCTACCTTCCCCATCATACTTTTCAAAACTAAAAATCTGGGTACAATGCGGGTTCTGCTGAGCCACTGTCATTCCTCCGGCCCTGGGCTGCGTCCCTGAGACATCTCCAGGTACTCTTTGGGCATCTGGCCAGGAGGGGATGGTGAGGTGTCAGCTATGGGGAGTGTGCTAAGTCATACAAACCCACCGACTCCTCTTCCTCCATGTGGAGAGAGCTGGATGGTTGGTGATCCCGGGAGCCCGACCCCTCACTTGATAAATGAGGAAGCTGAGATCCCAGAGACAGCAGTCTGTGGCCAGGGCCCACCTTGGTCATCCAGCTCGCACGTCAAGCTGGAACTGGCTTTCCCCATGGCCCCAAGCTATAATCAATACGCACCAAAACACCCAGCCTCAGGGATCCTGGTGCAGCACAGAATTCCCCGCGGCACACAGCAGTCCTGGGCACTGGTGCAACTGTATGATACCCCATGCCGCAGCAGCCTCTCATCATCCAGGATTCCAAAGATCAGAGCAACAAATGGGTGCCCCCCGCTCACCCAGGCCACCCACGAGGTGGTGACGGGTCCTCACGGGGGCAGGCTTGGCCAGGTGGCTCTAGTACACACCAGAGGATGGGAGGGCGGAAAAGGCAGTCCAAAGCGGGTAGGAAGGCGCCTCCAAGCTGCCCTGACCATCCCGGGCTGTCCTGTGTGTACCCTGGGAGGACAGAAGCTTTCCCAAACAACAGTTTCCATGTCCCTCAGATCCGGGGCTTTTCCAGAAGGGAGGTGCTACAAAAACAATCCGAGGCGAAAGGCACTTTGTCGTCTAAATTGTTGTTGCCTTTAGTCATTTCATTCAGTCTCGTCAGCGCTCTTTTGGGTCCTGCTGATTGAAACTAAAACACCTAAGCTGACATGCCACGGTGTCAGACAGAGAGGGGCGCTTCCCCTCAGGAACACCCAGTGTGGCCTTGGGGCTCCAGTTTCTTCAATAACCTGGAAAAGGATGCTCTAGATGCAATGAAACGTTCCCCACACCATGGCACATCCTAGAACACACGTAAGCTGTTCAGGGGTCTGAGTGGGTGCAGGCTGGGGTCATAGGCTCCCATATGGAACCTGCTCTCAGAACTTGCCAGAAGGCTGGAGGGTTTGGGGAAGAGAAGGGACGGGGCTTGCGCACATGCGCACGCGCCACATAAACACACAGAAGACAGTTTTGCCTTCTTCCGGGACATGTGGACGGCGCCGTCGGCTTTGGCTCTGGGCCGGGGCCTGAGTCACTCCTCGGCCTTGTACTCCTGGCTCGGGCGCTGCACCCTGGACAGCACGCGCTCGTAGAAGAGCAGATAGGCACTGGAGGACAGCACCTCCTGCAGGCTGGCCTTGCGCACGCTGTCGTCGGAAACCCACAGCCACTGGCTGCTGGTCGCCAGTGGGTTCTTGGCCGAAGGTGGGGACCGTCGGTAAGTGACAAAGTGTCCAGAGTGCATGTCTCCATGGTGGACGACTACTGCCATCAGCCGGAAGAGGTACATGGAAGAGCTGAGGGGTAGGAACAAACGCCAGTGGTTTAACACACAGGAGAAGGGGGTCATTGACAGGAAAGAAAAACGGAATCCTGGCTGTGAAATGACAGAGGTCAGTACGGAGGCCATTAAAGGGCGTGGCCACAGGAGCATACTAGGCAGGTGTGAGTTCTGAGCATACATGGAAGTACCAAACAGGTACATGTGCACAGGTAGATGTGTGCACATATGTACACACACATATATGCAGATCTAAGTACTTTCATAATTCTTTATTTTTAAAAAAGGATTTATTTATTTATTTGAAAGGCAGTGTGTTACTGAGAGAGAAATCTTTCACCTACTGGTCCAGTCCCCAAATGACTGCAATATGCAGGGCAGAGCCAAACCAAAGCCAGAAGCCAGTCTCCCCATGTGCGTGGCAAAGGCCCAAGTACTGAGGCTTTCCCAGCCCATTAGCAAGGAACTGGATTAGAAGTAGAGTAGCTGGCCCCTATGGGATGCTGGTGGTGCAAACAGTAACTTGGCCCGCTGTGCCACAACACCTCTGTAATTCTAAATTGAATTCCAATTTGGACAAAAATCAATGGGAATACAGAAGAGTGAAAAACACCTGAAAATGAAAGAGAACAGCTCCTCTCTAAATGTTCATTAGTCCATGTCTGCACAAAGCCAGTTCTGGAGGCTTCCAGGAGCCTGGGCGCCCAGGGGATGGAGACATGCTTGGGCACAGTGACTCACCTGTAGTCGGGAAGGACAGGCAGTGCAAAGGGCATTGAGGCAGGCAGGGCTGGCAGCAGAGAAGGGGAGCAGGCACCGTTCATGAACACCTGGGGCTTCGGAGTCCCTGGCTGATTGAGAACTGCAAGAGGACGGGGGCAGGCCCAGCGGGCTGAGCAGTGGCTGTGGTTGTCCTGAGCATCCACTTCCCATGATGCTCCAGAGACAACAGCCTGGTTAACCCTGAACAGGCAGCACCCATAGAACAGCCAGGTCCAGGCCGACCACCTGCCTGCAGGGCTCCATGTGTCTGCCGACAATGCATCTCAGTCGGGCTCGCTCATGGGCCTCAGAACCCAGCCTTGCCCTTCCTCGGAGCCTGACTAAGTGTTCTGAGCCCAGGCTACATGTCCTGCCCACTCCCGGCTCCAGCTGTGAGAACCAGAGTCACCAAATTCTGCCCAATGTCCCTTGGGGGACAAAACTGCTCTGCTGTGAGAACCATTTGTCTAAGTGTCCTGTCTAAAAGTCCGTCACAGGCTCGGGGAGTGGCAGCCCACAGCTGCGTGCACAATCAATGGCAGAGATGACAGGTCCTTCTGATCTGCTGACCTCTGCAGGGCCTGCTGTCCAGCATACTCTGTACGTGAACCAACCTGTACCCGAGCCTGTGAGAGAAGGCCTCGGGGAGCAGCGACTATGGCTTAAAACAAGGCCAGGACCCGACCCAGTACCATTGTTTTAGGGGGGACAGTCAACCCAGGGACCTGGGGAGAAACGGCAAATGTGGTCTTCCCAAAAAGTTAACTCAGGAAAGAACCCGGGGAGTAAGGGAAGGGGTAGGAGCAGCCCACAGGTGGGGAGGTTCTACTTATCCACACTTACTGTGGGGCTGAAACAACAGCGTGGGGAGAAGGGAAAAGCAACTCGCGGGAATATGGCGAGCTAGCATCCCATGGCCGGTGAGGCTGTTTTCCTGAATGCTCTGCCCACTCTTATCGGGGATACCCCGGATACTGCAAGCAGCCCAGCCACCTCCCCATGGAGTCTCCTTAACCTCACTTTAGCAGTCTCCATCCTGTCAGTCTCCAGCATTTAAGCTGCAACTGTGCAGGCCCTGTGCTTGTGGACCCGGACGGTGGAGATGCCAGACTCCCTCCCTCTCGTCCAGACACCCCGGAAACATCAGCTCCTGGACACACACCTGCCCTGGGGGCTGGCGGCCCCTCCTGCAACTCCATCGCAGGTCCCAGGCTCTCGCTCCCCTCGGGCTTGGGCTGCCTGGGCTTGTGGCCCAGGAGGCGGTACTTGTAAATGTCCATCATCAGGAACTCGTTGAACTGCACATGCTCATGTCGCTTCAGGGGTGTGCCGTGGCTGGACCAACTCAGCCGCTGCAGGTGGATGCACAGGCACTGAGGCAGCTGGGGTGGGGAGAGAAGTCCAGAGGGCGGAGTCAGCTCTGGAGCACAGCATGTGGCATCCCCCCACCCACCCCACAGCAAAGACACTGGGGTAGGAGTCTCACCTTCCCGAGTTTCAACTGCTTAACAAATGTGGTTCTCTGGTGCTCCACCTTCTCCCCATCCAATGTCCCTTTTGCTTCAATCTGAAACAGAACCGTTGTTGCTTGGCTGCCAGTCCCGAAATAATACATGGAGAGCTGGGGATCCCAACCAGCACCCACGCCACTCCATTGAGCTCTTCCTGCTTACTGGGGAACTCTTCCTGCTGCCTCCTGTCAGCCCCAGGCTGGCTGGAAGCAAGCAGCAGAGAAAACAAATCAGCACAAGAACTCTGCCACAGCCATGTCCTCTATTTGCTTCTGTCTTCGAAAACTCCACTCCGCTCAACAACTCCTAGTACTTCTTGATTCGAAAGGTAGAAACCAATTGTGTGGGAGTCAGGCAGAAGTGGAGGGCACTTAACTTGGGGAGTGCATGTCCCACCTCCAATGACGGCATTCAACACTTCCCTTTAAATGCTCAGGGATGGAATGAAACTTAATCCAGGAAAGAGACAGATGGAAGCCTGCCAACCACCAGTTTCCATCCATTACATGTAGGTGGAACCAACTGAAGCCGAGACCTCAGGGAACCCGGCCAGGGAGAGGCTGGCCTGGAGCCCACGGCCCGGACTGGATGCTCACCCTCGTGCAGTTGTCACACACGACGTCCCGCACAGACTCGGATGAGATGAAGTGATGAAGGCAGTGGTCCAGGGTTAACGGATGTCCCTACAGTATGAGAAAGCCAAGTCAGTGCGATTCACAGGAGAGCTAAACCAAAACTGCACCGATGGTGGGGCATGGGTCAGGGGAGCCCAGGCCTCTTTCTGGCTTCTATGGGGATAGAATAAGGATCTGTGGACACAGTGTGATGTTTTCTGGGCAAACGGTGAGCCCAGGCCACCTGACTACCAACCGACTCGCGAGCTGAAGGATACAACACAGCAGCAAACTGTGGCCTCGCAAGCTGTCAGGGATGTGTGAACTTGGGAGCAGTGTGTGGGCGCTGGATGTTCAAACAGCGCCCCTTTTGCAGCAAGAACACAGCATCTACCTCTGTGTCCTCCCTCCCCACAGCCCTCGTAGTTAGGCAGGGATGCCACCAGAGCCAAGTTGGGGTTCAGCCAGGTGTGGTCCCAGTATACAGTGGTCCTGAGTCCCTCTGATGGAAATACCACCCAAACAGACCCAGGGGAAGTCAAGTTCAACAACTTACCCATGTGGCAGCAGGAATACTTAGCGAGAGGCTATCAAAGGTATCAAATCGAACAGGACTCTGAAACAAAAGTTGCAGAAAATCCACAAAGCACTTAGGGTCAAGTCAGAGTTCGAGGGGGCAGGACTACACACTCGTGAGAGAGTTCAACACTAAGATGGCCACTGTTGACAAAGCATCACATTTTGAGAAGTAGATTCCTGCAAATCAGTATAAGAGTCACAGCTCTGCTAAACTGCAGCGAGGGCACCAGACACAGTGACATGGGGACTCTACCCCAGGGGAGCAGTCAGGGCCATGGCTACAGATATGTACCCCGCTGTCATGCCTGACAGGAAACCTCTGAGAGCACTTGGAATGTGTAGGCACTGGCCAAGTACGGCACACCCCCAAACGAATATATATTTCAAATAATGCAGCAGGAAAAACATGTAATTATGTGGAGAAATGTTCATAGTATATTGTTCATTGCAAAATGGCAGCTAAAACAAGGCCAAGGTTCCTACTTTTGGTAAAGTCAGGGTAACCTGGCTAGGGCTCACCCCGCTGGAGGTCACTGCTCTTAGATGAGAACCCAAATGGGTACTATGTGGGTGCTTGGACAGTAACCAAAGCAGCCAGGATGGAATGGAAGCTGGTGTTAGGGGAAACAGGGTGAGACTGGTGTGTCTGCAGCTTTTCGGCCCGATCTCTACAATGCTGGCTGGTGGGAAGCAGTGGCCTTGCAGGAGAGAGCTCTGTTGAGACAGAAGGCAGCAGAAAGCCCCGGAAGCTGGGTGCCCAGAGAAGATAAGCCCCCAGATCTCTACAAACTCGGTTGCTTCACTGAACCCCACATGTCTGAGGAGGAACCAAGGAGATCTGGTGAAAAGTGGCAGCTTTGATTTTTTATTTATTATTATTTTTTTGGCTTTGCTTTGCTTTTTAAAGATTTATTTATTCTCATTGGAAAGGCAGATTTACAGAGAGGAGAGACAATAAGAAAGATCTTCCACCCCCCAAGTACACCCCGCCAAGTGGCTGCAACAACCAGAGCTGAGCTGATCTGAAGCCAGGAGTAGCCTCTTCTGGGTCTCCCACACAGGCGCAGAGTCCTAAGGCTTTGGGCTGTCCTCCACTGCTTTCCCAGGACACAAACAGGGAGCTGGATGGGAAGTGGAGCAGTCAGGATATGAACAAGCACACATATTGGATCGTGGTGCTTGTGAGGAAGGATTGGCCAATTAAGCCATTATGCAAGGCCCAAACTTGTGGATTTATTAAACTCAACAAACCCAAGTGGGAGAAACACTCAGAAAACCCTATGTCTGCACACCATGCATGCAGAAGAACAGACACCTCCTAAGCAAAGGGAAAATGACAGAGAAAGAGTGTGAATGATGCTGACTTGAGGAAACGGAGCAAATGGGACAGACTGTTGATGGGTAGGGACCTTCAGGAGGGGCTGGGGAGCAATACAAATGTTCTAACATGGACTGAGGTAAAAGACAGCTGCATAACTCCCCATACTTGTATTAGGCTGGAGACCTCCCATCATTAAAACCTCAAAAGCAATCATGATAGATAGATAGGTAATAGATAGATAGATAGATAGATAGATAGATAGATAGATAGATAGATAGATAGATAAAGCAATCCTGGAATCTGCCCATCCTGAGCACAGGCCCAACCCTGGGCCTGGAACTACTCCCACCACTGCATAAGGGCCCAGGGCCTGCTGCCTGAGGGCAGTAGATGCCCAGGGAGGCCTGAGGGATGTGCAGGCACTAACACAAGGGGAGCAGTTAGTCCGCCAGCCATGCAGGGCACCAGTAACTGCAAACACCATTCCCCATCACCAGTCCCCACCCTCCAGGTCCTCCCAGGAATCCTAGCAGAGCGAGCCTGGCCTGAAGCGAGCCCGGCCTGGAGCGAGCCCAGCCTGGGGTTGCCCTTACCTGGTGTTCACAGTGTTTGCAGACCATGTTGCTCGTGAGTCGTCCGTGAAAGGGGTGCTGAGACTTCCAGGGAGGGGTCATGGGGTGTGGTGACCCTAGAACACAAACGTCTCGGGCTGTGCCACTTTTGGTCCCTGGGCATAGCCCCCTTACAGCTCTACAGTTTTCTGAAAGATTTATTTATTTGAAAGGTAGAGTTTCAGAGACGGGGAGAGACACAGCTCTTCCAACTGCTGGTTCTCCCCCAAAATGGCTGTAACAGTCAGGGCCTAAAGCCAGGAGTCTGGAATGTCATCTTGGTCTCCCACACAAGCGGCAGGGGCCCAAGTACTTGGACCATCTTTCTCTGCTCTTCCAAGCGCATTAGCAGGGAGCAGGGTTGGAAGTGGAGCAGTAGAGATTCAAACCAGTGCTCATACAAGATGCCAGCACTGTAGGAAGCAGCTTAACTGGTTACACTGTATTACAACACTGGCCCACAAACTCCCCATTTGGGGACTGACACTGTGGCATAGCAGGCTGAGCCAAGACATTGGCATACCACATCAGAGCACCAGTTCAAGTCCCAGCTGCTCCACTTCCGATCTAGTTCCTTGCTAATGTACCCGGCTATGGTGGCCATTTGGGGAGTGAACCAGCAGATGGGAGCTCTTTCTCCCCTCTCTCTGCCTTTCAAATAATCTTAATTAAAAACAAATTTTAAAAACTCCCTCTTTAGACAAAATGTGCTGCACACACACACTGAAATAGCTTTCCTCCTTGACTTCCATAAAAGACACATCATTTCTTTTCAGGAGAGTCTACAGAAGTCTTGACATGTGGTTTGTATATAATGGGTCCATCCACATTTGAAAAAAGAATTTGTGCTTCCTACGGTTGGTTTGCTTTTTGACTTCTGCTTTGTTTTTATAAATGCATCCTGGAAAGGTCACAGCAGAGACAAGAGAGTATTCCTCCACACGGTGAGACGAGGCTGTGACTCACGGAGAAAAATCAAGAGCTGAAGAAAGGGGCTGTCACTTAGATGGGCTGGGGGCCAGGGGACCAAGCACTGCTGGGAACCTAGGGCCCCCTGGAGCAGCCCCAGGCTGGGCTTCCTGTCGGCTCTACCCACTGGAGATCTTTTCCCCAGTGGGGGCCTCCGTGGGCTGCAGAGGAGGGACAAGTATTGCCCACCCCTTCCGGCATCACCAGCTTCACAGTGCTGTCACAAGGACTTAAATGAGGTACTGCGATGCCTAACACACGGCATGGGTGCCAAACCAGTTGTTCCTATTACCTTTGCTGCACAAAAGAATCATTTCTTGGGTTTCATTGTTTTATGGCCTCAGCAAGACAATGACAAACTGCAAGGCAAGTTGGCTCTGGCAGAGGTGCTGAGGCCAGGACAGGGTGGGGCTTACAAAGTTGCTCCCAGGATCAGTTCATGGAGGTGAAAAAGAGAAGGCCCTTGTTTTGAGTACAAATATGTCTGTTGAGACAGAAACCAGGAGGGCTATGAATGGATCCCAAGAGAGTCACTGAAGCCTGGCTTCAAAACCTAAGTTCTCTTGCAAGTTCTCTTGCCAGGGGGGAAGCACCAGTTTGGAAAGACAAGTCACGGTCCTATCCAAGAAGCACAGGTCCTGCGCACCACAATTCACTGGGAAATAGCTACCTCTCATGCGGCAGGTGATCTGTTTGGAAGTTGCTTCAGACTGTTGCTGTTGGGAAAGAAAAGAAACAGACTGAAAACCTCTCACAGTCCCCTTCCTCACCTTCCCGCAAGCCCTGCATTGGCCGGGTGCCTGTGCGGAGGGCTCAGAACTCCCTGAACAAGGCCAAAGGCTCAAAGTGGTACCAATGACCTACTCTGGTGGGTACCTGGAAGCAGCCAGGGAAACCCATCTCCCTCCGTGTGGTTCCCCTCTGCTGGGCATATCAATTGCTCAATGTTGACACTGTTGTAGAGAAGCAAAGAATCATGTGGTTGGTTCTGCTCAAAACCAACCTGAACTACAACTCCCAATCATTTGAGAGAACCCCAGACACCCTCCTGACCAAGGTCACCAACTGCTCTGGGCACAGCTGAGCGCTGTCCCTGGCCCCACTCCCACTGCTGGCTTGTATGGTGTCCCGCCTTGAAGGCTGTGCAAAGATGCTTATTCAGCCTCCTGTCCTGAGTAACTAGGCACACACTGCACTGGCTCTATCAGCCACGGGCACTAAGGCTCACCTCCAGGGAAAGCACGTCAAACAAGTGTGTGACCCGCGGCTGGCGATCCCGCTCATCTTCCAGTGACGACGTGATGACATGGAACAATTCATGTGCATCCTGTCAAAGGCAAAGCATCCTTCAGAAGCTTCGCGAAGCAGGGGAGGGTCAGAAGCAGCCGCTGGCATGTACCACCAGTCGGGCCCACGCACCTCCTGCAGGCAAGGTTTGTCACCTACTTTTTCAAAGCCCAGCTCATGGACAGAAACATACAGGCCCTAGATGTTTTCAGAAGACTCGTTTCAGGGACTTGAGAGCAGACAGGTGGGCAGAAAGCTGCCGGCTGCCTTCACACTAGCAGCCACTGAGCCTGAGTTTGTTTAGCTGAGATGGCCTTGACCTCCACTCCACCCAATCTCAAAACGTTTTTAAATTGTATGAAAGCACACACAAGAACCATCTTGCTTACTTTCTTCCCCACTACTATACTTTACTTCCCACATGGTCACAGTAGCTCGAGCTGGGCCTAGTCAAAGCCAGGAGCCCAGAACTTCACCTGTGTCTCCCATGTGGGTGCAGGGACCCAAGCACTTGGGCCATCTTCTGCTGCTTTCGCATGTCCTTCAACAGGGAGCTAGATGAGAAATGGAGCAGCTGGGACTCAAACCAGCACCCACATGGGATGTCAGCATTGCAGGTGGTGGCTTAACCTGCTGCCCAATGATGCTCACCCCATTCTTGTTTATTCCTTTTTCTTTTTTTTTTTTTCCAATCTTGCTTATTTCTAAGGGTGTGGTTACATGCTATCAAGTAACCACAGCACAGTGCAGCTAGCTCCATTGTCCATCATCAGAGGTATCATCTTCCCAACTCCAAGTCCACATCCAGTCAGCACTCACACTCCACTCCTGCACCTCCAGCCCCGGTAACACCACCTCTCTGCCTCAGCCTCGGTCTACCACTCCAGGCACCTTGCAGGAGTGGCATCCCGCTGAGTGTCCTTTGGGGACTGTCATTATTTTACTCAGCACCTGTGGGGATGTAGCAGGTGTTAAAATTCCTTATTTTGCTAAGGTCATGTTGAAAGTCAAGGTCACCAGGGTTATACCTACTCTGGTCACTGAGAGTGACACAACTGTGTATCGGAGTCTGCAAAAGCTACTTGCATCCCTGCTTGTAATGCTTCTGTCTGTGACCCTGGAAACAGAACTACCAGACTGCAGAGTAGAGGATCCTCATTAAGGAATGGCTCTAATGGCTGATCATAACAACAACTACAAAAAAGGCAATGCCACACCCCTGCCCTGGAAGAGGTGGGGCCTCTGGTGGCACTCAGCCGCCCAGGGCCTTTAGCTCTTACTCACTCTGCACAACCACCACAGTCATCTTTACAAAGGCAGACGAGGGGCAGGCATGTGGAACAATGGTTGGGATGCCATGTGGGATGTCCACGTCTCATACTGGAGGGTTCCAGCCCAGCTCCATTTTCAATTCCAGCGTGTGGCTAATGCACAGCCCAGGAGGCAGCCGGTAAATACTTGGGTGGGAGACTCAGACGGCTCCTGGCTCTAAGCCTCCCCCAGTGCCAAGTTGTTGTGGGTATTTGGGGAGTAAAATGGGATGCAAGTTCTGTCTGCCTGTCTGTGTCCGGCTCTGCTTTGCTGCCTCACAATCAAATCAAAGTCAGCTGGCTTTTCCCTTCAGCCTTTCTGGCTTGCAAAGCCCCTGCAGCCTGACCACTGTCTGCGCTCTTGTCCCTCGCCATCTGTGCTCCAACCTGGCCGTAAGAACACCAAGTTTACTTCCACAGCAGGCTATGCCTGAATCTTCACGTGGCTGCCCCTTCTCCTTCAGGTCTCTCATCAGGGAGGTCCTCCTTGACCAAACAGCCAAAGTCGCCTCCGCATCCCTCCGCCCTGGCCAATCAGCAAGAAGCACTGAAGGCGCCAGAGCCTCAGCCTACCAGCTATGCCAGCCAGGCCTGGAACCCTACAACAGTGCCTCCTGCTTGGGCTCCCATTCTGGCCCTGGAGTCCATCCTTTTAAAAGGTCATGCCAGTCCACTGGCCAAAGCCCTCCACTGCTTGCCTTGCACACAGAACAAACAGCCTGCCCTGCCCAGCCTCTCAGCATGTATGCTTGACTTCTGCCACCTCTGTCACCGGCTCCCCAACTGGGCACCAGCCCCCAATAACTGGCTTCCTGGCATATCACCACTGAGCCAGCATCCTGTTCTAGAATACCCTCTGCCTGACTGGGCCCAGCCCAGGATGCCTCCCTAGAGGAGGAGGAAAAGAGCACAGGCGGACATGCTCCTCCCTTCACCCTGCACACCGAGTGCCACAGAGCTCAGCAGCTGACGCCACCTGCTTCTTTCCTAATGGACCCAAGAGTCCCTGTCGTCCACTGTGGTGAGAAGTCACTTGGGAACCAAAAAAAAAAAAAAACAAAACAAAAACAAAAAACCAAAAAACACCAAGGTTTGTTCTTTGGACACTGGGTGTGGATGCCTGATGCTGCTGCGAACCTTGCCCCGACCAAACACAAAAAGAGCTGCAGTTCCTCCCCTCGGCCCAGGAGGTCGCTAGACACCAGGGCTGCCCAAAATGTACAGTCAGTTGAGGCCCTTTCTCGAAGCAGCATCCTCCTGGCCACACCTGTCTGAAGCTGTGCTCACCTGCTCCTCAAAGGAAGAGATCTGCCACCTGTACATCCGCAGGACATCCAGTAGGCAGCTGGCATCCAGGACCTCATCATCGGTAACCTCTTGGCAGGACAAAGCTGCAAAGAACAAGAGTACAACAGTGAACTTTTCTTCTTTTTTTTTTTTTTAAGATTTATTTCTTTTTATTGGAAAAAGCAGATCAGATTTTTGATCTTCTTTTTCGATTTTCTCTCTGAGTCAATCTGAAGCCAGGAGCCAGGAACTTCTTCCAGGTCACTCATGCGGGTGCAGGGTCCCAAGGCTTTGGGCCATTCTCAATTGCTTTCCCAGGTCACAAGCAAGGAGCTGGATGACAAGGGCCACTGGGATTAGAACCAGTGCCCATATGGGATCCCAGCATGTGCAAGGCAAGGGCTTTAGCCACTAGGCCAAGTGCACCGTGCAGCCCACTGAGGTGAACTGAGAACTGAAGGGCAGAAATGCTAACTTTGTCATGAGCTCACTTTCATTGTCCCTCCCTTAGCACTTTTTTAAAAAGACTGATTTCAGAGGCAGGGTGACAGAAAGCGAGCTCTCCATCCACTGTTATACTCCCTGCATGCCTACAAGGCTGGGGCCTGAGCCAGGTCTCCCACACAGGTTGGCAGAGGCCTACTTGGACCATCATCTGTTGCCTCCCAGACACATCAGCAGGGAGCTTGACCAGAAATGGAGCAGCCAGTAAACAAACCAGCATCCTGTATGGGGCACAGGTTAAGATGGCAACTTAACCAGCTGTGCCATCGCACTGTCCCCAAATGGATCCTTAAACTGTCACCATCAATCAATCTATGCTTGTGAGATTCTGAGTGAAACACCTCGATCTCCCAGCTCTTGAGGCCAGGGGCCCTCACCCAGGCATCTGGTCTAAACCCACATGCCCAGCTGCGCTCCTCTGGCAGCCCTCATGGCCCGCAACCCTGGCTTGCAGTTGTCTGCATGCCTGTCCCTGGTCACAGGACAGCCCCGAGCTGCCCGTGGCAGCCGAAAGGCTCTTCTTCTGAGAGCTGTGCTTTTCAAGTATCCGTAGGCTCAAGCCAAATCAACGAAAACCAACCTGACGGGCTAGTGAATTTCTGTGACTCAAATGACAACAGACACCAGACTTGGCACTCTTTTGGCGAGGGCTGGACAGTCAACACCTGGGGCTTGGCAGGCTGCAGGTGTCTGCCGCAATATCCCAACTCTTGTGTTTGTTGGCACCCAAGCAGCCACAGACCACACCTGAGCACCTGGACACAGCTGTGTGCTGGTGAAATGGCATGCGCTGAACACGACCCACACGGCCACGACACCAAATGCTGTGTCTGTATATGATGGAATTTTGCCTTACAAACAGGACTCCCACACATGCCATGACGCAGCTGAACCAGGAGGTCGTCACATTACAAGAGACTGGTCAGAAAATGACAACGAGTATATGGTGCCACTTGACAAGTCCAACTCATGAGATAACAGGTGGGTGAGTACTTCCAGGGGCCTGGGGTCAGGGCACATAGAGCTTTGCTATGGGCTGACCAACAGGAGCTCTAGGTAAGGTGCGGGAAGGGAGACGGTGTCGCTGGCTGCACCACGCTGTGATTGCACTCAATGCCACTGAACTGCGGCATTTATGTCAAAATGGCTAAAATGCTAACTCCTACATCATGGACATTTCAGCATGACTTTTAAATGGGCAAAGGATAGGAGGAAGCAATTCACAGAAGACAAAATATATCCAATAAACTCACGTAAGGAAACACGAACAACACACAGCAATGACACAATGGCTGCCTTACACGGCTGCCCCTGTAATGCTTTCATTCCTGCTAAAACCATCATTCACCACACCAGGACCGCATATTACAGTACCAGTTAAGGCCCAGAAAATGCAGAGGAGGATGGGTGACCCTGCCACCCACACGGGAGACCTGGATGAAGCTCACGGCTCCTGGCTCTGGCCTGGCTCAGGCTGGCCTTGGTGGCCACTGCGGGTAATAATCCCAGAGGATCTCTTTGCAATGCTTTTTTCTTTTTTTCTTTTTTTTGTTAGAGTAGAAAAATGGGTTTTAAAGATAGATTTATTTTGGTACAAAAAATCTTTTTTATAGATGCAGCTGTTTATTCATTTATTTTTTTTAAACATTTATTTTTATTATTTTTTCATTGGAAAGGCGGATATACAGAGAGGAGAGACAGAGAGGAAGATCTTCCGTCCGATGATTCACTCCCCAAGTGAGCGCAACGGCCGATGCTATGCCGATCTGAAGCCAGGAGACTCTTCCGGGTCTCCCACGCGGGTGCAGGGTCCCAAAGCTTTGGGCTGTCCTCAACTGCTTTCCCGGGCCACAGGCAGGGAGCTGGAAGGGAAGCGGGGCTGCCGGGATTAGAACCGGCGCCCATATGGGATCCCGGGCGTGCAAGGCGAGGACTTAACCACTTGCGCCACCGCGCCGGACCCTTATTCATTTATTTTTAAGATTTATTTATTTTTACTGGAAAGGCAGATTTTACAGAGAAAGGCAAGACAGAAAAAGATCTTCCATCCGACGGTTCACTCCCCAAGCAGCCACAATGGTCAGAGCTGAACCAATCTGAAGCTAGGAGCCAGGAGCTTCTTCCGGGTCTCCCAAACAGGTACAGGGTCCCAAAGCCTTGGTCTGTCCTCTACTGTTTTCTCAGGCCACAGCAGGGAGCTGAATGGGAAGTGGGCAGCTGGGATATGAACCAGTGCCCAAATGGGATCCCAGCACGTGCAAGGCAAGGACTTAACCCACAAAGCTACCACAGCAGGCCCCACAAAAAAGTATTTTTTAAAATGTTCAATAGAGTTGCAAAAAAAAAAAAAAGCATATTAGGAAAAACTACATTCATTTTGAAAACACTGAACCAAAATAAACTTATCTTTAAGAAATATTTTGAGGGGCTGGTGCCACGGCAGAGTTGGCTAAGTTCTACCTGTGGTGCAGGCATCCCACATGGGCTGCAGTTCGAGTCCTGGCTACTCTACTTCCAGTCAAGCTCCCTGCTGATGACCTGAGAAAGCAGGTCAACTTCCATTTTCCCCACAATCTTCCCGAAGACTCCTTGCATGTTCTGGGTGTGGCTTTCCCAGGATGGCTGTGGTTCCCAACACCAGGTCATACATTTGAACAATGTCAGCTGAGGTCAAGGTTAGGGCAACCCTAAACTTGCACTAGCACATGTCATGTGGATAGCTTTTCACATAGTTTGTGGATTGAAAACATTTTTTTTTAAACAAAGTGGTAAAAGATATTTTTCCCAAGTCAACAAACAAACAAAATACTATGCTATACTTACATGTCATTAACTACCCTTAAATAGATTTAATGAGTTCATCATACTGTACTGTAAAAATGAACCAGAACATATCTTTACCAATCCCCTCGTCACAGCCTGTGTTCTTAGCTACTTCCAGATGACAGATCCCACACGTGGGGTTCCTGGGGCCCACAGGACTGGGGACAAGCTGCAGTCCCAGCTGCTGCCCTGGAAGGCGGCACTGAGGGACACTCCCTGCCCTGCCCCAGCAGCAAGGCCATTCCATGTCTGGACGTGTTGTTTAACCCCTGATGATGAGCCACAAACCCTTTACTTCTCACTTTACTTCTCTCTCTCTCTCTCTCTCTCTCTCTCTCTCTCTCTCTCTCTCTCTGGTGAGGGTCAAGCTAAATGTCTGAATGTGTGTTCGCCCTGAGATACATTTTTGCAAATGACCTGATGTCTTCAGCCAAGGCTTTTATGTTTTAATTTCAATGTGTGGTTGAAACCAGAGCACCTCTCACAACCAAAACACCTGCCTGTGTTTCCCCCGCCATCCTTAAACAGCTGTTATTAAACTGATGATTCTTAAAATAAATGGCTCCATCTTTCTAAAAATGCTCACTGCTACCTATTGAGACCTTTATGATCTTTTTCTGCCTGAACCCTCTGCCCGCCCTCTGGGCTGCGGCTGCGAACGTGCACAGAACACTCCACATCCACCCGCAGCCCCGGCCCTGCCCCTCCGTGCGGTCCCGGCAGGGTACCTTTCAGCAGGTGTAGCAGGGTGAGGGACAGGTACTGGTGTGGTGGGGGCTCTTTCTGGTTACTGGTGTACTGTGTGGTGAACTCCTCCAGCCACTTGATGAAAGTGGGGCAGGCCGACAGGCCCTGCAGCAGCGAGTTCATGAAGCAGGTGTTCCCTAAATTCACGAGGCCGGGCACAAGGCCTGCAAAAGAACAGGGGGGCACAGGAGAGACTGCACATCACAGGGGACCAGCGCTCTCTCTTCTCATGTCCATCACCCACGCCACAACCCTGTGCCTGGAAGCTGGGTCAGAACCACGTCTTAATCACAGAGCTCTGGAGGCTAGGCCTTGTCTGTAGCCACCTCTCCCTGTGGACTCTAACTCCTCTTTCTGAAACACATGACAGCACTGGCGGCGGCTCGGCTTATAAGTTCAGAGGGCACTGTTTACCACCACCCCCTCTTCGGGGCTCTCCTTCAATCTCTGGAACATGCCTTCACCTCGTCTTTAGTAAGAAACCAAAGCTTCCCAGGATACAAGCAAACAATGGCTCCCTTGTTGGTCTCCTGGCACAGATTCTATCCCCATGTTAACAGTCACCTGTCATGGGGCAAGACTCCAGTGTACCCACAGCAATCAGACTTTCTGCAAAGGCACCATTGGACAGATGTCCCTCTTTTGTCAAAAATCCTTCTAAAGACCATTCTTATTATGAATATCCTCAAAGAGGCACAGAAGGAAAGAATGTGTAATGAATTCTAGCTTTCCTAGATCAACCAAGATCAGATGTTGCAAGGACTATCTTTCCTTTTCTCTCTCTCCTTTTTTCTCTTTCCTGAATTTTAATTAATGTTAAATACATTATCATTTGTAAAAGTAAAGCTTGAAAAAAAAAAGATTTTCGAATTTTTAGGAACACACTAAGACAAAATCTGCCCTGGTGACTAGCAGCTAAATTAGGATAGGCAGATGTGTGACGTCATTATTCATATGCACCACCAAATATTCAATCTCCATATTCATGACAACAGATACCAAAGCTGTCCCAAAAGCCCTCCACACACCCAAGCCTGGAGCAGGGCCCAGAAGAAAACTCCTTTTTACTCCGGAGTGTAAATAATGAGTCAGAGCAAAGCGCTACTGTATCACCTGGAGTCTTCATTCTGACCACACAAAAGGAGAAAAACATTGCTGATTCCCAGGCCGGCTGCAGATGGCAGAGATCTGGGTCGAGCCTGCAGCCCACAACACAGGGGCCTTCTTACCTTTCCGACGCTTCTTCCTCTCTGTGATGGGACCCCAAATCACATAGATCCCGGCCGCAAGGGCAGCAGCAATCCCACCGATGACACCCCAGTTCTTCATGACTTTATACCTGCAAGAGAACCACAAGTTTATTATTGCATCTTATTGCATCACAAGTGGGACACAATGAGGACATGATATTGAGTCCAACTAACCTCCCAAACACCCAGCCTTCTTGTCAGGTCTTGGAACTGAATTCTGTCTTGAAAAATAGGAATGTTGCGGCTTCGGGGTGTAAAATCAAAGTCAGACCACAACCTTCCAAAAGCCTGGACTCCCTCGGAGGAGTTCCGGTCCTCCTCCTGCTTGTCCCCTTGTCCCCTTCTTCCCCTCGGCCATGCTGGACACCCCACCAGCCAAAGCCCAACCTCAGGACCTTTGTGCCTCTGTTTCCTCTCCCCTAGCTCACTGCTGGGGTCACTCTTTCACTCCCCTTCCCATACTTACCACCTTCTTGTACTAAACCACCCCTGCTCTGTGGTCCACCTCTCTTCACTGGATTTCACTGTCTCTGGGGACAAGAATCTTCCTGCTTTATCCAATGATATATCCCACGCCTGGCCAATAGTAGGTTCTCTATAGAAAGGGAATTCTTGGGACCAGCCTTGTGTCATAGAGAGTTAAGCTGACAGCTGTAATGCCAACATCCGACAAGGGCACTGGTTCAAGTCCTGACTGCTCCATTTCTGACTTAGCTCCCTGCAAATGCACCTGGGAAGGTGGCAGGAGGTGGCCCAAGTACTCTGCTCCATGCCACCCATGTGGGTGTTCCAGAGGGAGATCTCTGGATTTCTGCCTTTTGCCTGACCCAGCCTTGGGGGTTGCGGTCATTTGAGTGATTCAGACCATAGAAGAATGACATCTTTCTCTCAATCTCAAATAAACATATTTTTAAAAAATGTTTCTAAATCTTCAAAACAAAAATTCAAGATTTCTTGATTCCAGATTTGCACAATGAAGTCATTCTTTCACTACAAATTTCACTAACAACCACTCTAAAGTTAGCTCTGCCAAAGTGTGTATGTGTGTGCGTGAGTATGTGTGTGTGTGAGAGAGAGAGAAATATGTTCTCTTACCAGCGTCAGCACCACGGAAACGTGGCTTTGATCTCACCTCAGTGAAGGCTCAGGGGAATCATAGTACCTGTCATACCAATCAATATTTTCCTAGTGTCACAACTGATAACTGAATTTCAAGCACATCTTCTAACTCAGAATGAACAGATGCTATACAGTGGAGTCAGGGGCTAGAGTTGTGGCACATTGGATGAGCCAACCTGCAAAGCCAGCATCCCCCACTGGCGCCAGCTCAAGTCCCAGCTGCTCCACTTCTGATCCAGTTCCCTGCTAATGCACTGGGAAAAGCAGCAGAGGATGGCCCAAAGGCTTAAGCCCCTACCACCCATGGGACAAACACTTCTAGGCTCCTGGCTTTGGCCTGGCCCCACCTCAACTATTGTGGCCATTTGGGGAATAAACTAGTAGAAGCAAGATCTGTCTCCACCTCTCTAATTCTATCTTTCAAAGTAAAATACATAGATATTTTTCAAAGAAGAAAGCCAAATCACTTGAATGTGTTTCAGTCCTGGCTCTGATGTTTGCTAGGGCCCCACGTCACCCTCCAAGCCCCCACTCTCCCATCTATATAGCAGGGACAACCCCAAAGCCCACCTCGGGGGGTGAAGTAAGTGTTGATGCAGAGGCTATCGGTGAGACCCTAGCCCACATTAGCTGCTGTAGCTGGTTAGTACTATTATTCCAGGGCCACTCATGGAAGTTTCTCTACAGGCTTTTTGATGCATCCCTGTGCTTGGACGTGACCCACTCTCAACAAAGGCTCCAGTGGGAACATTCTCTCCCTGCAGGGCTAAAGCCTTGGCCATTGCTTCCAAACCCTCTCATCCAACATGAGCATTTACACACACTTTCTGTCTGTCTGTCTCTCTCTCTCAGTGCCATGCCTCATCTCACACTCCAAGTAATCCAAGCAAGTGGATTCTACCACCATCTGCATTTTCACAGATGGGCAAACTCAGAGATACAGCTAGCGGGTCCCAGAGAGTCAGAGGATGTGGTGCCAACTCTGCACTTCAAACCATGAAGTTCAGGATGGGAACTGAAGGATGTGGCACTGAAGGGAAAGGAGGCAGGACTTACCTGGAGCCTTGGCAGGACATGAGCAGGACCCCCCTGGAAACTCCATTCCTTTGCAAAAGGACAAGGAGGAGAGTTGGGAGGGTGGGTACCTTGGGCATAAAGACAGCTGGCTTTTCCTCAGCTGTGGGGCCTCCAGCCAGGTTGCCTCAAGGCCATTCCCCAACCATAGAAGGAGGGCACTGGATAGGATGGCCTCAGAGGGTGCCCAGCCCTGGAGTGACCAGCTTGTCATACCTGCTCCAGTGCTAGAAGTCAACTTGCATGTACAACAGGCTGTGTTCACTCAGGGTGGGCACTGGGAGCCTGGGGAATAGGAGAGGGATGCAGGCCCTGACAGGATTGGGGATCCCAACCTCCGTGGGAACCTCACAGGTTTGGGCAACACCGGAAGGTACAAGGCACTAAGAGACAGTGCAGGCAAGAGCCAGTGGTCCCGGAGGGGGCCTGGCAGGGATCAGGAAGAGGCTTGTGCTTGCAGGATTGTGGGAATCAAGGTGGGTTTGGGGAGCCTGACAAGACTGGGGGGCCCTGGGCACATTAGCAATTCATGTGACTGGAGCTCCCGCGGTGCGGGGAGCCAGATAGACAGAAGGACTCAGGGGTCTTAGCAGACCCCAGGGACACTAGGAATCCGAGGATGGGGCGAGGTGGCACTGTCAGAATTAGGGCTCTGGGACAAATCTAGGAGCCCAGGAAGTCGTGGGAAAAACGAGAGAATGGTGGGGAGACACTGGCTTCCGATGGGGGTTGGGGGAGGTCAGGGGACCTGCCATTACCGGAGAACTGGAGGCCTCAAAAGGCCCGTCACACTCCCAGCCTCAGACCTGGACACAAAGCCTCCGGAATATCCACTCAGGCCGGGGGACCCCGGCTAGGACGTGCAAGGACCGTCAGAGGAGGCCCAGTTAGGAACCCAGATCCTGGCCTCTTCCGCCGCCCCGCCCCCCTCAAAGCTCACCTGACTGCCGCCCCGGTCCGCAGGAAGCGCTGGATGGCCCTGTCAGCCGCGGTCATCGCCGCCCCAGCCCGGGAACTGAGCATGGCGGTCGAGCCCGAGGCCCGCCGCCGCCCCCGTCGCGATCGCGGTCGCGGAACCCAGGGCTCCTCAGGCTGCCGCGGCGGCGGAACCCCGCGGCCACCCGCTCAGGTGCTCGGAGGAAGGAAGGCCGAAGGACGCGTTCCCCGAGCGTCCCGGAAGTAGCCGCCGCGGGGAAACTATTGCTGACGGACCAAGTTCTTCCTCCTTCCGTAGGAACGGGCGTCGGCGTCGGTTGCTAAGGGAGGCCTCGACCCCCGGGCGGTGTCGTTTTTAAGTTTTGCCAAGACCCCATTCGTAAATGCAGATGCATCGCTTCCCAGAGAGACCTTAGGTCATGATAAAAATTTTTCAGGCCGGGTCCCCACCAAACTCACTGTTGACTTAGGTGCCTGGGATATGGCTAAAAGGAAAAGTCGGCTATTCAACAATTAATCTTCGCACCAACCATAGTATTCCCCACATTTTACTTGCTGGAAAGCCTGAAAATTTGGGGAAAGTACTAAGTCTCTTGACACAGGTGGTCAAGTCTGTCCCCAGAATAATACTGTCCAAAAGAAATATAATGGTACCAACCTAGGTAATTTTAATTTTTCTCAGCGGCTGGTGCTGTGGTATAGCAAGTAAAGTTGTCGCCTGTGGTGTCAGCATTCCTTACAGACTCAGGTTCGAGTCCTGGCTGCTCCACTTCAGTCCAGCTCCCTGCTAATGGCCTGGGAAAGCAGCGGAAGATGACCAAGTGCTTGGACCCCTGCATTTACCTGGAGACGCAGATGAAGTTCATGGCTCCTTAAGTCAGACCCACCCAACTCTAGCCCATGCAGCCGTTTGCAGAGTGAACCAGCATGTGGAAGGTATCTCTGTCTATCCCTCTCTCTGTAACTCAACACATAAATCTTAAAAAAAAAAAAAGAAAGAAAAATTCTAATAGTCGCACTTAAGTAAGAAGCAACTGGGAACAAACATGTGGTGCCGCAGTTAAATCACCGCTAGGAATGCCAACCTCTTTTCAAACCCTGTTTATTTGGTGCTTTCAACCCCCCCGCCCTGCTACTGCAAACCGCGGGAGGCAACAGTGAGGACCCAAGTGCTCGGCTCCCTGCCACCCACCTGAGACACCAGAACGGAGTACTTGGCCCCCTGGACTCAGCCTGGCCCAGCCCCGGCAGCTGTGGGCATTCCGAGAGTGAACTAGCAAATGGAAGGACACTCTGTCTGCCTTTCAAATGAAATGGAAATCAATAAATGAGAAGTTGGGAAAACAGTGTATTTTACTGGAACCAGTGTATTCAAAATACTGTCATATCAGTGAGACAACACAGTGGCCCCGTGTTTGTGCTACGTAACCTCAACTGGGACCAGCCACTGCCTCGCATGTGCTCCTAGCTGTCTGTGGCCAGTGGCTACTGCACTGGACAGTACAGCCGATAGAGCGTTAGAGCCAGAGATCTTTCCTCTCGGTGCACTTTACCCAACCCCAGACAGAGGCACTGCAATTGCTTTGGTTATACAATGAATGCACTAGCTCAGTGGGTCTCAGCATGTCTTTATCTCAGATGTCAGTATGTGGTCTAAAATGAGTGAATTCCGGTTCATGTGGGTTCGATCTGTTTCTCCCATCAGAAATTAAAATGGAGAAATTATTGTTAGCTCCTTAGAAATAAGGATAGTTTATACAAGCTTTGATTTTAGCCTGTGAATTTGGGCAGATGCAGTCACATAACCAACACTACAATCCGGGTAGGGAATCCCCTCCTCTGCTCCCAAGTCCACCTCTGTCCTTTTGTAATCAGTCTCATCATTGACCTCCAAACTCTGACCAGAGTGGAAACGTGTTTTAAACCCAGGAGCCTAAAAGCATCCACTCCATTGGCTGACGGACCCACAACTTGCCCAGACACCAGGAAGTCTCTAGATCCAGCCAGCATCCATCATGAGTGAAGAAAAGAAGGTAAGGGCTGTCTTTGTGTCACCATGAAAACAGTCTCAACCTCCATATCTGCCTGGAAGGGTCCTGAGGACCCTCAGGGAGCCTACAGCCCACATTTTGTGAGTCACCACTTCAGCCCTCTGCAGATCTGCTCAAAGACCCACAGTCTAGACCATTCTAAGTGACTGACTATAAAATGTAAAGTATTCATAGCCAATGGAATCGCATGTATTTTAAGCATGCTGCATGTCTTGTCTCATTTTTTAAATTCTTAAGAGAGAGAGGACTCCCATCTTCTTGTCTGTCCTCCAACTGCCCAGTGGAAGTCACAAGTCAGAATTCCATCCTCGTCTCCCAAGTGGGTGACAGGGACCCAAGTACTTGAGCCATCACCTGCTGCCTGTCAGGGTGCACATTATAGCAAGAAGCTGGATCATCAACGGAGCCAGGACTCAAACAAGGCATTGAGTTATCGGTTGTGGACACCTCAGGGAGCAGCTTCACCCACTGAGCCACAACACCATGTGGTGCTGATTGATATGCCACCACTAGTGACTGGACTGCCTTTCCTTATGATTACAGACTCCCTGTTCAAAACACCCACAGGACTCCCGTGATTGGCACCTGAATTCTCAGGATAGCTGATCTTACAGAGTTACACAGCGGTCTAAGTTGCAGTGGTCTCTTTTCTCATTGCAAAGGCCCCTGCCTGGAGAGGCTTCCAGACTTCAGCTCCATTGGACAGATGAGCAAGCAGAGGTCACGAAGGGTTCCTTGGGAGAACCAGAACCAGCCTCTCCTGTTCTGGCAGAGTCGGTGTTCTCTCACTATCTACAGAGAATGCTGGCCAAGGGAGGCGGGGCGGGCAGCATGGAGAGAAGCTGAGTGCAACAGCCCCTGAAATCACCACATGCTAGATTCCCATCTCACACTGAATAAGGCTGACACGTGCAACCATGTTGATTCCCAGGGGAGATCATAAAATATATCATTGCTCCCGCTTTGCTTTTTCTTGGACCACTTGCTTGGGTAAGGTCAGCTCCTGTGATGGGAAGACAGTCGGGCAGCCCAGTGACAAGGAACTGATGCCTCCAGCCTGTAGTCATGACCAATCAACTATTTGTGTGAGTGTACCATCTTGAAAGCATGTCCTCCAGCCCTAATTAGTTCTCTTTTAGAATCCTCATTTTAGGAGTTGATGCAATAGCTCAGTTGACTAATCCTCCATCTCCAAGTGCCAGCATCTGATTGAGGCACCAGTTTGTGTTCTAACTGCCCCATTTCCCATCCAAATCCCTGCTTGTGACCTGGGAAAGCAATTGAGAATGGCCCAATGCCTTGGGACCCTGCACCTGTGTGGGAGACCTGGAAGAGGCTCCTGGCTCCTGGCTTTGGATTGGCGCAGTTCCAGCCATTGCAGTCACTTAGGGAGTGAACCAGTGGATGGAAGATTTTTCTCTCTGTCTCTCCTTTTCTCTGTAAATCTGTCTTCCCAATGCAAATAAAAACATCTTTTCTTTTTTTTTTTTAAATTCCTGTCTTATTTGAAAGTTGAGGAGACAGAAAGGGAAAGACAGAACAAAATCTTTTATCTGCTTGGTTCGCTTCCCAAATACCTGCAACAGCTGGAGCTGGGTGGGGCCAAAGCCAGGAGCCCAGGAGGCTCAGCCCAGGTCTTGGGTGCCATGGATCCAACTGCTGGTCCTCAACCTGCTGCCTCCCATGGTGTACATTAGCAAGAAGCTGGAATCAGAAACACAGCAGGGACTCACACCTGGGCCCTCCTAGATGGAATGAGAACATCCCAAGCAGGACCTTAACCATGGAGCTCAACAGTGACAAGTGAAATCCTATCTTTTCTTTAAAGAAATTTATGTATTTGGAAGGCAGAGTCACAGAGGAGAGATTTTCCATCCACTGGTTCACTCCTCCAAATAGCCGCAACAGCTGGGGCTGGACCAGGCCAAAGCCAGGAGCCTGAAGCTATATCTGAGTCTCCCACAGGGGTGGCAGGAGCCCAAGCACCTGGGCCATCTTCTGCTGCTTTCCCAGGTGCATTAGCAGGGAGCGGGATAGGAAGTGGAGCAGCCAATGCTGACGTTACAGGCTATGACCTAACGTGCTAAGACACAATGCTGGCCCCCACCTGTCGTCTTCTGAGTTGCTGAATTGTGGAGGTAATTTCTCAAATAACAATAGAATAATTAATATACCAGCCATAATGTTCCTCAAGGTATAGACCTTTTGCCCTCTACCTCAAAATCCCAAGTTGCTTATTGATAATGCAGGTTCCTGGAGCTGGTGGTGTGGCAGAGTGAGTTAAGCTGCTGGTTGCAAAGCCAGTCTCTCCTGTGGGCTTTGGGTCAAGTCCCAGCTGCTTCACTTCACATCCAGCCTTTTTTTTTTTTTAAGATTTATTGATTTCTATTGGAAAGGCAGAGATACAGAGAGAAATATCTTCCATCAACTGGTTCACCCACCAAGCAGCAGCAACGGGCAGAGTCTAGCCAATCTGAAGCCAGAAGCCAGGAGCAGGTGCAGGGTCCCAAGACTTTGGACTTCCCTCCACTGCTTTCCCAGGCCACAAGCAGGGATCTGGATGGGAAAGGCACCTGGCCTCGCAGTTAAGGTGCTTGTTAAGATGCCTGTGACCCATATCTGAAAACCTAGAATAGACTCTGCGGTTCTGGCTCCTGGCTCCAGCTTCCTGCAATGCACCAGGTTATCTCAGAAGTAACTGAGGCTTTGCAATCATGTGGAAGCCCCAGATGGATTTGCTGGTTCTTGGCTTAAGCCAGGCCCTGACCTGGTTGCTGTGGTCATGCGGGGAGTCAGCCAGCAGATGAAAGATCACATTGTCATTCTGCCCTGGAAATTGAAAGGAAGAAAGGAAGGAAGAAGGAAAGAAAAGAAGGAAGAAAATCTTATAGAGAATTCAAATCCATCAGTCTGGGAGAGAACCAGTCGATTCTTAGTCAGGAGTCATTCATTCACTGAATTTTCAGTGCCCATCATTCACATACTGGGTCCCGAGGGGAGCCAGGGCCCTGAAGGCAAGGACTTTGCCTTAATTATCTCGGATTCCCAGAGTGGAGGCTGCAGAAAACCCTCCCAGATGCTTGTGGCATAAAGGCACGCGCGATCTAAGCCCAGCGCCTATGTCGCCGCCAGACACACAGTAGGCGCTCCAAGAGCAGTCCTTGGCTGCCTGGAAGGCATTTTTCCCCCCACATAGCCTGCTTCTGGTACAGCCGCCGAGGTGTTAAGAATAGTACAACGATGATAGTCATGAATTCCTAAAAATAAACAGAGAGGCTGCGCATCGGTGCCTCCAACCCGCGGCGCCCAGACCCCGGGTGCCCTAGAGGCACCCAGGAGGCACCACCAGCCACCCGGAGCAGAAGGGCTCTCCCCGCCTCCCCCTTCCTCCACCTTGCAGCTCGCTCTGCCCTCCGCCTCCTCCTCCTCTCCGCCCACTCTCGCCGCGGTCTCCTGGCGGCCGCGGCGGCTTTGTCTCGTGGGCTGCTCCCAGCCGGCTCCCTCCCCCCAAACAGCTGCCGCCGGGAGGGAGGCGAGAGGCGCGGGAGCTGTCCAGCATCCTGGTGCTGAACGCCGGAGCGCTCGTCCTCCGGCACCACCATGTAAAGGCCATGAAAAGGGCTGGTCCCGGCGCAGCGCGGACATGGAGGAGGACTTATTCCAGCTCAGGCAGCTACCGTAAGTACACTGGGGGCGAGAGGCACAAGGGCTTTCATTGCAAACACGGAAGCCTGCAGGAAGGTATCTCAGCATGGCTTCTCAGATTTAAAGGCAACTATTTCGGAAGCAGGGATTAGGCCTGGAGGAGGAAAGCCATTTTCCTACCCCAGCAGCCCAGCCTCTCTGGATCTCTGACTCAGTTAATTTTTCCCCCTCTGGAGCTATCAGGATCTCATTGGGAGGGGTAGGAGAGAACCTGGGGAGAGGGGGTGTCCGTTTTCCCTTCTAATTGCCCTCAACCCTCAAGTGGTGTGGCGCGGGTGATGCGTTAAGGAAAGGTTCGCTGCTGCTGTTTGGAAATACGTACTGAATGGATGAGTCCGTGCAATGACATTGGTCCTTTCCAGATCTGTGCTGAGCAATTCCTAATTTTTCCTGCAAGTGTTTTTGGCTGGGAAGGACAACGGTGTTGCACCCTGATTGCTAAAAAGCCGGGGTTCTTTGCCAGAGGAGATGAAGCTTGTTTATCAAGTGTGTGAATGAGAGGGCTCTGCAGCCGTCACTGAGCCCTTTTGCTTTCTTCTGAATGAGATTTTTTTTTTTTTAAACAGTGAACTAGAGTGAGACTGGTCTTGGAAACTATCAAGGATATTCTCCTCTGGGAATTTATGCAGGATATCCAATGTGCTCTGAGGATCTTGGGAGAATACAATCCAGCAATGGAAACAAACAGGGGCCTGTGGAGGGGTTGACAGATTTTTTTCCCCCTACCACAAGCAGATGGTGATTCGTTCAGCAAATTCCAAGAGTATGAGAAGGGGCATGGAAAAGAACATTTCTGGGGGTTTTTGTTTTAATTCTTAGCATCACTAGCCATTTGGATGATAAAAGTAGGCTCCATTTGAAGTTGTTGGGAGAGATATGTTTTGGTTAACATGTGTGTATTTTCTTGACTTAAAAAATGGTGGGTTTTTTTTTTTTCCTTTAAGCTACTGAGGAATTCTCCCAAGTGACTCTTAGTGTGACTAATAGCAGCTCTCTGTGGCTCTGAGTAAAGGGACTGAAATGTTTCCTTCCTGATCAGCATGAAATTAATTTTCTTTTAAAATGCTAGTTCATTTAAAATTTTAGTGTTCAGCTCTTATTAATGGCCACACACACACACAGCATAATATATTATGTAATGCAGCATTCTTTCACAAAGGAAATGCATGAGTAAAATCTTAGGGAAGACATGGCACCATCACTGAAAATAAATTGTATGCTCAAGAACCAATTGCAAAATAATAATAACCCAAAAATGCAAATACAATATTTGATATACAGAATAAGGATACAAATTGAAACTGTGCTTTTCCTGGGACACATGTCCAAACAATGTCAGAGCATGTAACTTTTGCAAAAGATTCATGTCTATTTAACCTGTTACGGTGCAGACATGGTATTATAATGAAAACTCTTCCTGTAATTGAAACAAGGCAAAAATTGGGTGAGGATTTTTTAACTTATTGAAATGTAGATTAGTTTTTAGATGACTCTAGAATGATCCAGTATAGCCTATATACAGTCAATAAAAATCAAAGAGAAGGGCAGGAAGGAGAAGGAAGTCTCCCCTTTCCCAGCCCAGTCTTAGTGCCTTGAGTCAAGGTTCTTGATTATTCTTGCTGACAGCTTACGGACATAAATGTATGCAATACAAGGGCTCTTGAGTCAGATAGACTTGCATTCAAATCCTGACTCTACCAGCCCAACTTTGTTGACTTTAAACAAATGAATCCACCTTTCTGAGATCTATGGTTTCCCAATAGCCTTGAGGATCAAAGAGATAGTTGATTCACAAAGTTATCATGAGCTGATATATGCTAAATCCTGGCAAGACACAAATAAGCTATTATTATTATCATATCTGGAAAAAAATCATATATAAAAATAAAATATATAATTTAACTACCCCAAAACTGTCATCTACAAATGGCAACCTGTGTTAGATTAGATCAATAATTGGCCCTGAAATGTGTTCACCTCAATTTATATATATACACATATATGTGTATTTTAAAGAATAGCTATGTGAATCTGAGTGGGTTGCAAATCACGACTTAAAGATGTTTCTGAAACCACACCCTCTGTGTATTAAGAACAGATTTGTTCTGTAGGCAGATTTCCTAAGAGCAATATGGTTGGGGGAAAATTCACAGTGTCTTGTAGAGGGTTGGCAAGAATGGACTTTGGAACACACTCAGTCCCATGGGAGGCCAAATATTAATAGATTATAAACCACTAAGTCGTTTACAGGGCCTGGGTAGGGGTGAAGGGATGAGATGAGAGTGTCTACAAAACAGCTCTTCCTCACCCTTCAGTACACCTTCACTTTTGGACATCACAAGCAGTCCTTGTCTCTCACCTGCCATCCATTCAGTAACAGTACCATGGGCAGGGCATACCAGAGGCTGCAATGTTACACCCAGTTAGTTCCACCTTATCCTGTGATCTTGTACAACTCAGACTTTTCTAGCTCTCTTCTTTCTAGGATAATTTCTTGAAAACAACTTTTGTAGAAAATATTTATTCATGCAATGATTTTCTGGGGGTAATATCCTACATACAAAGAATTCTGTAACTGAAGGAGATAATTCTTGCTCTTAAGGAACTTGTGATCCCAAGCTGCAATGTCCAGCACAATGGTCACCAGCTACCTGTAGGTAGGCATCATGTATAATATAAAACATATGATACTTGGGTCTAGCCTGTGGAATCAGCATCCCATATGGGCACTGGTTCATGTCCCAGCTGCTCTGCTTCCCATCTAACTCCCTGCCTTTGGCCTGAGGAGGCAGTGGAGGATTGCTCAGGTCCTTGGGTCCCTACACGCATGTGGGAGACCTAGAAGGGAATCCTGGCTCCTGGTTCTGGACTGGCTCATCTCTGGTTATTTGCAGTCATTTGGGGGAGTGAATCAGTGGATGGGGGATCTCTCTATCTCTCCTTCTCTATAAATCTGCCTTTCAAATAAAAATGAATAAATCTTTTTTTAAAGTGATATTGGAAATAATAGAATAAAGTGTATCACTGTAAAGGGAACATGTCCATTGCTATTGAGGTTGATGGCTTCCTGATGGAAGTTAAAAATAAATCAAATCCACAGAAAATTTAGATTCCCTTCGATTGTAAACTTCCAGACATTTATGAATAGACCTCACAGGTCATCACACCCAGTATTCTTATCCCATTTTCCCCATCCAGAGCAGGAGAGCATTCATTCAGTGATTGCTTTCCAACTTGGATGACCATCCTCAGCAACTTATTTAAATTCAGATTCCTAGACTCTATTATACAGAAATCCCAAAATATCAGTCTAGAGTGTGGCTCATCAATCCCCTATGGGTTGTTTTTGGCTGAGAGTGCAGGTTATACCTAAGGGTTAATACACTCAGAATATCTGGCTCTAATTCCTGGCTTCAGCTCTCGATGCCAGCTTCTTGCTGATGCAGATGATAAGACATTAATGGTGGCTCAAATTCTTGGCCAATTTTTTGCAGCCCGAAAGACCTGGATTGTGTTCCTAGCTCCTGGCTCTGGCTCCAGCCTAAAATCCCAGCTGTTGTAGGTGTTTGGAAACTCTCTCACACACACAAAGAGAGAGAGAGAGAGAAGCACTGGCTGATTGGCTTAAGATAATTTTGAGGTTGCTAAGGGTCCTGATACACTAGATACTGTCTAGCGGATAAGGATCAAATGTCCTAACTTCTCTGAGACTCAGTTTACTTGCCTATCAAAAGGAGTTGTATTATTAACATGCCCTTCTTAGGAGAGTTGAGGACATGACAAAGTCGTGGATGGAATTCAGGCTTGGAACTGGCATGCCAAAGTGATGCAAAAGTATTCTATTTCCTTACTCCTGAGCCAGCCACGTGGACACCCACCCTCCTGAAGTGCCTCTTAAGTCTCCCAAAACAGCGCCCTCCTTATATCAAGTTACATCTTTCCCTTCTTCTTTGCACACAGAAGTTGAAGTTTTGTTCTCAGGTTCAAGTTGAACAGGTATGTTCTCTTACATGGCAGAATCTCAAACATTTGAGGAACATTTGGGGCAGCCTCTGGGAAGACCCAAATCCCACAGGTCGGAGAATGCCCCAGGTTGTCTTGCAGACAAGGTAAGATCCACTAGCGCTCATGACCTTGACAGGTTCTGCAGTTCTAAGTACACAGTATCTAACCCCCTTCATCAACAGGCACAGATCCTGGCAATGCCCCAGTGCCACACAAACATAGGGACACAAGCTGAGGGTTGCTGGCACTCAGTGCCTTAGACCAAGTTCTCCAACATGGGGGATCTTTGCCTTCTTGGGGGCAGCCTTGCCATTGAGCCCCCAATGGCAAGGTTTTCCTCTACTAGAAGGAAGAGTGTTAAGGATGAGGAGACTAATAGTGAACAAAACTCCAACTCTGCAGCCTGTACGCTGCAAGCCACCATCCCCTCTGCCCTGGCCCCCACCCTCTTTCCCTCTAGTTGTCCTCCTGAACTCATAATACTTTAGTTCTTCCCTATTCTGATATTTTCACATCTTAGGGTCTTGAAGACCCTGGAGGGACTGCCCTTCCCTGAATGACTAGTTCTTAAAGATAACAAACTACTCACCTGCCGGTGGGCCTTGCAAATAGAAAGCAACCAACCCAGAGCCCAGTCATCTTTGTTGTGAGGCCCCCATAGGTTTCCCAGATCCTGGACCACATCCACCTGCTCCAGAACCCAGTACTCAGTGGCCTGGACAGCCTCTCTGCCCCACAGGCCAATGAAATCATTCAGACTGGCCAGGGCACACAGGCTTTCTCATTGCACCTGGTTCTTTCTGTGGGAGCCACAACAAAAATCCTTGCCTGTGTTTATCCCCTGTGCTCCCTAGCCAACCCTGCTGCTTACCCAACTGGCCCACAGGGGCACACCACGCCCCCATGGACCATGTAGGATCTGTAAATACAGCAGAGTATGCACTTCCAGTGGCAGTCACTGCCTGGTTTCTTGACCTTGCCACAACTAAATAAAAATAAAATCTAGATTTCTTTAATGAGGTAATTTCACCCTCCCTTTGGTTTTTTTTTTTTTATTATTTATTGTCGTCTTATTTGAGAGTTAAGAGAGATAGAGATAGTCAGAATTCTGATCCAGACTCACTGGATCACTCCCCAAATGCTTACAACATCTTCATGGAGGACCCAAAATGCTCTGCTGAGATGATCACAGCTTGCATTCATTTTCCTTTGCTGTCAGATAGATGCATGAACTCAAGGGAGGAAGGTCCAGAAGCTCAGATTAAAAACAAACAAACAAACAAACAAACAAAAAACAAGACAACATCCTTATCTTCAACACCCTCTTCAAGTCACAGGCTCTGACTGAAAGCCCGGAGGTGAATTTCCTATAACCATATTGCTGCAAACAAGATCTTCAAGTTGACAGCTATTTCCTCAAGTTCTTCTCTTCCTTAAATAGCGAAAGTATGTAAAATAAATGTTCCCTGCTATTTTAGTGAGTTATAGACTATATATATAATATACAATAACACATGCCAAGAAATTGCAAGCCAGCCTGCTTTGCAGCCCTCACATATTTTAACATATGCCACTGCTATTTTCTTTTATTTCTTAAAGATGTATCTATTTAAAAGGCAGAGTGATAGAGGAAGAGGGAGAGAGAGAGAGAAGCTTCCATCTACCAACTCATTCCCCAAATAGCCACAACAGCCAGAGCTGGGCCAAGTTGAAGGTAGAAGCCTGGAACTCCATCCTGGTCTCCCCTGCAGGTGGCGGAGCCCTTGTGCTTGGGTCATATCACCATGCTTTCCCAAGTGCGTTAGCAGAATGCTGGATCTGAAGGGGAGCAGTTGGGACTTGAATGGGCACCCTGATACAGGATGCTGGTCTCCCAAGAGGCAGCTTAACGCTCTGCAGAATGCCATCCCTGTCTCTCTTTTCTATCACAGTATATTTATTTGTCCCCTTTGGGAAGTCTTAGCTCCTGCAGATGACAAACACGTGCAAGATCCCAGCTGATAGGAAACAGCGTCTGGCTCTCTGAGTATCATTTAATGTCAAAAGTCTCCCTGTCTTCTCCCTTTGTCTCTATTTTAAAGCAAATTCTGATAAGCCGAGCTTTAAACCTAGCCTCTGGTGTTTCTGCAAGAGATTTGTGAACAGAGCATGATTGGAGACTGCAGGAAGCCAGGCCATTTTCTCCAAGTCATGTCATGCAGAGGTCTGTATGTTCCATGGTCAAGGCAGAATCGTGACCTGGGTCAGGCTAGTCAGAGAGAAATTAATGTTTATCAATTGCTCACAGTCTTCCCAGCCATCAAGTTGATTCTGCGAGCCCATTGTCATCCTCATGTCCCAAAGGAAGGTGTCTGTAGCACGCTGGGCAGAGAGCTATACAAGGAACAGCCACTACTGCTCTACACAGCAAAGGCTCAGGGTGAAAGCTTTAGACACTATAGAAGGGTCCAAAAGGAAAATGAAAAAAAAAAAAAAACATTCTTATCCCTCAAAACCCCTCATTCCCAGTGAGTGCTCAGCCTGACAGTAAAGATGGCTGCAGCCCACATCATAGCACCTGGGTTCAGTCATCGACTCTGTCTCCCGACTTCATCCTCCTGCTGATGCCCACCCTAGGAGGCAGCAGGTGACAGCCCAAGTAAAGGGGGATCTCTGTCACCAAATGGGTGACCCAAGTGGAGTTCCTGGCTCCTGGCTGCAGCTCAACCTCCTCCCTGCTATTGAGGCATTTGGGGAGTGAACCAGTTGATGGGAATGTTTCTCTTCCTCTCTAATTCATGAACTTTTAAAAATCCCCTCCATTTTTATCTACACGTCCTCAGAAGAAATATGCCTTGGGTGTTACGTTCTGTCAACTTCCTGTCATGATGTTGCTTTATTTCAACTCTTGTTATCATCTGTCAAATAGTCACTCAATTCTAAAACATACTTACAAACAATATATTCAAGCCTAGAACGAAGATAGCTTTCTTCACCAAGCCTACTGAGTAGAGTCCCCCCAGAATTGTGTGGTACCCAACTTGATCCATCATCTGTAGTAGCCCTGACCCATTTACTCTGGTGGGTGCCACTCCAGCCTCCCAAACTCAACAGAAGTGCCAGCTCCTCCCCATTCCATTCTCTATGCTACGAAGAAGGACTTTCACCTGTGTTGTGCCCAAGCCCTATGGAGCAGGGCTGTTGGAGGGGCACTCCAGCCATCATGACCGGGTCTGCTCTTTCCTCTAGGGTGGTGAAATTCCGGCGGACAGGCGAGAGCGCGAGGTCAGAGGACGACACAGCCTCGGGGGAGCATGAGGTCCAGATCGAAGGGGTCCACACGGGCCTAGAGGCTGTGGAGCTGGACGATGGGGCAGCGGTGCCCAAGGAGTTTGCCAATCCCACTGACGGTGAGGAGGCCCTGCTGCTGGGGCATTGGCCTGGGCCAGGGTCAGGGGCTCTGAGGGGCCAGCATTGCCACCCCAGGCAGTGCTGTTGTCAGGGAAGGGTCTTGTGCAGGGGCAGCTGGGAAGGCACCCAACACCCAGGAGTGAATCTGAATGTGTGGGCTTCAGTAGGCTGGGTTATGTCACAATCAGCGGCAGTCAACATCACCGCATCACACTTGGTTGAGGGCAGCAGCCGCACTGGTGGTGGTGCTGACAAAGATGGTGAAGATGATGATGTGATGGTGGTGGTGATGAAGATGGAAGTGACATGCCGTTGATGATGATGGCCATGATGATGAGAAGGTGGTGATGACAATAGTAATAAAGATGAGAGCGACAATAGTGATGAAGGTGATGGCAGTGATAATGATAGTAATGGTGACGGTGATGGTGATGATGATGATGGTGATGACAATGATTGAGAGGCTGCTGACAGTATAATGATGATAGTAATATGGTAGTGGTAATGATGGTGATGGGATGAAGATGGTAATGACAGTAGTGATGATGGTGATGATAGTGATAATCATGGTGGTGATAGTGATGGGATGGTGGTGGTGGTTGTGATGATGATGATGATGATGATGATTGAGAGGCCGCTAGCAGTATGGTGATGATAGTAATTATGGTAGTGGTGATGGTGATGTTGATGGTGGTAATAACAGTGCTGGTTATAACGGTGATGAAGGCAACGTGATGACAGAGTTTGGAAGCACCTACTGTTAGTGGAAGATTTATTCTGTGCAGGGCACTGAATCCTTCCAACAGTTTCAATTGGAACTATTTCCATCATCTTCCCTGTTTTGGAAGTGAGGAACCTAAAGGCCACATGGGCTGAGTGGCCCAGGCATTCACAAATGGGAATCCACCAAGGCAGTCGGCTGCCTTGCACTGCCTCTGAGAGGAGGCTGGCCCCATGGAGGTGCCCTTTGACCTCAGCTTAGAACCCCCCTCACCACCCGCAGCTGTTGACTGAGAACGTTGAAGAGTTCCTGAATGACTGTGTGCCCCAACATAAGAGAGGGTTCCTGACCTGATCCCTGGTCCCAAGACCCATTGCTATTCCAACTACCCAGGGCACTTACGCCGCAGGAAGCCAGAGCCTGCAAGTATGATCAACATTTGCTCCCACGTCCAGAGGAAACCACCATGGTTGACACAAGGGACCTGTAATTGCCATTCCAGAAAGATGACAACACCTGGTGGGGGCTGAGACCCTCTCAGCCTGCCACAGAAGGGTCACCCAACATCCTTTGATCATGTCTTTTCTTTTTAAACTTTTTTTAGTATATGTGCTGCCGAAGCGAGCACCTTTTTAAACTTTTTTTTTTTTTTAAGATTTACTTATTTCTATTGGAAAGGCAGACATACAGAGAGGAAGACATTCCATCCGCTGATTCATTCCTTAAGTGGCCACAATGGTGGGAGCTGAGCTGATCTGAAGCCAGGAGCCAGGAACCTCTTTCAGGTCTCCCATGCAGATATAGATTCCCAAGGCCTTGGGCCATCCTCCACTGCTTTACCAGACTACAAGCAAGCAAGTAGATGGGAAGTAGAGCAGCTGGAACATGAAACAGCATCCATATGGGATCCCAGCACATGCAAGGCGAGGACTTTAGCCACTAGGCTATCGTGAGGGGCCCCATGTCTTTGCTCTTCAAAGAACTTTATTTTGGAGTCACTTTAGATATATAGAAAAATTGCAAGGCTAGGAGAAGAATTTCCATCTTGCCTTTATCATCTCCTGTACAGGTTCAAACCCTACCTAACCATGACCCTTTCAGCAGAATTAACACATTATTGGTATTGGCACAGTTCTATTGCTTGAACTCCACACTGGATTCAGATGCCCTGGTTTTGTTTCGTGTTGTTTTGTTTTGTTTTACTAGTGTTATTCCAGGATGCGTTTCATCTTTTACAATTTTTTTCAAAGTGCTTATTAGCATATACATTATGTATTTGGAAAGCATTCAAGCAATGTAGAAACATCCAAAGTAGGGCCCAGTGCAATGGCTCAATTGACTAATCCTCTCTTTGCACACGCCGGGATCCCATATGGGTACCAGTTCTAATCCCGGTGGTCCCACTTTCCATCCAGCTCCCTGATTGTAGCCTGGGAAACCAGAAGAGGATGGTCTGAAGCCTTGGGACCCTGCATCTGTGTGGGAGATCCAGAGGACTTCCTGGCTTCAAATCAGCTCAGCTCTGGCCATTGTGACTACTTCAGGAGTAAACCAATGGATGGAGGATCTTTCTCTGTGTATCTTCTTCTTTATATATCTACCTTTCCAATAAAAATAAATAAATCTTTTTTTTAAAAGTATATTCTGGGCCAGCACCACAGTATAGTGGTAGGTTAAGCTTCCATCCGTGGTGCCAGCATCCCATATGGGCTGCTACTATGCCTGAAAAGGAGCAGAAGATGGCCAAAGTCCTTGGGCTGCTGCACCCATTTGGGAGACCCAAAAGCAGCTCCTGGCTCCTGGCTTCAGTTGTTGCAGCTATGTGGGAAGTTGAAGCAATAGATGAAAGATCTGTCTCTCTCTTTCCCTCACTCTCTCTGTAAATCTGCCTTTCAATAAAAATCTCCCTTTTTTTTTTACCTAATGAAGGAAATCATACAAAACGTTGAGTCTTCTCTCTTCCAAAGACAGTAAAGACAAAACCACCAAGTCTTTCGTATATGCTATGGAGAGAAACACACACCCAGGCGTCCACCTCTCAGAACAAAAGTGCACTGTCCTGTTGCCCATCTTGTTTATCTTTTAAATACTAATTAGAAATACACTCAATGTGTCTTTCATTATCTACCCATTCTACACAGTTGTATATGGCATTACGTAATGTGGATGTTTACAAAGTTATGTAGGGTTAATTATACACATACACACACACACACAAATGTATTCACACACTCATGCACACATGTACACAAACACACACACACACAAGACAACTGCAAGTGGCACTGATCTCATCCCCACCCTTTACTCCCTTATAGATACTTTCATGGTGGAGGATGCGGTGGAAGCCATCGGGTTTGGAAAGTTTCAATGGAAGCTGTCTGTCCTCACTGGCTTAGCATGGGTGAGTACTGTGAAGCTGGTGTCCACCTCATGGGAGTCCTCAGTGGGCTCTCATGCCACTCCCCAGGTTTCCATGTCTACAGAAGCCATGCTGGAGTCCTAACCAACAGGTGTTCTGTGCAGTGATGCTTGGTGGAATAGCAGTGTGAGCTGGTGGAATGTGGGGTGGCTCAGGGGAGCTGGGTGTGCTGGTGATGGCCCTGAAAGAGTCAAAGCCCCTGGCCAACACACCAACTCTTCATTCCACGGTGCACCTGTGATGTTAGCTCTGGACCCCTCCTATGGGCACAAATGACTTTGCCTTTTGCTTCAAGGGGCTTATAGTCCCTCGTGGAAATCCTCTTAGATGGGTTGACCACCAGAACAGCCAGAACATTCATCTGGAGGGACCTCAAAGGTGGGTGTTTGTGCTTAAGTCGCCCCTTTAGACACCTGCACTCCATGTTGGAGTCCCTGGTTCTGGCCCCAGCTCCTCCACTTAGGCTCTACCTGCCTGTTAATGCACACCCAGGGAAGCAGCAGATGACCGCTCCAGTACATCAGTTCCTGCTGACCACATGTGACACCTGGGTGGCATCCCAGGAGCCTCCTGGCTTTGGTATGGCCCAGCCCCAACTCTCACGGCCCTCTGGGGAGTGAACTAGCTAATGGAAATCTGTCTCCCACTCTCTGTCCCTCTGCATTTCAAATCAAATCAAAGTAAATTTTAAAATTGCTATAAAGCCTAGTGTCCTAGAAAAAGGTTGATTTTGTGTGTGTGAGAGAGTGATAGATCACAACCGAGTTACACGTTTTTCCACATGCATCATCAATTTCTCCCACTAATTGGAAACGCTGTTTGATCCCATACAGCTCTTCCCCAGCCTCATGGGTCTGCTTCTAAGCTCTCATTTCTGTCTCACTGTTCTGGCTAGTCCCATAGCAGTATCAAAATATTTAATTACTGGGACTTTCTAATATGCCTTAGTATATTAACAGGTCACGCTTATTAACTATACTGGTAATTCTACATGAACAAATGGCCCACAAACCGAGGATAATCTAGTCTCTAATTGCACGAAGAGAGAAGATCATTCCTTGGCTGTATCAAAAAAAAAATTTTTTTTTCTTGGATTTTAGAAATACGCTCTTTTCCCACTTTAGAGAGGGCTCTTATTTTTGTGAACACTGAAAAAAACACAGCCCATACCCCAAGAATGCTAAAGGGCTTTATCAGTTTCTACATGGTAACATGTTGCTTTAGCTTTTAGTGTGCCTTTTGTGCTTTCTGTATTCGAAAGGCAGAGTGAGAGGCCCATCTTGGATGGCTGGTTCACTCCCTTAAATGCTCACATTTAAATGCTCCCTTAGGAGCAGGAGCCAGGACCTCCATGCAGGTCTCCCATGTGGTTATCTTCTGCTGCGTTCCAAGGCACATTAGCAGGGAGCTGGAGCTGAGGAGCAGAGGACCCAGGATGGACACGACACTTCGATACTGGATGCGGGCAGCCCAGGCAGTGGCTTAGCCTCCTATAGCCGCCTGCCCCACAGGGCTGGCCCCTCTCTGTCATGGGGGGAAGGAAGCAAGCACAGCAGGTGGAAGATGATGTCCCTGGGCCACGTGGGCCTGGGCGGCAGCCTGTCTCACACTGTCCCCTTTCCTCTCTGCAGATGGCCGATGCCATGGAGATGATGATTCTGAGCATCCTGGCTCCTCAGCTGCACTGCGAGTGGCGCCTCCCCAGCTGGCAGGTGGCCTTGCTGACTTCGGTAGGCGGCCTGTGGGCTTCTCTTCTATGGGCACATGGAGGTGTCCTGTGGGAGGACCCTTCCCTTCCGCTGCCAAGGCCCTGGGTGGAAGTACACTGTGACCTCAGCACATGTGGTTGGTCCCCACAACACATCTCCTGGCAGCTTTGCAGCTGATTCTACCCTTATCAGCGGGGCTGCCCCATGGCTGGGGCTAAGAGTAAATAATTGTAAAGGAATCAGAAGCTGGATGAATTCTGAAAGGACTTAGAAGGAGACCGCTGGTGCCCTCTTCGACGTTCTTGCAAGTGCTCATCACATTTGGTAGGATCAGCAGAGTGGGAAGGACAGGTAGTGGCTTAACTTGCAGTGCCACAACAACGGCACCTCAGGAGAATTGTGCACCAAGATTTATCTTTCAATTCAGTTTTTTCATGACTTGGTGAAATTTCCCAAAGAAACGTTTAGACCAGGGTTTGTCCCCTGACTTGCTGTCATCAGCTGCAAGGGGCATGACATCACCAGTTGCTTTTGTTGTTGTTCTCTGTCTCTGCTGCACTCTGTGTTGACAGACACTCTCCTTATACCCACAGGTGGTCTTCGTCGGCATGATGTCCAGCTCCACGCTCTGGGGAAATATCTCAGACCAGTATGGCAGGAAAACAGTAAGGCAACTTCTGCGTGCCAAGCGCATACTCTGGGCTCTCCCGGGAGCCTGGGTAGACAACTAGTAGAGCCTGCACTGCTTTCACACCAGGGGGCGCTTCTGAGCACCACGAGGTGCTCATCCAGTCATGCTTTCTTAACGGGCTCATGCATGCCCACCTGGTTATTACTTGAGCGTATCTGGAAGGCAGAGGGATGGAAATCTGTCATCCACTGGTTCACTCCTTAAATGCCCAAGCATCTAAATGTCTGGGGCCACTTCAGTAGAGCAAACAGGCAGAGCCTGGTTCTTCAAGGTGTTAACTCACCCTGTATCTTCCATCCTATGCCCACAGCACACATCACTAGTTGATCCTAGCGCTCTGAGCTCCTCCAACCCGCTTTATGTACCACGACTAAGACATTGCTGGGGGTGCCTGCATGCATCCCAGCTCGTAGCATCTGGTTTTAGGTGTTGGGCCTCTCCTGGAGTCCAGCTGAGAGACCCTGGGCGGCCGAGGTGGTAATACAAGTGGCTGGGTCCCTGACACTCACATGGGGAACCTGGATTGCCAGCCTTAGCCTGGTAGTACACAAGAAATACTTCCTGAGAAGCTGAGCTGGGACAGAAGAGGATTATGTCTCCTTGTTTCCTAACCCCACATCTCTGATCCCCACAAGGGCAGCAGTTGACTCAAGGGAGAAATGTTCTTGGATACCTGAAAAGGTCACTAACTTAGAGTCCTTTCCCTCCGTAGAAAGGGGCATTTATTCTCTTTCCAAGGCCATTTCCGGGAGGTAGCTCTGTAGAATACAGAGAGGAGATGGTGGCAGCATGTGCTGTAGCAGGTTAAGCCCCTACCTGTGGTGCCAGCATCCTATATGGGCACCTGTTCTAGTCTTGGCTGCTCCACTTCCCATCCAGCTCCCTGCTTGTGGCCTGGGAAAGCAGTCGAGGACGGCCAAAAGCCTTGGCACCCTGAACCCGCACGGAGACCCAGAAGTAGCTTTTGACTGCTGGATTTTGAGCCCAGGTCTCTTTGGCCATGTGGGAAGCAAACCAATGAATGGAAGAACTCTTTCTCTAACTCTGCCTTTCCGAAAAAAAAATTAAATTTTTTGGAAAGGAAAAATACAGAGAAGAGAAAGCACGAGTTTGCATATGAAAAAGTGGGTGCTTAGCCTGCATCTCACATTGGAGGGCCTAGGCGCCTGTGTGCTGTCCAGCTCCAGATTCTGGCTTCCTGCTCATGTGTGTCCTTGAAAGCAGCAGTAATGGCCCCATTACTTGATTCTTGGCCCCCATGTGGGAGTCTGGGGCTCTTGGCTTCAGTCCTGTGCTCCCCCCATCCAGCCCCGAAACTTCAGATACGGGGGAGTGAACCAGCAGATGGAAGTTTCCTCTCTCTATCTCTCACACAACAATTTTCTAAACTTTTGAAAAAGATCTTATAGAGAGGTTTCAAGTAATGGCACTTGCTGACTTATGACTTTATTTTTGGCATCTTCTAGAACAGCAATTCTCTTGGGGAGGTCACGGAGTTAAGATCTAGAGATGTTTTGGTTGTCACTTTTGGAGGATGGGCGTGGGAAAGGTGCTCCTGTCACCTGGTGGGTAGAGGCCAATGAGGCTATTCAATATTGCACCTGTACAGGACCAGCGCTGCCACAAAGATGTGCCATGTGGAGGGTATTGTTGCTGGGGCTGCGATGGAAGGACCAGGCTGTGAAGTCCACATGTAGATGGTGCTACCAAGCAGTGGCACTGGGGAGAACCCTTCCTTCCCCTCTTACAGCATCACCTGGGACCAATCAGCCCTCCTCCGGGCTTCTACCCAAGGGGCTCTCCTGGACAAGTGAGATGATAGGGCATGTGCTTCATGAGTTCAAATCCAGCCCCTCCACTCACAAGGCTACATGGCCTTGGGCAAGTTGTTCCATTCCTCCGTGCCTCACTTTTCCCATCTGTGAGTGGAGTGCCGGTTTTCTTCTCCTATGGGGGCTGCAATGAGGCGTAAATGGCCTTGAACACTAACCTCTCAACTCAGAGACAGAGTTCTGTTAGGGTTTCTATCATGGGCCAGGCTTGTGGTGCACATGGAAGGCAGCACCAGCATTAAATACAAGCAGATCTGCCTCCAACCTTCACATCCTTCATCCTCCCGACCTTGGCCTCTGGGGGACAAAACCGGATTAGCCTCCTCATCTGTTGGACGTTCATTCTGGCCAAAGGTGTGGAGCTCAGGGTGGGAGAGCTGCCTGTACACAGGATGTCCTGTCGCTCCCCCAGCTGGCTGACTAACCTCCACCCTGGTGGGAGGCTCCAGCAACCAGAGACAGAGCAAAGAAACTGCTTGTTCTTTGGCCTGGGATCATGGCCTGGCCTCAGAGAGGATGGCTCAAGCCGCAATTACAAAACTGCTTTGGAATGCCCAGGAATCTGAGCTGGCTGGGCAACTGGCAAGCCTTCGCATGCTAGGAGACGTGCTTTCATCGGGTGGCACGTGACCCTGTGGGATGAGCACTCGTGGGGTTAGGAATTAGGGGGCTGCTCTGGTCTGTGCAGAACTTGGAGGGCTTGTGGCAGCTGCAGAAAGATGGAGGTTGACCCCTAGAAGTGTGGCCGTCTAGCCCTGGGGCCTGGTAGGAGCCCTGAGAAGACACGTGCTAAGGGCACCTTGAGGGAATCAGGCACCTGCCTGAATGTCAGGGCTCGGCGGGGGGGTGATGTTGGGTTGGATGGCTCTGGCGTTCATGAGCCACCCCAAGGCCCACAAGGACAGCTCTCAGACAGGCTTTGCCAAGAGCACCCGGTCTTTGTCCTGGCACGGGCAGAACTTAGCCCTGGTTGCTGAGTCCTTGTTTTCTGGGCAACTGGAAAGCTCTGGCATCAGCAGACAAATGCAGTGCCAGCTGCAATCTTTTGTGATCCAATGGGAGAGGGTAGCAAGCCTGGGTGTGCTGCCTGGCAAAGGGCATAAATCCATCCCCTCCCCCAACAGCCCTGGAGGGAGGTTTATCTTTGTTTCCCCTGTGTCCAGTCTGGGAGTCCTCGTCCCCACCACCCCACCCCATTCCTTTTTTCTTGCTCTGATTTTCTTTTATTTTCTCTGCTGTTGAATACACCCTATGTCAATCCTACAATCTTTGAGTTCCAAGGGGGAGAGAGGAAATCCCTGTTAAGTTAGTTTAAGCCAAAAGAAGGGCATTCAGTGTCTGTGTGGCAGGTGCCAACTGCTTACCTATATAAAGATTTGTTTCATTTATTTGAAAGGCAGAGGGACAGAGTGCAAGGGAGAGACAGAAAAAGAGATCTTCCATCCTCTGGTTCAACTCCCCCCAAAGCGCCACAATAGCTGGGATTGGGCCAGGCTGAAGCCAGAAGCCAGGAACTCCAGCCAGGTCTCCCACGTGGGTGGTAGAGGCCCAAGTACTGAAGTCATCTCACACTACCTTCCCAGCACGTTCACAGGTAGATGGATCAGAAATGGAACAGCCTGGTCCCGGCACAGTAGCCTAGTGGTGAAAGTCCTCGATTTGCATGTGCTGGGATCCCATATGGGCATCGGTTCTAATCCCTGCAGCCCTGCTTCCCATCCAGCTCCCTGCTTGTGGCCTGGGAAGGTCGTTGAGGACGGCCCAAAGCCTTGGGGCCCTGCACCCGCATGGGAGACTCCAAAGAGGCTCTGTGCTCCTGGCTTTGGATTGGCTCAGCTCTGGCTGTTGCGGCTGCTTGGGGAGTGAATCATCGGACAGATCTTCCTCTCTCTCTCCTCCTCTCTGTATATCTGACTCTCCAATAAAAAATATATCACTAAGCTCTTCTTCTTTTTTTTTGAAAGATTGATTTTTATTGCAAAGTCAGATATACAGAGAGGAGGAGAGACAGAGAGGAAGATCTTCCATCCGCTGTTTCACATCCCAAGTGTCCACGACTGGGGCTGGCTGCTCTGCTTCCGATCCGGCTTCCTGCTACTGTGTCTGAGAAAACAGTGAAAAATAGGTCTGGTGGCTTGACCCCTGTCAGTTCCCATTCCTGGTAGTAGTCCATGTCCTGTTACTATAACAAAACCCAAGATTGGGGAGCTTAACAAGAGGCTTGTTCTGCTCACAGCTCTGCAGGTTTAAAGGCTTGAGGCCTTCATGGAGGACAGCATCATGATGGCAGGGGACTTGGCCAAGAGGCAGAGACCACGTGGTGATCACATGATGGTCACATGAGGAGGCAAGATACTGGAGTATGAGCAATGACTCCCTGCCAGGTCTTACTTCTTGACACCGACACACTGGGGACCAAGCTCCCAGCCCATGAACCCTGTGGGACAGACACAAACCACGTCCAAGCCATCACGGTGCCTTGACCACGATGTGAGGGAGATTTTGTAAGAGACATTTTCACAAGATCATTAATAAAGCAACAAAAAAGACTTATGTGTGGCCAGAGTCATGGCATATCAGGTTAAGCCTCCACCTGCCATGCTGGCATCCCGCATGGAAGCCAGTTCAAGACCCTGCTGCTCCATTTCTCATCCAGATCCCTGGTAATGTACCTGGGCAGGCAGCAGAAGGTGGCCCACGTGCTTGGGCTTCTGCTCCCACAGCAGGACACCCAGAAAAGTTTCTGGCTCCTGGCTCCTCCTCCTGTTGAGGAAGTGAAACACTGAATGGAACATATTTCTCTATGTGTCTCTCCTTCTCTCTGTAATTTTGCCTTTCAAATATAAATAAATAAATAAGACTTATATTCAATATGCGAATGTCCATAGGACGACAAAGAAGGTAGCCAACATTTGTCCTGATTATAGCTATGTTTACCACTGAAGATCATCAATATTGTTTCCTCATATTTCCCTTTTTAGCCAGGAGCCCAGAGCCTCTTCCAGGTCTTCCACCTGGGTGCAGGGTCCCAAGGCTTTGGGCCATCTTCGACTGCTTTCCTAGGCCACAAGCAGGGAGCTGGATGGGAAGCGGGGCTGTAGGTGACCTTTTGAGATCAGATCTGTTTGCAGACAGATGCTGTAGATGTACACTGATGGATGCTGACGTGGTCCCCAATGACTCACATCCCACAAGCAGTGTAACCATTGACAACAAGCTTTCCTGAATGAACGACTTTGGGGAGATCCAGATAACATGAATCTCCCTTTGATTCATCTGGAAACTGTGCTTCCGACACATCAGGCAGATGTTCATACAGTGCCATGCCCCCGACTTTCATACAGTGCCGTCCTGTTGACCCTGGAGCAGAGTATCGTACCAGGGGTGGCCTATCAATCAGAAACATCTTTCAGCTTTCACACACCTGGGGGACGGGGAGAGGGCAATTGAGACGCTGAATGGCTCAGGACGAGTCTATTGTATCTTATGCATATCATAGGGCAAGCACCAAGAATGACCTCCAATTTTCTCACTGACCTGCTAGGGATTGGCACCATCTGGACAGAGCACCCCTGGCCTCCACTTGGCCAGGCAAGGTACCTTTAGTTTGGCCCTCCTAGTGGTATGCAGCAGGGTGCAGGGGCACACCTACATGATTCCATATCTTGCTCCTCCACAGGGGCTGAAGATCAGCGTGCTCTGGACCCTGTACTACGGCATCCTCAGTGCTTTCGCCCCCGTGTATAGCTGGATCCTGGTGCTCCGGGGACTGGTGGGCTTTGGAATCGGAGGGGTCCCCCAGTCGTAAGTAAACAACCAGCGCCGGCCCTGCAGTGGGGGCCTCGGTATCTGGGGATTATGCTTCCTTGGATTCAATCTACTGCAGGTCTTCGGAAAAATGTCTGTGTGTTAGTGTGTGTGTGTGTGTGTGTGTGCGCGCGCACACGCATACTGAATGCAGCATCTTTTCCCTTTGTCATTTGCCCCTAAACTGTACTGACAGCTATATGCACAGTATTTACACGGTGTTAAGTATCATAAGTCATCTAGAGAGGATCTGAAGTATACAGAGGATATGTATAAGTGAGATGCAAATAGCACATCATTTTATAGAAGTGGTTTGAACATCTGCCAAGGGTCCTGGATGCAAAGCCCTGTAAACATCAATGACCGACTGTGTGAGGTTTACAGCCTCCAAAGAATGCAGTAGTGGCCCCAGCAGCGATCTGACTTTAAGGAGCCAGTGATGCAGAACAGCGTGGCAACAGTAACAAAAGCAAGCCACTAGGTGCAAGGTGAGGAAAGTAAAAGAAGAAAGTGTAGCAATAGGGCTAGTGTCAACAGGGCCTTTCACTCTGACACATGGCACACAGCAGGGGTGGGGTAATGCTATGGTGTCACCACAGTCTCCCTGATCCAAGGGAACTGTGGCCCTGGGGGAGAGATCCTGTGGCCAAGTCGCACGGTGTGAAAGTGAAACTAAGACCCCAAGCTGTCAGCCAACAGCATCTGAGTTGTTCTTGATATTTGTTTTATTTATTTCAAAGATAGTTAGAGAGAGAGGGTAAGGGAGAAACAGAGTGAGATGAAGATCTTTCATCTGCTGGTTCATTCCCCACATGGCTGCAATAATTGCTGGGGCTGGGCTGTTTCTGCCTGGGGTAATTTGAGTATTCATAACATCACTTGTATATCATATAAAATGACCAACTTAAACATTAGCCTGCTGGAGGTTTAATGAATTTCAGGTCCTGCCTGTGATTGCCTTGGGAGGGCCAGACCAAGTGATTTCACGGGTTGGATGGCCTCTGCCCCTCACCCTAACCCTATAGGGACTTGGAAGTCGACATGCCCCTTCAGGTTGCTCCACAATGAGATCTGCAGGCCTGACCTGTCCACCCTCACATCAGTCTTCGGATGTGTACTGCCCTCAAGGAGGGAACATGACCTTGGCCATGGCAATCCCTGCAAAGGACTCGGCTGTGATCTTCTATAGGACTGAAGACCCCATCCCTGAAAGGGGACTCCAGATAGCCCCATCCCTGCAGCCAACACTGTCCAGCTGTTGCACTCCATGGGTCAGCTGGCATTGCCCCTAAATGGTCAAGTTCAGCCCCTATAAGAGCAGTTCCTCCAAGGTTCTGGTGGCTCTTTCACGGCAGCGACTCCCACGAGACTGGTGAGGAGCGAAGCATCGTCCCGCTGGGGCTCCTGGTCTCCCAGCCATCAGGGATGCTCCCCACTCTGCTACATGTGCCTGGTTCCCCCACTTCTGACTTGTACTCTGGCTGGGAGTGAGGGTGACCCAGCTTCATGCCTGAAGGGTCCAAGTCCCTCATTTCGCGCCCCTCTTAGGCCACACCTTGTGCACCTTCTTTTTGTCTAGAAAGGAGGTAGCTTGGAGAGAAGGGAGAGAGAGGAGGAGGAGCCTAAGGGAGCAGCTTACCTTTCCATGCCTCACTGTCCCAGTCTCCAAAATGGGAATAACAACCTACCCACATCATGGGGTCCCTTAGAATGGAAAATGTTAGCCTGCGTGATGCTCCCTTCCCAGGACCCAGCAGAACAAATTGATGTGTACTTCAAGCATCAGACCCCTCCGCCACCCCTGAGGGCTTTGGGAAGAAAGCTGTATGTCAGCATGACAGTGGGGTGGAAAGAACTTTAGCGAGGGGAGGAGACCCAACGTGCAGATCAACACACAAGCCTGCGGCTGGACAGTGAGTGCCACTCCCTTCTTCTGGACTCATTCCTCCAGGGCTCCACAGAGCAAGGAGGGTAACTTCCCCTCATCTGCCACGGGTTTAGGAGCCACTGGAGCTTGAAGCTGAGGCCATTTGCAGGGCTGGAAAGGGCTGGTGGCTCGGCTGGAGGAGTTCCTGGCGACAGAGTCCTTGCCCCATTCCCAAGCTGCTCACCTACCAGGGGACTGTTTCCCTCATACAGGGAAGATTCCTTCACAGATGAGCAGTTCACCCGCAGATGTTCCAAATGCCAGCTGAGAACCCCAGCTGGCTTTCCCTGTGTGTCTGACCAGCTGGCCATAAATCAGGGTGCCTAGGCCCTCTTTACGGGTTCAGTAGATCCGCCAGAAAGGCACATAGACCTCAGGGAAACACTAATTTTGGTTACCCCCAGAGGACAGCATGTTACAAATGCTACAGAAGAAGGAAGACAGGGCAAGGTAGCACAGCACATTCACACCCTCGGCAGGTGCGACAGCACCCCTCTCCAGTCTTCACCTGCTCAGCCACATGAGGGCTCCTAACCTGTCCTTTCCTGTCCCTGTGCGTGTTTACAAAAACTTTGTTGCATGAGCATGGTTGATCACATCATTGGCCATCAACCATCAACTTAACTTTTTTTTCTACCTTTACGTATTGGAAAAGCAAAGTGAGAGTGAGAGATTCGTTGGGGGACTCCACTGGGTCATTTCCCAAATGCCTGCAACAGCCAGGGCAGTGCCAGGCTTGCGACAGGAACCAGGAGCTCATTTCCAATCTCCCATGTGGTAGCAAGAACCCAAGCGCTTGAGCAATCATCTCCTGCCTCCCAGTGTGTGCATCAGCAGGAAGCTGAGCTGAGGGGTGGCCAGTATTGGAATGCAGCAGGTTCAGCTGCTACTTACAACACTGGCATCTTGTAGAGAGAGTGATGGTTCAAATCCCTGTTGCTTCACTTCTGATCCAGCTCCCTGCTAATGCACGTGGAAGGCATGCATCATCACCTAACTGTTTGGGCCCCTGCTACCCAGAAGGGAGACCCAGATGGAGTTGTTGGCACCTGTTTCAGCTAAGACCAGCCCTAGCTGTTGTGGCGATTTGGGGAGTGAATCGGTAAATGGAAAAATATCTCTCTGAAGTCTACAGCGCCTGTGTGTATGCTGATACAACTTTCAAATAAATAAGTAAATGTCTTTTAAAAATCACCTGGGATGGGATCCCAGGCACCCTGACATGGGCTGCAGGTGTCCCAAGCAGCACCCTAACCACTAAGCTACAGCGCTAAGCCCAAATCTGAGATGGTAAAAAATTAAAGTGACATGTACAGAGCCACACACCTGGTCAGTAGCAGAGCTGAGATGTCAGCATCGTGCGACAAAGCCTCTTGTTTTCAGGACTCTGTTAGCTTGCTTATCTGTAAGAGCAATGAAAGCAATAAACAAAATTACAGAAGAAATATTTAGTCCCTGAAGAGACCACACATTTTTGATATTTTTGCAATTTACATCAAATAATGACATCTTAATTAGACATTGTTATTCTTGTCTGCCTCTAAGGATGGCTCTCCTACTCACATTATTTAACAGCTTTTTGTTGAAAAAGGGATTTATGGGGACAAAGGAAATGAAGAGTTTCCACGTGTTTATAATACTCGGTGGCAGCACCTCCTAAAAGTGGATGAATTAGATTGTGCTATACCATTTCAAGGCTGAACCACAGAAGTCATTATAACTGCATCCAGCCACTGTTCTATAAGTAAACGTGGAAAAGACCCCAAAAGAATGAAGATTTCATAATCTAGCTTATAGATTTGTTATCTGCACACGTCCTTCACATCCAAAGCCAGGAGTAGCTTCGCCCTTGGAGAATACTGAACTGCATTCTGGCAAATGCAGAGTGAGTTTCCGTTTGCTTGGAGGCAGGGAGGCGGAGCCACGATCAACCACAGGATGAATCACAGATGTTGAGTGATTTTGCTTCCTAAGAAGGAACATGTGGCAGGAATCGTATTTCATTCAAACGATGGAGTAGATACTGCCTTTACATTTATCGTCCAAAATAATATGCTTTTTGGAAAAAATTTAGCATCTGTGCATAAGCCCCCAAAACCACAGTCCCCTCTAATAGCACAAATCTCAGGAAAATATATTCCAGATACAGGTGGGTGGGTGCTGGGGCCAACGTGTAGCTTTGTCCAGCAGAGGGCACTGTAGGCTTCAGCAGACAAACACACATGGCTGACAGAGATGCTGTGCTAACCTTGCTGGAGTTCAAGCTGCTCTCAAAGACTGGTGGACCTGTCACAGCTTTGCCACTTGCCTTGGGATGTTCTTCAGATTAGCTTGCCAAGCTGCCCTGGCTCTGCCGTTTTCCTCCACAGACCTCCTAAAAACGCCATAGTGAGACTCCTGGGCCATTTCTTTTCAAAGCACCTGATTGGAATGCAAATTTCTAATTGTGATTATCCTCTTCAGAGGATTGATTTACCCGGAGATCAGCTGCCTCTGGACATTGCTAATGTCAGTGCCGGTTCTTGCATTTTGTAGGGTGATTCTAATCACTGCCATCTTCTAGTGGAATTTCAAGCAGCTAATTTTCAGGGCGAGCTGCTATCAGCAAGCGCTGCGGGTAGGGGCAGGGTAAACAAGCTATTTCCCGTGACACCTTTTGGAAAAGCAAGAAATTGGACACAACCTAAACACGAATCAGTAGGGGGTGGCCACCTAAATGATTAACCAGCCACAGTGGAAGATGGTGCAGCTGTTAAAAGTGGTGCAGAAGGGTTCTCTACAAGAACGGATGCAGACATCCACGTTGTCTCTTGGAAAGATGGTCCTGACACTGAGGTTCAACAGCAAGCAGTTTACTCTGCGAGACTACACAAGCACGCAGTCCACATCATCTTACTTAGGATGAGGTTATGGTCCTGTGCTGAACACTGCCTTTGGGAGGGTTAAACTCCCTGGGCTTTCTGAGTGACCTCATGGGAAAGCAAAGCAAGCTTTAGTGACCAGAGAAAGTCCTGGTGACAATGGGGACTTTTGGGACGGGCACCTAAGCTAGTGGTTTGGGACAGGGATTAACATACCCTTGTCATGGGCCAAGCATGATGGCTCAGTGGCTAAATCCTCACCTCACAGTGCTCTGGGATCCCATATGGACACCGGTTTGTGTTCTGGCTCCACTTCCCACTCAGCTCCTTGCTTGTGGCCTGGGAAAGCAGTAGAGGATGACTCAAAACCTTGGGACCCTGCACCCACATGGGTGACCCGGAAGAAGTTCCTAGCTCCTGGCTTCGGATTGTCCCATCTCTTGCCATTGTGACCATTGGGGAAGTGAGCCAGCAGGTGGAAGATTTTTCTACCTACCTCTCCTTGTCTCTGTAAATCTGATCTGCCTTTCCAATAAAAATAAATAAATCCTTTAAAAAACAAAAGCCCATGTCCCACACTTTTGGAGTATTTGGGATAACTCCAAGCTCTGTTCCTTGCTCCAATTTCCTGCTAATATGTCTCCTGGGAGATGGCAATGATGGCTTAGAGTGGCTGGGTACCTGCCACCCATGTAGGAGATCCGGACTGGGTACTTGGATCCTTGCTTTGGCCCAAGCCAGCCCTGGCTATGCAAGAATTGGGGGAATAAACTAATGAACAGAAAACACTGCCTCTCTTTCTCCCTCTCTTCCTCTAACCCTCACCCTCTCAAACAGATTTTTAAAAAAGAAGAAGCATGGGGCATTTGTATGGGTGCAACGCCAGCAGGCACTCTATTAAGGAAAAGGAAGGCAGTGAGGAAGGGCAAGAGAATAAGGAAGTGAAGGAAGGAAAGGAAAGGAAAAAATGAGAAAGAAGTAAGATGTGGCTTGAGTTTGTATGTCTTGAGAAGGGCCTAGGAGGGTAAGAAGCCAACTGCTGCTAGTTACAGCTTTAGGGGAGGGGTTGTGGGGAAGAGGAAGCAAGATCGCACACTGCCTGCTTACATCCTACTAAGCTGTCCTCACAGTGGGAATGCATCCAGCCACTGTTCTGTAAGGAAACATGGAAAAGACCCCAAGAGAATGAAGATTTCATGATCTAGCTTATAGGTTTGTTATTTGCACACGTCCTTTTTTCCATTTTTTATTATATTTCTGACAATCTTTACATAGTTAATTAGGGCATAAAGGTTTAAGGGTTACAGGAAAGAGGATAAAACTATCATTTCCATACATTTTTTTTCTCTATCTGGGGGTAAATGGGGAGGTAAAGGGAGAAGCCCCACCCAGTCTCCCACCCATCCCAGGTCCCTGATGTGTGGCTCCGAGGGTCTTACTCAAGTGGTTTTGATAGTCCAACAGTTATGAATTGCTGCCAATCTCTCCATGCACACGTCCTTAACATCCAAAGTCAGGAGTATCTTCGTCCTTTGAACCTAGTGGGAGAGGCCTTCCACTTGCTGGTTCACTCCCCAAATGCCCTCAGTGGTCAGGCATGAGCCGAAGTTCAAGTCAGCAGCCAGGAACTCCATCCAGGTCTTGGGTGCAGGGGTCTGAGCACTTGGCCCATCTTCCACTGCTTTTCCCAGACCATTAGCAGGGCACTGCATCAGAAATGGAACAACTGGGACATGAATTGGTACCCATATGGGAGGCTGGCATAGAAGCAGGTGGCAGCTTAACTGCCTTGCTAGGTTGGCACTCTGAGAATCTTGACAGCTGCACCAAACTCACCACTCAAGGGTCGTAAGTAGGATCTCTTCTGGAGGTTGAGGGAGAGAAACAGATTAAGAGAGATGGAGGTATAGAGCAGGAAGGGGGCACAGAGTAAGATGGAACGAGGGAAGGTAATAAATGCAGTGAAATGGCAATGACGCTGGAACTGCTGAAGCATTTCCTTGGAGGTGCCTGCGAATTCGTCTTGCTCAGAACAGAGCTGCAGAAGTGCTCTCCCTGTCAGTCACTGTCAGTGGAACTGCCGAGAGGTCAGCTTGGAACAAGACAGACAGAGAACAAGGTGTCAAGGTCGGCTGGGCCCGATGGACACAAACAGAGCCTGAGGCTGAGGTTCCTGGAACAGTGTGTGAAAAGCAAAACAGATCTAGGGGTCAGGTTCAGCTAGGATGGGGTCTCTGGGAGTATAAAGGCTCCCCTGATTACACAGGGAGCTCATTTGTGGAATCCAGGGGCATGTCAGTTCCTGAAGGTCAAAAGTTTTCAACTCAGTATTCCATCTCTGCTTATGTGTATGTAGTTGGCCACCATTCCGCCCAGATCCTTGCCGCATGGTTCTGCCGCTTGCCACTACTCCTGGGCTGCCACCCTGTCCTCTCCTTCCATCCCTGGGTTTCCAAAACCCTCGGGATAACCATCATGATCATAACATCTGTTTTGTGTCACATCTTGGTGCGCATGCTCCCACCACGGAATCCCACTGGAACAGACACAAAGCAAAGTGCAATACCACGAGAGTGCAAGCTCCTCAAGACCTTGGACTTGAATTCAGCCAGATGTCTCTGGTGTGACTGCTTCGGAAATACCATTTTCAGTTCCCTTTGACTGCCTGTAGCAGGAGCACTTCCTGTCTTGGATTTTTAGTTGCAGTGCAGGGATTGAATGCTTCAACTAAACCTATCTACAAGCTACATTGCTCTGTGGATCCTGCCGTGCTCAGTGCTTCCCTGGCCCAAGGTTCCCTTCAGCCGGACGGGGTCTGCCTCCCATGCATCTTTGTGTTAAGCTTGCTACGCTTGAAGAGGAGCCATTTTCTAAGCAAGTTGCAAGTCAGAGCTACAGGCAGCAGCTGCACGTTGTCAGTGACCTGGAAGTTCCCTTTTGTTCTCAAGGCAGAGGAAGTGAAAAGTAGGGCTGGGTTTTGTGGGGAGTGAGAGGTGAGGGGTGAGGGGTAAACTGGAGGCAGCTGCTCAGTAGGGGCTTGGGTTCCCCTGAGCAGACAGCTATGTGGATTGAGTGAATACGTGATCATAATGAAGATTGTGATGCCCAGATTTCTGGGCTGGAAAGAATCCTAGGGTCTGGCACAGTGTGGCTGAATTGGCTAATCCTTCCCCTTCAAGCACCAGGTTCCCTACATGGGTGCCAGTAGGTGCCCTGGCTATGGCACTTCCCATCTAGCTCCTTGCTGTGTGGCCTGGGAAAGCAGTAGAAGATAACCCAAAGCCTTGGGACCCTGTACCCACGTGGGAGACCCAGAGGAAGCTCCTGGTTCCTGGATTTGGATCAGTTCAGCTCCAGCTGTTGGCAGTGCCAATTTGAGTCCTGTCTGCATCTGGTCCAATATGGGATGCTGGCATCACAAGCAACTTAACCTACTGTACTACAATGCCAGCTCCTAAGTGTGTGTGTATATATATATATTTGATTTACTTTCTATTTGAAACTCAGAGTTACAGAGAGAGGGAGAGATGAGAGAGAAAGAGAGATCTTCCATCTGCTAGTTTACTTCCCAGATGGTCGCAGCTGCCAGAGCTGAATTAATCCGAAGTCAGGAGCCAGGAGCTTCTTCTGGGTCTCCCACATGGGTTCGAAGGACTTGAGCCGTCCTCCACTGCTCTCCCAGGCCATAAACAGAGAGCTGGATAAGAAGTGAAGCCACCAGGACTAGAACCTTGGGTGGCACCAGGTGATGGCTCAGCTACCTGATAGCCATATGGGAGGCCTGGATGGAGTTGCTTCAACTGGTCCAGCCCAACCTGTTGGGGAGTGAACTAATGGATGGAAGACCCCCCCGCCCTCTCTCTTTCTGAGTTTGCCTTTCAAGTAGTGAAAACACATTTTACAAAATAAACATGTTTCAATAATAAAAATTAGGAATCTACCCATCCTTACTGATTAAATAAATACATTAAACTAAAGGAGGAGGGAAAGCTTTTCCTTATGATGTCATGTCAGCTAATACACATAGGAAGGATGACAGAAATTTACAAATGCCACTTGCTACTATAGTGATAGCAGATTTAAGCAGAAATAGTCTTGTGATTAAAGCTGTTGGGTAGAGGTTCTATCTGGGGAATAGGTTATTGGAAGACTTAAATATTTCCCACAAAGGACTCATGGATCACAGGGACAAAGCTGTGCCTTAGAGTGGAGACACCTGCCAGACACCACCCTGACCCAGGGATGATGGTTCGTATCACCAGTGGTGGGACAGTTTGCCAGTAGATGCTCCTGGCTTGATGGGCTAGGAAGAGCTCAATGTCCCTCCAGAATGTTCTCATGAAGCCTGCTTCTGCTCTGGAGAAGATGTCAGGTAAACCAGGGTGAGAGGTTAGGCAGCATGAACTTGCTCCTGACTCTGCTGTCCAGTTTCCACCTGACTTCCTGGGCTGTGAGGAGGGTTACCATGGCAGCTAATGGGAAGCTCAGGAAAGATATGGGGATTTACTCCCAAGTTTTCCCAACCCCCATGAGGGTCTGTTTCCCAAGGCCAAGTCCTCAGATAGCAAAGATCCACTAACCACCCTGGGGCAGGTGTTGTGTGTGTGTGGGGGCGGGGGGAATGTTGACTTTGGAAGTCAAGAAATTGTGGTAATTTTTCCACCCAGCCCAGACTGTAACCCCCTTCCCATTTCTTTGCTTTCCCAGGGTGACGCTCTATGCCGAGTTCCTTCCCATGAAAGCCAGAGCCAAGTGTATTCTGCTGATTGAGGTGAGGAGGAGGAGGAAACCTGATCCTCCACCAGCTTTGGAAAAGGGAGCTTTAAGAAAGGTATAACAGACTCACTAGACGAAGACGGAAATGAAGCAGCTATGTGTCTCGTGACCTGGCTGTTGTGAAATGCAACTTCTTCAGTTGACCGGAGCTTGTTTTTAAGCAGTGGCAGCAGGCAGGTGATGTGTTCTAGACCTGAAAATGGCTTTTGTCTGAGAGGTGAAGCTGCAGGTGCCACCAGGTGCTGCCCATACTCAGATCCTCACCTTCCTTGCCTGCTGCTAGCCAGCCTGGGCCATGCCTTGTATGAGATTCTCTTTCTTGGTCACTTTCATAGCCGATAGAGAAACTTTAAAAACACTCATGGTCCAGCCAGCCCCTTTCAGTCCAGGGTCTCATGATTCATTTTTCAGCCAGGATTAGAAGCTCTCAGGACACATATGATGGCCCAATGCCATGACCCCACTATGCAGCTGCCCAAATGACACCACATTCGGGTAATGTCCCAATGGTTTGTGTTGCCCCGATGCGCACTGCTGTTTGTGGTGGTGACAGTGAAGCCACTTAGACTCACCAGGCACTGTGGCCACCCTGACCATGTCAGTTGCAGTGACCCCAGCTCAACTTAACCATCCTAAGCGCATAAGCTCCAATGCGCATGGCAGCAAACTGGTCTACACGTTCCATAATAAAGGACCTCCTGCAGCTTTACACATGAAGCGCTCAATGCTGGCACAGAATGGGTGGGATATCTGACTGGTACCCACTTTGAGTGGACCAGGTGCCCCTGGCAGGTCTTTTGAGCTGATGGGGGAAGATGACTGATTGGAATTTTGGAATGGACAATAATTGTAAAGCCCCGGAGTCACAGCAAGCAACAGCACACTCAGAGAAGGGTCTGTGGAGGAGGACTTACTACAAGGACCACTTCTGAAGTCCCTGCTGGAGGAGCTATCACCCCAAAAGGAAAGCATATTTATTAGGCACCCAGAGAATTGTATGACAAAAGCTGTCAGACCTTCAGTAAATGTAGCCAGCTTGAGACCACCCTGCAGGGAGGGACCCATGGGAGTAAATGCAGCAATTTCCCCATTGTCCGTACCAAGGGACACAATCTTTCCCATACAAACACGGGAAAGAATAGAGTTGGTGAGGCAAGAAGATATTCAGCCTCCTTGGGCACTTCTGATAAAGGAGGCAGGGGGCGTTGTTGAGCAAGGGAGATGGATATTTGCAACAAAGACCAACGTGTCCTTGGGCAGGCCATGCTCATGGCTGCACTATTCACAACTGTGACTTGCAAGCAACCCGTGTCCTCTGACAGACACCAAGATGAGCAAAATGTGCTATGGCTAGGCCATGCCATATTACTCAGTCCTGAAAAAGGAAGGCCACTCTGGTACCTGTTACAACCTCACTGAGCTTTAAGGACATGAGACCTAGTGAAATAAGCTAATCGCAAGACTATCATCATGTGATTCCACTTTTAGGGGTAGTTGGAGTGGTCAATATCCTAGAGGTGAGAAACAGAATGGTGCTTTCCAAGGAGAGGATGGGAAGTTGGTGTTGAGCAGGGGCCAAGTTTATATTTTCCAGGAAAGAAGCAGCTCTGGAGGTGGGCAGTGGTGACAGCTGCCCAGCAGTGAGAGTGGATCTGATATCGCAAAACTGCACACTGTAAATAGCTAAAAGAATAACTTCCATTTTATTACCACAATATTAACCACAATGTAAAAAAAAAAAAAAAAATGGACACCTCACCTTGGATCCACTCCACAGTGACGTCCACAAAAGTTGCACAGCTCCAGCGGACACCATGTGGGTAGGACCCCATGTGGAAGGCAGCCCTGGGAGATGGTGACCGTGATGGCTCTGAAGCCACCCTATGGGGCCCCACTCCTACACACACACACACGCACACTGACCCTGCTTCTCCTGTGCCAGGTCTTCTGGGCTATCGGGACAGTGTTTGAAGTCGTCCTGGCTGTGTTCGTGATGCCCAGCTTGGGCTGGCGATGGCTGCTCATCCTCTCCGCGGTTCCGCTCCTCCTCTTCGCCATTCTGTGCTTTGTAAGTGTCTTCCTGGAGCTCCAATAGGTCTGCCTGGCACCCTTGCTCTGTATTCTGTCCTAGTGGGAAGGGGGGCTGAGGAGGAGCCCAAAACTACCTTTTCAGATTGTGTCTTACATGAAGGAAAGAGGAGGCTTGAACCAGCCCCAGGATGGGGTGTTAGTCTTCAACTGATACTTCTGGAATGGTTCCCTAAGGAAAGAACTAGGGATGGTGGGATATATTCATGGTAGCTGTATTGGATGAGTTGGGAATCTTGGATTGCAAGTCAAACAACCCCTCTAAGAATCGACAGCGGCAGGTCTTTGACTCCACAAGTCTCCACCCTCAAAGACAGGAGTGTGGCTGGGAGTAAGTGTTCTGTGTGGCTTCAACCAGGCACACGTGGATCTCCTGTCTGCTCCCCTCCCTAGTGGCTACCGGAGAGCGCAAGGTACGATGTGCTATCAGGGAACCAAGAGAAGGCCATCGCCACCTTAAAGAGGATAGCGACCGAGAACGGAGCACCTATGCCACTGGGCAAGCTCATCGTCTCCAGGCAGGTCAGTGTGTACTCACCAATCTGCAGCACACATATCCCTGTGCCTACATGCAGGACATGAATGTATATGGGCACATGTGCAGGGGCAGCAAATATAACTATTTGTGTGTCAGGTTCAGGGAATGGATGGAGAGGTGCAGTGGGCACTGTGAGACCAATGAGGAGAATCTGGTGTCTTCAATAGGTCTGTCATTGCCAGATTGTAGAAGAGCTGCCTGGACCAGGTAGCCAGTGACATGAGAAATGTCTACTAAGTCTTGTGCCTGCTCCTGCTTCGGGTTCACCCGTGAGCACCAGAGAAATCTGATGGGCAAAGAGGATGGCTCTGGAAAAGCTGGGCAAGAAAACCACATAAAGAAGAGATGTGCTTAGATCCAGAGCTTACTCTGCGTTCTGTGTAGCCATCTGTAACAGGGGTTGCATCGCCCACCTGGGAATGTCATCAGGGGCCCACTGAAGAAAGTTTGATGAACATTGCTAGGGGGTTGGGTGTACATGCTGCATACACAGGGAGGAGGGTACAACCTTGATGCTGCAGCCCCTGTCCTCGACAATCAGCCATGCAGACCTGTTGACACAGGACACACATCCTTAAACAGATAAGAGGGATGGGTGTCTGGTGCAGTGATTAAGACAAGATTTGGGATGCCTAGAGCCCTTATCAAATTGCCCAGATTCAAGCCCTACATCTGACTTCTTGTTCATGTGTACCCTGGAAGGCAGATTTACAGAGAGAAGGAGAAACAGAAAGATCCTCCATTTACTGGTTTCACTCCCCAAATGGCCACAACAGTCAGAGTTGAGCCAATCCAAAGCCAGGAGTGTCTTCCGGATCTCCCATGCTAGTGCAGGGCCCCAAGGCTTTGGGACATCTTCTACTAATTTCCCAGGCCACAGCTGGGAGCTGGATGGGAAACAGAGCAGCAAGGACAGGAACCAGTGCCTGTATGGGAACCTGGCACTTTGCAAAAGGAGGATTAGCCAATTGAGCCATTGCACCAGGTCCACACTTGTTCACTTCTGAAATGCCCACAAAAACCAAAGCCATGTGGATGGGAGCACCCCAGCTACCTGAGACATCACTGCTGCCACTGTTTCTTCCAGAGCACATACAAGCAAAAAGCTGGAATCAAAAGTGGATCTAGGTTTCAAACCAGAATCTCTGACATGGGATAGAAACGTCCCAATTCAGGGTCCTAAACACGTTTAAAAAGCAAGCATTTCTCAAACTGCTACCAAGAACAGTATGTCCCAGCTGCTCCACTTCCGATCCAGCTCCTTGCTAATGCATCTGCGAGAGCAGTAGAAGATGGCACAGTGCTTGGGCCCCCGTACGCACGTGGGAGACCAGGATGGAGTTCCTAGCTTTGGCATGGTTCAGCCCCAGCTGTTGTGGCCATTTGGGGAATGAAACCAGTATTTGGAATATCTCTCTCTCTCTTTCACTCTTTATTTATCTTTTTAATAAATAAAACTTTATAGAAAATTGGCAAATTGGACATGAGCAAATTGACCCAAATCATTCTATTGGCAAATTGGACTTGGGTAAGTTGGCTTTTGAACACAGTAACTGTCTCTTGGATCTAGATTAGGCTTTGGGTGAGATGGGTGAGACTGACTGTGTGTGTGTGACTGTCTGGGGTGTGGGAGCGAGGGATGGTGGGACTCCTTAGAACTGTTTTCTGCTCCGCAAGTCCCTGGACGTGTCTGAAATATGACTAGGCCCTGGATATGGCTGAGTCCTGGCTGACAGGACTGGGAGCTGAGTCTTGGTTTCTCAGAGCCCAAGTGTTCTGGCCCTGTTGTGGGTATGTGACCAACCCAAGTCACCGGCTGGTGCTCCCTCCGTGCATGGAGAACAAACAACATATTCTTTTCTTGAAACAGGAAGATCGTGGCAAAATGCGGGATCTTTTCACTCCCCACTTCAGAGGAACGACCCTGCTGCTGTGGTTTATATGGTGAGAGCCCCTTGTTGACCTCCTGTGCCCAAGCCTGGCTTACGTTGGAATTCAGCACTTGATGAACCATTGGGCCCAAGGCAGTGTTTCCTGATCATGTCAGTTATTGCAACTTTCACCTTCCCAATGCTATTGTAACAAAAAAGAAAACCAAACCAAACCAAAAAAAATTCAATGCTATTGTGTAGACAGGTTCTCACCTGTGCTATTAGTCACTTATTTAAAAACTCAATTCACTCATGACATAGAGATACTCTCATAAAGGAAATGTTATCCGTTGTGCCCCCTTATCTCTGAGGACACATTCAGAGACCTCCAGTGGGCCCCCGAAGCCCCTGGGAGTACTGAATGCACTATAAGGTAAAGCGCTTTTTTTTTTAAAGATTTATTCAATTTTTACTGTCAAGTCAGATATATAGAGAGGAGGAGAGACAGAAAGGAAGATCTTCCATCTGCCAATTCACTCCCCAAGCAGCCACAATGGCCAGAATTGAGCCAATCCAAAGCCAGGAGCCTCCTCTGGGTCTCCCACTGAGGTACAGGGTCCCAAGGCTTTGGGCTGTCCTCAACTGCTTTCCCAGGCTACAAGGCGGGAGCTGGATGGGAAGTAGGGCTATCAGGGTTAGAACTGGCGCCCATATGGGATCCTTGCGTGTGCTTTAGCTGCTAGGCTACCATGCCAGGCCCTGTTCAGCTTTTCTTAAAAGAACAGCCATGGGAGGAGGCTGTGGAAGAGGCCTCAGCAGAAAGTCATGACCAGGGCCAATGGAATGTCCGTCAAATCCTCTCAATTCTCTACTCATTCATACACAGACAGCTTAACAGACTGTTCAAAAACAGTCTGGCTGAAAGCTTTGTGGATTTTTGTTTGTTTGTTTGTTTGTTTGTGTTTGCTTGGGTTTTGCTTTGTTTTGTTTTAAATAAAATCAGTTCTCACTTTGTTCTTCACTGTTGAGCAGAGGTGTTCATTAGCACTGGGACCAGGACAGAACAGCCTTGGAGACAAGCCAGCTGGGCTCCAGCTCTCCCTGCATGTAATTAACACCTGCTGTGTGCCCATCCAAGTGTGAACTCCCCAGGCTCTCTAGAAGGGGGGGGGGGGGTGGTAGGAGGGCAGAGTCGGAAGACCTCCCTCAAGGCGCCTGTAATTCACTTGGGTTGATTTGAAGCAGTTGATTAGAGTTTTAGTGCCCTCCAGAAGCTACTGCATTTGACTGGTACATTTGACTTTACAAAGGGTAACTCGAGGAAATAGACCACCAGTTTCTGATGCTGAGTTCCTGCATAACCTATTGGATGATCCAATTCCTGTTCTATGAGCTTGAGTCTTGCAGTTCTGGAATCCAAGCAGGGAACTCAGAAACTGTGAAACCCTAAGATCTCAGAGTCCAAGTCTACCAATCTGACCCCAAAGCCTTGGGACACGGGAGAGGGCGAGCTATTTCCTTCTAAATGCGCATCTTCCAAATCTTTACCACCTCTTTTCCAATGAATGAGGCAGTCTTAGGGGTAGAGTGTTTTTGAACACAGGACGCTTGCTTTCATCATGTCCCTAGGCTTGGGTGCTTGATCCAAGTCCTCCTGGAAGACCACTGCACCAAGAGCCAGTGTGGCCCCCAGATTGGTGGTCCCCACTGCTGTACCCACAGGCCCTTCCCTAGGGTATGCAGGAAGGGGACATGTGTCTCTCTGACTGCTTCTTCTGCCTCTTCCTCACTTCCGGCAGGTTCTCCAATGCGTTCTCTTACTACGGACTTGTCTTGCTGACCACGGAGCTGTTCCAGGCAGGAGATGTTTGCAGCAGTGAGTGCCCTGCCTCTCTCTCCTGGCTCACCTTCCCAACCCCAATCCCTGCCCAGAGACCATCACACATGATCCTCCATCACTGTCTACCCTAATGGAGGCTGGAGCAGCCTCTGCAGTTCTGTAGGCAACTTGGCCAGCTTCCCATGATGGGAGCTGGTCTCAGTGGAATGGTTGGGTCAGGGTTTGGGTTCAAAGGTCAGCTCCAATGCACTCTAAAAGATCTGTGAGTTGGGTACTTGTGAGCAGGGTCCTTTGCAAGGTGTTAGCCAGACCTGGGTTCTCCTCCCTAAAGGTTCAAAGACCAAAGGATGTTCTGTACCACTCACAGAAGGTATTGACCAAGAAGGGGAAGGCACCTTTCTGCAATAGGATATCAACAAAGGACGATAGGTTTTAGAGAATTGACAAGAGTCCCAAGCCTCCTACTATGAAAAACCTGCTGCTCCCTTTCTGGGTGATTAAGCAACGTTGACATCTGGCCTTCAGGTGGGAAATAGGGTGTGGAGGGAATGAGAAAACCTTCATCTTTGTGGGTCTTTGTCCTGCTTGAAAGCAGAGAGAAGACAGTTTCCTTGCATGTGTCTTCTGTGTGTTCCAAGGAGATATGCTTTGGTTTCCTTCGGCAGAATCTTGACTCCTTGGAATTGGAGGCCTGGAGTCGTCAGCCGCGAGAACTTCCCCTTTAGTCCCTTACCATGTGGGCCACCAGTGTGGCTCCCGGCTCTCTCACTGCCCTCACAGGAGAAGAACAATCCAGGCAAGATGGGCTTTATGCTCTTGTGCAAAATTAACATGTGCACCCTTCAGCTTTACCACCTTAGGAGCAAATCACAGGTCCTTCTCACACTCAGGAGAGAGCGTCAGAGCAGAGTGTGATACAAGGAACTTAGCATCACAGGGGCCGCCCTAGAGTGTGCGTGCAACAAAGCATGTGCCATGTACCACTGCTGGGTCAACCGTGGTGTCCACCCAGCCTGGTTTCCTCTCTCATCCACCTTGCACAGTGGTTTTATTCACCCTGTTGTACAGAGAAACTGAGGCTTGGAGAGATGGTGCTGCAACACTGCTGGCTGGGATCCAAAGTGTAGTCCATTCTCTGGGCTCTTTCTAGAACACTCTCCTTGCATCCCCTCCCAGGGAAGCAGGGCTAGGGAGCGGGAGGGTGTGACTCAAGGCTGTGGGTGGCTCTTCTTCCTTTTCTATCCCCCAGTCTCCAGCCGGAAAAGGGCAGTCGAGGCCAAGTGCAGCCTGGCCTGTGAGTACCTAAGTGAGGAGGATTACATGGACCTGCTCTGGACCACCCTCTCCGAGTTTCCAGGTGAGAAATCTGTGTAAGGTGAAGCTGGGAAATGGGGGCAGGGAGTTGAGCATACAACATCTGCTGAGCTGGGGGCTCTACCTGTGCCACCGGGAAGCAAACCCCTTTTCTAAAGGCACCAAGGATCCGCCCTACCTCCACTAGGGCCACAAGTTGTCCAGAATGGTGAAGGGGATGTTACCCCCACTTGAAAGCTAATGGGTTAAGCTCCCATGTTTCATACATGCTGGCCAAAAACAGGAGTCTCCTGGGTCAGAGACAAAAGACTCTTGGGAACAATTTGAGCAGCAAATTGGTGTCAGTTCTCCATGATCCCAAGTTTCATAGAGAGGATGATGAGGGACTCAGGCTGGTACTGTGTGTTTGAGACAAATGTGCGAAGGTAGTAGAAGGTAGGAGTGCATTTTCTGGTATTCTAATGAAACACTGGAGGTTGTGAAGATTATAAAGAAAGGAGGTTTACTCAGCTCACAGCTCAGAAGGTACAAGTCATGGTACCTCCTGATGGGTGACATCATCATACTGGGAGTGCCTGTGCATGGGCAGGACAGGAAGCCAGAAAAGTGGGATGAGTTGGTAGCATCCTCCCACTAAACCCCACCTCTAAAAAGCCCCACTACCTGGAGGACCAAACTCTTAGATCATGAAACATGGGTGGTACACACAGAAACCATATCAAAACCATAGCGAGTCCGTTATAGCTTAATCTCCAGGGAGGCATCTTGTGCTATGTTCTACTCATTAGCCATGGAGGGGAGGGCTGTAGGGAGGCTCTCCGGGAACCCATCAGTGCTGTCTACCTGCCCCTGCTGCCCCCCACCCCTGGCAGGTGTCCTCGTGACTCTGTGGGTCATTGACCGCCTGGGCCGCAAGAAGACCATGGCCTTGTGCTTCCTCATCTTTTCCTTCTGCAGCCTCCTGCTGTTCATCTGTGTTGGACGGTGAGTCGCCAGGGGAGGGTGGTGCCCAGTCCCTCTCTTAGGCCTGAGGCTTCAAAGTTGCTTTGCTGGGAGTTAAATGTCAGGCTCAAGGTTAGAGCCATTCACGAGGGGAGCCAGAGGCTGGTTCTCCTCCAACAACCTACAGTACAGACTCTGACCTTCTCACCCAAGGTGATGCACCTACAGCTGGGTAACCGATAGATCTGTTAAGACCTAAGATTGATTTGCTCACTAGAAATAGATCTTATCACAAACAGATCCTATGATGTAGTCCTAGGTGGCCTGTCTCCATTTTTCCACCTACCAAAAACCTTGAAATATGGGAGTGGGCTCTGTTGTCCAGAACCTCCATGGAGGAAACTCTGAGCCGGATCTTGTCTAATGAAGGACAGGAAACGTAGTCTAGACCTTAGAATGCTGTGGTCCTGGCATGATACCTGACCTGTGGCTTCGTTTCCCTGGTTCAATTGGCCCCTCCATTCCAACCCCTATAAATGCCTGTCTAGGCTTGGTTTGCTTCTCCCAAGTCCCATCCCCACCCTGGGCACTGTCTCCCTCACTCAGCCCGATTGCTTTGCAGAGGGATGAACTTCAAAGCACAGGTCTTGAAAGATGGTCCTGGGATGTGCGTGCCTGCAGGTGTGCGTGGATACATGTTGGGTGGGATTGGGGTGGGCTGGCATGGGGTGGAATGACCTTCTTGCTGAGTGCTAGGACCTACGTTCTGTCCCAGAGAAGACCTAAGATGGCTGAAAACATAACCACTCCTCTGCTTTCTTTCCCCCTTGCTAGAAACATGCTTACTCTCTTACTCTTCATCGCAAGAGCATTTATTTCCGGAGGCTTCCAAGCAGCCTATGTTTACACACCTGAGGTAGGAGCCTCAAGGAGCCCATGGGGCAAGGAGGGAGGGACCCTACTTCTAGAAACACCAGCCTGGGCAGTCTTGGATCTTAGCTGAGGCTCAGCAGAAGTTCTGACCTCCAGCTGACTTCTCAATCATTTATTTTTCCCTCCTTGCAAAAGTGCATGCTCAATGCCACAGGTCCAAAATTTACATCTCCACCTATGTCCCCAAGATGAAGGAGCCCTATGTCGTCCTTTCTTGGAGACCACCTTGCTGAAGACATTTTTTCCCTTGTCACTATTTTGTAAATAATATAAAATAATATCTATTTCCATAGGATGAACATTGCCTTAGGTGTTATTAAAGGAAACTGGGAAGGGTTTAGTAGAATATCGGAGGATATGGATAGGTTACTTGCAAATGCCAATCAGATAATTTGTACAAGGAACTTGAGCATCTGGGAGGGTTTTGTATCAATGGGGTCCTGGAACCAGTTCCCATAAGTGCCTGATAAGTTACTGCATGTGTTAGCACAGGCCTCGGTCAAATTGTGCAACTGAGAAGAGCTTCATACAGGGGCTCATTCAGTGGTGTGAGGCAGGGGTTAGGGAAGACACAGGTGACAGAGCAGGGCTCACAGCAGGTGGAGCGGCTAGGGGAACTGCTACAGCCCCAGTGAGTTTTTGGTACCTGGCTTCCACTTGCCCACCCTTCTCAGGGATTGTGAACACCTGGGGAAGGGGCCAGTGCATAGTAATCCTCTGAGCATAACAGTGCCTGAGGTCGAAGGCTTGAAAAGAATAACCAAAAGGGGGAGACTCCCAGCTGTTAGGAATCCAGCACTCAGAATTTGACCCAGGTTCATACAAATCCTTCCAGATGTTTGGAATTGGGGAGAAGAGAAATATCTCTGGCATCAAGCAAATAAGAGAGACAGGGAGAGAGAGAGAGAGAGAAAGAGGCCAGAGGTACTTCTCCATCTTCTGTAAGGCCTAGAACAGCCCCTCATCACAGAGAATGGCCCACACAGAGGTGTCCTTGGCTGGAAGGCTGAGACACTCTGTCTCAGGGCCACAGAATCCTTCCAAGCGGCCTTCCCAACTCCAGGGCAAGGGAGTGCAGCAGCCACACCCCCTTTTCAACAGTCCTGACCTGCCAGCCATATAGTCCTTCCTGATTGTTCAGGCACGTGGTCGCCATCATGGGCAAACTGTTAAGCTCTCCCATCTCTCATTGGGTGAAATAACTCAAATACCTATTTGTGATAAGAGTTTCTTGGTTTCCCCGTGAACTCAGAAGACCTTGGGGGACCCCTCTGCAGGGCAGGAAGGACCCCTTTGCTGTGTTACCCTTTGCTTGCATCCCCCTTTCTCTGTTGAACTCCCTCTTGCAGATGAGAAACCCCCCTTCCTCCCACCCCTTCTTGGAGATGCTAGAGGGATTTCCTGGACCTCAAAACTGTCCCCTGAGCTGCAAGAGACAGAGGGAAATTTACCTGTTCCCGAGTCCACCTCTGGCTATTGTGTTTCAGGTCTACCCCACAGCAACACGAGCACTGGGCCTGGGCACCTGCAGTGGCATGGCAAGAGTGGGTGCTCTCATCACTCCATTCATTGCTCAAGTAAGTGTCACCCCAAATACAGAAGGAGTGGGGGTGGCAAGATGCAAGGCCCAACAAGTCATGCCAGTGTGCCTGGCCTTCTGTGAAGGCCTCTGTGTGTACCCACTTCTGTCATCCTGATCACTCATCCTGTGAGCAAAGAAAGATTGTGTGCAGATGAGGAAAGACAGACCAGAGTGGGGAAGGACTTGTCCAAGGTCACACAGCTGGGAAGGAGACATGCCAGAGCACAGGGCTCTCTCCTAAAGCCAACAATCTAAGGATGCCAGGCAATGTGAGTTCCAGCAATGCAGATGCTAACCAATATCCTGGTGCCTACTTTTTAAGTTAGGGGTAGATGAAGAATTTTTGCAAGGTCCATGACTGGGGATCTTACTGAATCTTTGTGCTTTCTCCATATCTGGGTTTTTTTGGTTGTTGTTGCTGTTGTTGTTTTGTTTTGTTTTGCTCTGTTCATACCCATGTTTGATTGCAGTAAGAGTGACATACCTCAAAGGAACCAGTTGCAAGTGAATGATATGGTGGGATCCAGCACATTAATGATGTTAAGCAACCACCACATATGTCTAAAACCAACACATCATCATCATCTGGAATTAGAACCCTGGGGTCATTAATTAGACCCTGTGGTCTCCTCTTCCCACCCCATCCCCTGGCCCTTGGCAGCCTCCTATCTACTTCTCATCTCTGTGGTTTTGTCCATAGCTCAGGTGAGTGGACACTGATACTTCTGCTAGTTCAGGACCCAGGTCTGGCTTTGGTTTCTATCTGTGCATTCAGCACCATTTGTTGTTTGTCACTGTTGATGTTGGCTGAGAACCTGCTTGATTGATGTCAGGTGCTCATGTGCAAGGCGAGCATGTCCACGTGGCAGGTGAGGGAAAGGGGATCTGTTGCTCCGCGGTCTGCCATGGACCATGAAGCTGGGGAGTTGGCTGTGGCGTTGCCCACAATGCAGTTCAACCTTATGAGTGTGAGTTCAAGTCCCAGCTCTACCCTTAGTATGTGTATGAACTTGGGCATGCTATTAATCCTCAGTATTCCCTCTCTGTGAAATGGGAGCAAAATGCTCAGCTCAGATGCACAAAATGCTGAGGTTCACAATGGATGATTCTCTCTGACCTGCCTCTTCCACTTCCTTCTCCCAGGTGATGCTAGAATCCTCTGTGTACCTGACGTTGGCGGTTTATAGTGGCTGCTGCCTCCTGGCTGCCCTGGCCTCCTGCTTTTTGCCCATCGAGACCAAAGGTCGTGGTCTGCAGGAGTCCAGTCACCGAGAGTGGGGCCAGGAGATGGTCGGCCGAGGGACGCATGGCCCAAGCGTCCCCAGGTCAAACTCTGGCTCTCAGGAATAGCACCCACTGGGGAGTGCTGAGCTGGTCTTGGGGGCTGGTGTGGCCCCACTGGGGACACAGATGGTCACTGCCGACATCAAGAGCCCACCCAAGAGGACTGCTGGGACCAACAGGGTTTTGTGTCTTAATTCCGTTTGCTTATCTTCATCAAGGTCTGCCAGGGGCTGGGAAGGTGTCTGCTCCAGGGGTTCACTGTATGTGTGGGGGAAAATTTGTGAATAACCCATGGGTCTGAATGGGAAAATTGCCACTTGCCAACATGGGGAGGGAAGGCACTGATTTAAGGACACAGCAGCCACACAAACACAGCCCAGAATGACTTGGTCACATCCCCATGAATAACAACCAAAAGATCTTGTAGATCCCCACCACCCAGGCCCAGACTCACATGACACCTGCCACCCAGCACCCAGACAGTTCTGTTCCACAGGTTTCTCTACACTCATCACCACCAGGCTTTCTCCTTTGGAATTGCAGGTGACCCGGCTATGGCCTCAGCAGCGTTTCCTTGGGTCAGGGAAATGATTGCTCCCTCCCTCAGCAGGGGCCCCTACGTCTTCCTTTCCAGGGCCTGACTGGCCCAGAATCTGGCAGGTAGACAGGCCCTTGAACTTGAGCTGTGTGCTCCCGTTTGACCCCCTCTGGAGTTGCTGTCTCAGCCTTCAGGGAATTCAGGCACATGTCCCTGGGGGCCAGCTGAACCTGCACCACACAACAGACCTCAGAAAGCTATCACACCCGCCCTGGGACTTGGGGGCAGCCTAACACCGAAAAGAGGTGAGAGATAAATCCACGGCCAAAGCAGGACTCCCGATGAAGCAGCAGAGGCCATGCCAGGCTTTTCTTCTGATCCTTTCCTGGGTCAGGCTTGAGGTGATTCCTGGAAAAAAATCAAGGTTCACCCCGGGTGGCAGGGCTGAGGATTTTTTTTTGTTATGTGCACAGATAGATGTCTGATGGGATACCCAAAGGATGCTACCCCAAAACGATGCTACACTAGCCAGCAGCTCCCACCACGTCTATGGTCAGGGGAGCCTTGGTGTTCAGCTGATTTCCTTTTTTGGGGGGTAGGGGCCCAGCTTGGGCTTTGCACAGACACAGCTCTCTGGCGTTTCAGAGTGGGAGCCCTTGGCAGGCACGCATGCCGTGGGATGTGGAGGCATCAGAGGTCCCAAATGTGTGCAACGTGCCCCCTGTTCAGGGGGAGAGGGGGCACAAAGGAGGCCTGGCTGACCTAGAGAGGAAGGACCAGGGCTAGAGGTTGGTGAACACACCCCCTGCTGGGGTTTGGGTTATGTGCAGCGTCCGCACGGTGAAGGTCAGGGATCTAGAGCAGCTACCAAGAAGCTGCCAGATCCCTTTGAAAGTCAGAGAAGACTGCACCTCTGAGGGAAGGAAACCTTGCAAAGAAGGTGTGTGTGTGCGTGCGTGTGTGTATGTGCGTGTGTGTGCCCATGCCGTGTGCATGTGTGTGTTCATCTCTAATTAAACCATGTTGGTGATGGACATTGTAGGGGTTGAGTTTATTTGTCTGCCGGTCTTGCCGTTTGTGTTCACCCCAAGGTAACTCAGTGCCTTCCTGTGCTTTCCCAGCATGAGAAGGGGCATGGCACAGCTGGCTGCCACTAGTCACAACTCTGATTCCTGTCAAAGAGCCAGTATGTTTCTCTAAAGGTGCATAGGTCACCAGAGCTGACTTTTTGCAGGCTCAGGTCTTGATTCAACTGTGCGTGGGGCTGTGTCTCTGCAGTCAGGGCCTTTGGGTCCTATAGGACAGCAGTCAGAGGGGGACAGCTTGGCAGCCCTGTCTATCCCTGCAGTCCACAATTTCCTTAGAACCCAAGTGGCTGTCTCGCTCATTACTTCTGGCCAGCTGAGTTCTCCTGGGCAACACAGAACCTTGGCCTGGCTGCTCTGGCCTTCCAGCTGGTCAGTCTGCCAGGCAACTGTGTAGCTTCCTTTTGCCCTTACATGCCCCATGGAAGTGGGGGCTGGGTCAGGCAGGAGGGCCTGGTGGACAGCAATGGTTGACGATGGCTGGGAATCAAAGGAATTGGCACTGAGGGCTTTCTCACCTGAGAAAGACTTTGGCTTCTGAAAAGCCTGCCCTTGTACCCCTACCCCCACCCACAATTTTTTTTTTTTTTTTTAGTGGAAGGCAATAAGAGTCTCAGAAATACTTGGGACCTTTAAAGAGAACACATCTGTGTCAATGTTTGAACTCTCCCATTGAAAACTCTGCTGCCAAGCAGAGGAACATCAGCTGGTTTTCTCAGCATGAGGCAAGCTGTCAGGAGATGGAAACTGGTCGATGCAGACCTTACTGCGTTGTCTCTTTCCTTCGCTCTAACTTCCCCAAGTCTCAGACACACACACAAACACACACATACCTGTCTCTAGTGGCAGTCACATGGTTGAGAGAGCATCTGGGGCATCAACTTTGAAATAAGTGCAGATTTTCATTTTACTTTCATGATTGATTCTCTCTCTCTCTTTAACTTTTTGTTTATGTATTTGACATCAGAAAGAGAGAGAGATTGACCTTTTTATACACTGGCTCACTCCCCAGATGGCTGCAATGGCTGGGCCTGGGCCAAGCCAGAGCCACACTTCCCATCTGTGAAATCAACATCATAGGGCATTGATGAGGATTTGTGTGTGCAAGAGTTTGGCGCACAGCCTGATGCCCAGTTAGAAGACAAAAAGTTGGGCTCAGCACGATAGAGTAGCAGCTAAAGTCCTTGCCTTGAATGCATCAGGATCCCATATGGGCACCAATTAGTGTCCTGGCAGCCCTGCTTCTCATCCAGCTCCCTGCTTGTGGCCTGGGAAAGCAGTCGAGGACGACCCAAAACCTTGGGACCCTGCACTCATGTGGGAGATCCAGAAGAAGCTCCTGGCTCCTGGCTTCAGATTGGCTCAGCTCCAGCCATTGTGGTCACTTGGGAAGTGAATCAGTGGATGAAAGATATTCCTCTCTGTCTCTCCTCCTCTCTGTATATCTGACTTTCTAATTAAAAAAACAAGATGAGAGAGATGGGAAATGTGCTCCCACAAACAAGGAGACTGCCTGGGCAAGTCTGGGTCTTATGAAGGAGTATCCCTCCCTACCCTCAGCAGCTCCTCCTCAAGCATCACGTGGTGCCCATGGGGCCACTCCATGGACAGCTGATGCTATTAGGCATCCTGGATGTAAGGCATGGTATTCCTAGTTACATTTCTCTCCTCTTGTGCCTGCTCCCCATCCCACTTCTGCCTATAACTTCCTGCAACAAAATCCAATACAGTGCTTCCTCAAGAGTGCTCCCAGATGGGCACTGATGCTCTGGACAAAAAGACTTCATAGATTTAGAAGAACAGAGTCAAGCAACCATGGACGTTCTCATCACCTTTATTATATTAGTGCAACCCAGAGTCTAGTTAGTTAAGCTCCACCACCCTCAGCTTTCCTTTCTGCTGGTGACTCATGGCAAGAATCCCCAGCTGACCCAGAGAGGGTGGAGAGACTCAGTGATCAGAGAGAGCTCACTCCAGGCCGGGCACCAGCCTGAGCTAGGGTGAGGGTAAGGAGCTTCTTACAGAGCAGTGCATTCATCAGTTGGCTCAGGGGATGGAGAATCTTAGTGGAGAAGACTGGGATCCCCATGGTCTTTACAGGTGGGATGGTGGCATCCTACACAGCTTCTTTTCTTCCAGAACCTCCCCAAAGAGCTTGGCTGCCTCCAGGGCGCAACCCCAGTGGATGGTAAGTCCATAGCCACCATGGCCATAGTTGTGGATGATCTGGGAGAAGCAAGAGAGAAGGTGGCTGAGTTTGGTGGAGGGGAATGGTGGAAGAAGATTGAGGAAGCTCTTTGACCCTTGGAAGCTTCCTGAAGCATCCCGGGCAAAGCCAGGTTATCACCTGAGCTCTCAGCACCCTGGTGGGATGGCCAGGACCCCTGGCAACAACAGAAAGGGCAATTGCTCATGGGACTGGAGAATGATGCCCTGGCCTCTTCCCTGTGGCCTAGGAAAAGAACCTGCCCTTATGCACAGCTCAGGGAAGGTAGACTCACAGCTGGCCGACAAGTCAGAGATTTCCTCCACGGCAAGTTGTTCAAAGTTTCCCCAATTATCTGCATCCTCCCACTCCAGCTGCGGTCCCATGAGCATCCACCACAGAAGGTGGCAAAGCAAGGGTCCCAGACAGGGGGTGGGGGGCTCTGGAATGTACGGATTTATCCTGTGGTTGCAGGTAAAACCTCTTTACTTCCTTCAAAGCCAAAGCCACAGGGGGGAGTTCAACTCCAGATATAACTCTCCCGTCTGCACACACACACACACTCACACACTGTGTTATACACAAGCCTCTGCACAGACAACCTCCACACAAACATCCACACCCTCTACATACACACACATGTGGCCCTCCATACACAAATGATCCCTCTTTAGTTGCACATGCACACACCAGTCCTCCATATTAATACATATCTCTTTCACACACACAGTTCTTCTATCTTCTTCATATACATTGCATTTCCATACATACACATACAATGATCCTTCTGCGCACACACACACACACACACACACACACACACAATCGTATACATGTACACATAATCTCTCTATACCCGTGGAAGCTTCAAAAGGTTCATAGAAATGTAGATTACTTTCTTGAAAAATTTTATTTCTTTAGCTTTTAAAATTTTATTGGAGAGCCTGGCACAAAGGCTCATTGGTTAAATCCTCGCCTTGAAACATGCTGACATCTCATATGGGTACCAGTTCATGTCCTGGCTGTTCCATTTCCCACCCAGCTGCCTGCTTATGGCCTGGGAAAACAATAGAGGATGGCCCAAAGCCTTGGGACCCTGCACTCGCGTGGGAGACCTAGGAAAAAGCTCTTGGCTTCTGGCTTCTGGCTTCTGGCTTCTGGCTTCAGATCAGCTCAGTTCTGGCCCAGCTGGAAAGTGAGCCAGCGGGGCTGAGATTTGAACCTAGGGACTCTGCTATGGGATGCAATCATCCCAAGCCGTATCTTAACTACTAAGCCCAATGCATGCATTTGTGTTTCCTTGAACTGTATATTCCATGAATTTCTAGAAGTGCCCTCTTATAAATATAACTCAGATACACAAGCACATGCACACAATCCACCTGAGATAAACAAGGAGATGGCGTTAACGGGGAGGTGGCTACTTCCACCAAGCCACCTGCTACTCCTGCACCCCAGGACAGCTCCCTTGGCTACAATAAGCCATCACCTCTGTGTGAGAGGTGCTGCCTCTTGTGTCAACTCGAGCTATTTTCGCCACTCTGGTGCCTCGGTTTTCCCACATGGAGAGACTGTTGGTTACCACTGTCTGCCTGCCTACCAAGGAGGCTCTGTGGAACCCAGGATCAGTCACAGCCAAGCTCCAGGTGGGACAGAGAACTTTCAGGCACCTGGAGGAGCAGCGCTGTCCTTGTCAGGAAAGCTTACCTCTATGTCTGACAGTCCCACTCGGAGCCGTTCTCTTTCAAGGCGGATCTGGGGCCGTACTGGTCGGAAGCCAGTCCATTCACCTACAATCCTTGCATTCTGGAAGACAAAGTGCTGGTAACTCAACACAACAGCAACTCAACTCTTGATTGGTTTTTTTTCTGCCGTTTCTAGGTTACTACCTAGAAGTTTGATTTTTAACATCTCATAGGTCATCATCAGCAAGACTAGCACCATCTCATTCACCTTAACTAGTCGTTGTCACATTGTCACTCTATCAGCTACTGCCATCATTATCATCACTGCACCATCCATCAGCTATTCCACCTGTGTGCACACCTGTGTCCACACCAACACCAGCCACAGCCAACCAATTCTGAACATTTAAATTTGTATTTGTTTTAGTTATTTGACAGACAGAGAGACACAAAGAGAGCTCCCGTCGACTGGTTCATACTGTAAATGCCCATTATGGTTAAACCTGGTCAGGATGAATCCTGGAGTTAGGAACGCAATCTCCCACATATGTAGCAGGAACCCAGTTATTTGAAGCATCATCTGCTGCTTCCTAGGGTGTGCATTTGCAGGAAGCTGGAACTGGAAGCGGAGCAGGAACTCAAACCTTGGTGCTCCAATAGGGGACTGAGCTCCCCATCTGGCAGCTTAACAACCTGGACCAATAGCCACCAGCACAGCCACAATATCCCCAACAGTCACCACCTCTTTGCCACCATTATCACTGTACTTAACACTTTCGTCACCATCACTGCTAATTTTGTGAAGGAAGATGGCTGTTCAGATGTCATTTCAGCAAGACATAACCCTTAGCCATGATCAGATAGCTTTCCTTGGTCCACTACCAGGCCTTCCTGCACATTGTCAAATGCTGGTGTGTTTCACAACCCCTTCCTGGATCAGTCTGCCCTGATTTCCCCACTGGGGTTATAATCCCATCTTCAAGTGTCCTCCTGATCAACATGGTCTAGGGCGCTGGTGTCCCCCCACCCCACCTTACCTCCAGTGTGGGCTCCAGCCTGCAACAACCTTTCCAAATGGTGTTATGGTCATCAATATTGTTGGCTTCACTCCAGTTTCCCATCTGGAAGATGCCTCCAAGAGTCACTTCCTGGAGCCTAGACAAAAATCAGGAGGGGTAAAAGATAAAGGACAATGAAGGCTTTAAGGTGAATAAAGCTAACCCACATGCTCACCAACTCTGCTCACTAACCAACATCATCAACCCAGCCATCCTTCGCTACCACCATGAACATCACCATCAATACCAGTCACTAACTCTATCACCACCATTAATATCACTACTGGGGCTGGTGCTGTGGTGTGGTGGGTTAAGTTGCCACCTGTAGTGTTGGTATTCCTGATAAATACCACTTCAAGTCCCAGCTACTCCACTTGCAATCCAAGTTCCTTGCTAATGCACCTGGGAAAACAGTAGAAGACGGTTCAAGTACTTGGGCTCCTGACACCCATGTGGGAAACTCAAGTGAAGCTCCTAACTTAGGTTTGGTCATTGTGGCCATTTGGAGAATGAATCACCAAATAAAAGACCTCTCTCTTTTCCCTTCTCTCTGTCTGTGTAATTCTGCCCTTCAAATAAATATTTTAAAAGCATCACCATCAACCCCACCACCAATTCTGCTACCACCATGAGTATCACCAACAATTCCATTCTCTCTATCAAAAATACCATCTCCACCATTGCCTTCACTACCACCATTAATACATTCTCAACCCCAATGACCATTGTTACCCATCTCTATCATGTCATTAACATCATCATCAAGATGTCAGTGCAGCCACACCATTAGCCTGACCTTTGGGATAACCATCACTGATATCCATCAGCACCAACTGCCATCCCCACTGCCAGTCCTCACTGTATTCACACACACGACACAATGGCTCAGTGGCTAAATACTCGCCTTGAAAGTGCTGGCATCTCATATGGATGCTGATTCATACCCAGACTTCCCCAGCTCCCATCTAGCTCCCTGCTTGTGGCCTAGGAAAGCATGGAATACGGCCCAAAGCCTTGGGACACTGCACCCATATGGAGACCTGAAAGAAGCTCCTGGCTCTTCTCTTGAATTTGGCTCAGCTCAGGCCATTGCTGCCATTTGGGGAGTAGACCAGCACATGGAAGATCTTTCTGTCTCTCCTTCTCTTTGTAAATCTAATCTACCTTTCCAATAAAAATAAATCTTAAAAAATATTCCATCAGCACATGACCCCTCTGAGGGAAAACCACATCCAAACCATAGCATTCCTGGTCAACATGGTATCTTCATCAACACACCCTCCAGCTACACCAACACCCTCACTCCATCAGTACTACCTTCTCCACCAACAGCAATACTATTTCCCACCACAATCCCACTGCAAATTCCACCACCATTCCACTGCAAACTATAACAGCATCAGTGTAGGTTACCATCTCCATGAACACCATCACTACCACCCCAATGTTCATCTCAGCCCCACTTGCATTGTTGCCATTGACACCATTCAGTATCACCACCATTGTCACACCCACTGCTTTGTCTCCGGTTCCCCTCCACTCCCAATCCTGCCATTCCAAAGACTGTTCAAGACAGAGCCCAACCAAGGCCAAGTCCTGCCTTCCGAGAGGTGCAGTGGCCCCAAAGCACTTGAAAACATTAGAAGAAAAGGACGGCAGGGATAACATCAGGAAGTTGAGCGGGCAGCAGGTGCACAAAGAGGGTGTCCCAGGTGCCCTTGGGACAGTGCAGTTCTTACCCAGGGATGATGTATGGGGATTTATAGATGCCTCTTTCTGAATCATGGGTGATAATGAAGTGCTTCATCCAAGGGGCCTCCACCTGTGGATTGAGAACTGAACAGTCCCATCCGGGGCACTGGATCAACAGACCAGCTTGCCCTCCCTTCCTTCTGCAGCCAGACATTGAACAAGAGTAGCCATGCCAATTCCTTAGCCCGCTCATGACTCTTTGGCCCAGTCCACACCTGACTGCTTGTCTCTCACAGAAAGAGCCACTCTGATTAGCTGCCCCTTCGCTCCCCAAATCACCCACATGTCTCTAGGAATGTCACTGAATGCCCCAGCACGTGTGTGTCAGTGTGTACTCACATTAGCTCACGTAGGAATGTGTGCACCTGCCCATCTCAATGCAGCTGTGGACTCACGTATCCACATGCATGTGCCCAAGCCCAGGGATAGGCACTCACTCACACACACGCACCCACACGCACAGCTTGGCAAGAAAAGGTGATTGCAGGTGTAGGCTCTGAAGCCAGACAGCCTGGGTTCTCATCCCAATCCTCCCCTTACCACTATGTGAACTTGTGCATATCTCGTAACTCTTCTGGTCTCAGTTTTTTTTTTCTTCTGTAAGCCCACCACAATAATAGGAGGGCTCAAAGGGCTGGGGTAAGGACTAAATCAGTGAGTGCTGAGACCGCTGTGTGGCACTAGAAAAAAAAAGTCCCAGATGTTTGCTCTTCCTGTTACGTTCCAGGCATGCGCAACTCTGACATGTAGATCAGGACTTTGCTATCAAGAGGAAATCCTGATCAAGAATGTTCGGCTGAGCATCGGTAGGTTGTCGAGTCTTTCCCATGGGGATTTCCTTCTGTGCAGGCTCCTCCAACAGATGAACCTGCTTCATCTTCTCCCTTGTGGAGTGGGTAAGCATGCAGAACAAGGTTACCCAGCAAAACGAGAGGCGTCACCTGTCACTCACCTTAATGATCTGCCCCCGGCCAGGCTGCAGCAAAGGGTCTGGTTGCAGCGCTCCTGCCCATACCCCGGTACAGTTGACAATCACATCAGCACCTCCTCTTGCCACCTGACAGCAGCCAACAGGGCAGGGGGATGAGTCCCCTGGGAGACCCTGTCCCGCTCTTTTCCTCCTGCCCCAGGAGCTATGGGACAGCAGCGAAAGATCTCAGCATTTGAGAATGAGTGAGCCTTGTTCCTCAGGTGTCGCTCCAGAGCCAATCCAGTGTGGGTAGGTCCTTGTTGTCTAATACAAGCAGCTGCAAGTGCAGAGCACTTTTCGCACACCAAGCATCTGTCTAGGTGCTGGGGTAGAAGGAAGTCAGGGCCTGGTGATGGCTGCTGTTTTTTCTATTGCTCCAAGCAGAACTGTGACTGTGGACGTGGGCCAGCTGCAGGCCTGCACTTGGCAGACACATCAGCCCAGAAGTCAAGAGAAAACAACCAAGTACTTGGACCATGAGGCTGGAATGCAACTGATATGGGGGGGGAAAAAAAAAGAATCTTTCCATAAAGCTCTCTACAAGTTACATATAAATTAGCCCCTAAGGGACCAGCGTGAGGCCACACTCTTTTGTTCCTGCCATCCACATTAAGCCAGAGACTTCCACCCTCAGACTGTCTGACTCTTTCTGGGACTGAGAAAAAGCCTAGAGACTGGGTGCAGGACTTAGGGTACCCCAGGAGCCAGAGACGCAGCCCCCCACTTCCACCACCAAACCAACAACAAGAAGCAGAGTTGTTGCTCCGGTCCATGCCCCATAGCCCTGTGGCTTACCTCCTCAAAAGACTCCACCTGGCGCTGGAAGAGTTTCACGCCTCTCTCTGTTAACCTGGGAGGATCAGACACACCGAAAAGTCCAGGATTCAGTTCTCTATGCCATCTGTCCAAGAGGGCGGCCTGGGGGACATTCGCCCCCAAAGAACCTTCTGTAGATCTGAACTAGTGAAAAGGAGATCTCTTTCCCTGTCTCTCCTTCTCTCTATAAAATCTGCCTTTCAGATACTAAATAAATATTTACCAAATACATATGTGAATATAAATATCGATGCATTCTTCAAGGTAAAGTCTGTTAACCTGAAACACTATCAGATTCCTATTAAGGTCAGAATTAAGACAGGACATCCATTAGCACCTGTATCAATTAGTGGTAAAAATAGAAGGTCACCTACAGTTTACTAATGATGTGATTGTAAACCTTAAGAGAATCCATTTAAAACTATTGCATAAAGATTAGGGATGATAGTGGGTTGTTAACAGATATCATATGGGGAAGTTGCCTAGGTTTTTTTTTTTTTTAAGATTTATTTATTTTGGGCCCGGCGCGATAGCGTAGTGGTTTAAGTCCTCGCTTTGCATGCGCCGAGATCCCCCATCTCTCTTTCTAATAAAAATAAATAAATATTTAAAAAAAAGATTTGTTTATTTTTACGAGAAAGTCAATATACAGGTAAGAAGAGAGACAGAGGGGGAGATCTTCTGTTCATTGATTCACTCCCCAAGTGGCTGCAACAGCCAGAGCTGAGCTGATCCGAATCTAGGAGCCAGGAGCTTCTTCCAGGCCTACCCACACAGGTGTAGGGTTCCCAGGTCGCAAGCAGGGAGCTAGATAGGAAGCAGGGCCACTGGAACTTTAGCCTCTAGGCTACCATGCCAGGCCCCTGCCAAGGTGTTTTTGATGCCCAATCAGGTTCAGGAAGCCCCACTTCTACCAGGAATAGTAGTAGTCAGGACCAAGGAGAGATCCCACTTTGAGCTTTCTTCAGCTTGGGGTTGGCTGGTATTTTTCCACTTTTGCTTCTGCCCCAGGAGATGCCCTCCACAAGCCACAGCGGAAATTCTTACCTTTTAGTCAGCCACTGCAGGTAGCTCTTCCCCTGCAGGACCAGGCTTGTGTTGAACCAGCCGTAGCTAAAGTTACACAGGCAAAAAGAAAAAAAGGAGGGGTGGGCATCAAGTCAAGATCAGAGCTGTTATTTGAGGGCTGTTAAGTACAAGTAGGTACAGTGTGGTTCTATGGCCTCCCCACGGGGTGGGCCAGAACTACGGAGTGAAATTCAAGGGCAAACGTAGTTTTCAACTCAATGCAAGAAGTGTCCGTCAGACAGTCATCCCTGATGCGGGCTATGCAAGTGGAGATTTGGATGAGCGGAAGTGGAGGAGGGTCAAGCAGGGGATGGAGTGGGAAGAGGACCAGATAGGCATCAGGGAGAGAGAGAGGTGTTTACAGCCGCACAAAGAGGATTGGAATCCCGCTTTGCTCAGTGGGCTGTATGATCTTAGCAAGCCAAGACGCCTCTCTGAAGCTCCGTTTTCTCCTCTGCCAAGCCAGTTGCAAGGTGGAGCTTCTGAGCCTGAGGTCTGGGACCCCACACTCTCGTCTCCTCCAGTTGGACCAACGGTCTCACTGAACGAGCTGGACTGGGGCTTCCATCCTTGGCTGCCTTCGGGGCAGCTCTGCCTGAATTGTGGGGCCTCAGCTCCTCTACCCGTGACAATGTTCTTACCTATAATCAGGGAACATGTCCAGCTCTCTGGGAGTCAGCTTCCGAAATCCCAGAACTGTGTCCTTCCAGAAAGGGTCCTGAGAAGGCGGATGGGAGTAGGGGAAGTTTGGGGAGTCCGAGGATAGGTAGAATTCAATGATAATGCTAAAAACTTACAGAACACTTTCTGGGTGTGAGACACTGTACTTAAACTGGTGCAGTTAATCTTCAGAATAGTTCATTAAGTTGGATATGATTCTATTTTTGAGACTTATTTATCTTTACTGGAAGAAGATTTTTTAAAAAAGATTTATACATTTTAATTGGAAAGGCAGATTTCTAGAGCTGAGGAGAGACAAAAAGATCTTTCATCTGCTGACTCACTCCCAAAATAGCTGCAAAGGCTGGAACTAAGCTGATCTGAAGCCAGGAGCCAGGAGCTTTTTCTGGATCTCCCATTGGAGGCACCAAGCGCTTGAACCATCTTCTGCTGTGTTCCCACGCACAATAGCAGGGAGCTGAATAGGAAGTGGAGCAACCAGAACTTGAACCATTACCTGTATGGGAGATTGGAACTACAGGTGGCAGTTTCACTCAGTATACCATAATGCCAGCCCCCTAAATGGGTCTTTTAATTGACTTTGGGTCTTTTAAATTGACAATGTTTGGAGGTTCTTATGAAATAAGGGTGAAAGTAAGATCAAGGGTGAATGATGGGACAAAGATCGGAAATAGGAGGGAAAGGAGGCCACACTGAGAGCCACCAAGTGGTCAGAGTCAGAGGCAGCAGGACCCGGGACAGACCCCTGGCTGGAGGCCTGGCCTTCCCACTGTTCTGAGACTGGGTGTCTGTGCTCTAGGGTCTGTCTGGTGGCTCTTTAGAAAGGTAATAGGTAAGTGGATAAAGCCTAGTAGAGACCTAACAACTGCATGAACTTAAGAGGGATCAGAGGACTCTGAGCCAGGGGCACCCTCCCCAGGCAGCCCTAGCATTCCCCTCCTCTCCCCAGTTCCATTCCTCTGAGCATGCTGGGCACCATGTGGCTGCAGACAGCCTGGGTTCACATCTCAGCTTTGCCCATGAAGAGCTTTGTGACCAGGCTGGCGCCATGGCTCAACAGGATGATCCTCTACCTTTAAACGCAAGATACCACATGGGTTCTGGTTTATGTGCTGACTGCTCCATTTCTGATCCAGCTCCCTGTTTGTGGAGGATGATCCAAAGCCTTGGGACCCTCATCCAAATGCACTATCTGGAAGAAAGCTCCAGGCTTCAGATTGGCTCAGTTCTAATTATGCAGCCATCTGGGGAGTAAACCAGAAGATGGAAGATCTTTCTGTCTCTCCTTCTCTTTGTAAATCTACGTTTCCAATAAAATAATAATAATAATAATAATAAATCTTAAAAGGCAGAGAGAGAGAGAGCTCTTCTTTGTGACCTTGAGCAAGTTTTTCCATTTCCCTGAGTCCATTTTTTGATCCTCAAAATATGGATAAAAATGACACTTCCTGGTGATAGAATGGATTAGGTGAATCTCTGGTTCTCATTGGCAAAGGGGCGTGGAGTGTAATCAATACTTTATCCATTTTTGCTGCCTGTTTGAACTTATAGGTTCAGGGTCCCTATCCAGGCTCTGTCTGCCTCCCTCCAACCAGCCCCCGAAACTCAGTGGCCAAGGACCCACACTTACCGGGACAGCATTGCGGAAGAGATTGTAACCCGAGATGAGGGCCAAGCCCATCGTCTCAGCGCTGGGGGAATGGACGTGGTTCAGGAGGTAGTCAAAAGTCTGCTGGTTCCAGTGCCTGCAAGAGTCACCCAGCATTCCTATCACCTAGTGTTCTGAGCTGGGTGACAACCTCAGGAAGACAGTGTGCCTGGGGCCATGGGACCCCCCAATCCAGACAACCACATGGTTGCTCCTGCAGTGGCCCAATCTCCTGGGGGTCAACCCCTCGAGAATGTGCCAATATTTCCCCATCAACAGGATGTAGAGGGAGAGACAGTAGGTGTCCCAGCACCACCATTTGAAAGGCAGTAATGACTGGGGACGACATGGTAGATGACTTCATGAAAGCATGGATCTGGTTTTGGAGACTGTGAGCCAACTGATTTGAAATCATTTTCATCTTCCTTCTCGGTACATAGCTCAGTTTCATTGTCTATGAGGGATCATCAAATGGCCATATTCTAGCCAATAGGCATCAAGAGTCTCCAAGAGATAATAATGGAAGGCAATAGAGCATAGGGTCAGACATCCATATGGAAGCCCTACCCTCACTACCTCCAACTTTGGATTTTGTGAGGTTCAGTTTTCTCATCTGTATTATGGAGTCAGTCTGTTCTCTATCCATGTGATCCAATGTGGACTCCTCTGGTGATCACCACCTGGTGAAAACAGTGACCTGGGTGCCACCGAGAGAGAGAGAGCAGAGCCATGGCATGGCAGGAGCCAGCCCAGGGATCACTGTCCACTGATTAGGAACATCAGTTTTGGAGTTAATGGGAGTGAGCAGCATCAAACTTTCTTTTTGGTCACAACGAGTGGAAGGCCTCGTGTGTTGAAGGAGCTGGCAGTCTCAACCGTGACATGATGATCTTTGCAACTTCTTTGATGCATCAAGCATTGATCCACCCACTGGGACCTAGACCAGACTCACCGATGTATCCAGTGCTGACAGCCATCCGTGTAGGGAAGAATGGAAGTAAAGGTGCCTAGCACCTAGTTCCAGACACCGAGCAGGGGCTGACTACCTACTGGTGTTTTCCTTATGCTGTGTTAACGGGGCACTTCCACCAAGGGCTCGTCCTGCCATTGGGAACCCTGAAACGAGGCATACCCTCTGCAGGTTCAGCCCCCTGCTGCTCCCCCTAAGGGTGCCCCCTGTGGGACCCACACTCACACTTCTTGTGGGTTGCTGGAGTCAGAGAGATAGGGCTGCCAGAGACCAGCAGCCACATCGGTGGTGGTAAGCGGGGTGAAGCGGTCTGCATAGACCTTCACATCCAGCGGCTGCAAGACCGAATGATAGCACTCGTGGATGCAGAGGGCAGTGGACAGCCCAATGACCCCCGCGCCGATCACCACCACGCGCATGGGACTGGCCTGCAGGAAGAAGGAAAGGTCATCATTACATCCACCACTGTCACCACCACTGCTATCATCAGCTGACGACTTACAAAGTAACACCTCCCAGTAGTAAAGAGGATTATTCCCATTGTGTGAACAAATACTGAAGCATGGAGAGGAAATGCTACTTGCCCCAGGTCCCATGGCTGGCAAGTGATGCACTGGAGAGCATTTCTAGACATTCTGTCCCCTGGGAATGGAGGGAAAAAAAAAAAAAAAACGGGCACGGCATGGTGGCCTAACAGCTAAAGTCCTCGCTTTGCACGCGCTGGGATCCCATATGGTTGCCGGTTCTAATCCCAGCAGCCCCACTTCCCATTCAGCTTCCTGCTCATGGCCTAGGAAAGCAGTTGAGGACAGCCCAAAGCCCTGGGGCCCTGCACCCATGTGGGAGAACAGGAAGAACTCCTGGCTCCTGGCTGTGGATTATTCCCCAAGTGGCCACAACGGCCAGAGCTGAGCCAATCCAAAGCCAGGAGCCAGGAGCCTCTTCTGAATCTCCCACACGGATACAGGCTCCCAAGGCCTTGGCCCATCCTTGACTGCTTTTCCAGGCCATGAGCAAGGAGCTGGATGGAAAGCAGGGCTGCTGAGATTAGAACCGATGTCCATATGGGATTCCAGCACATGTAAGGCAAGGACTTTAACCATTGGACTATCACACCAGACCCAATCATTGACCCATTTCTAAAAAGAGAAAACTGAAAAGCAGAGTGGTCAAGGTCACACAGTTAGCAAGCAATTTTGTAAACATAACAGCCACTGGTTGTACATCTCCTAAATGCCGAGCTGGCACCTTGCTGATTCGGCTGGCAGCACATCTGAACCAGGTTATGCCTCATGCTCTGTCTTCTGGCACAGATCTCAGCCTACCTCAGGATGCTGGGCTGGCCAGAGCCCTTTCTGCATGGACAAGACCTGGAAATTTTTAACCTTGAAATAGCTTTTGACCTTGAAGTTGTTCTGCCCTGCATAGCAGGCAACTCCTGCTGAGACAGAACAAGAGGCTTGCCTGTGTCCAGAAGGGCCAAGTTCAACTTTCCCCCCAGTTCTCTTCCCATGTGCCCTGACTCCTAGCAACTGGGGCCTGTGGCCCTGAGCGGCAGGGCATTCTCAACGTGGCCTACTTCTCCAAAGAGGGGAGCAGCTTCAGTCTGCAAGAACTGGACTCTGTCAGGATCTCAGGTGCCAAGTCAATGATACAACCAACCAGCAGAAAGAGGTTGCTCCTAGAGCTGTGAGTCTGGGGGAAATGGGGAAACCCCACCAGGTTTTACCCTTCCTTTGTCATCCATGATTTACTTTGAGAGACCTAATCTCCTCTTTCACACAAAAGGGGTAACCGCTGCCCCCATCTCATGGGGCCATCCTGAAGATAAAATGACAAGTTCAACGAAAGATTCTAGTCAAGACCTGGCACCACAGCGGGCCTCCAAGACACAGAAACCCCCCTGCTAATCTCTAGCACTTTAAAACTCACATTGGAAAGCAACACTGGATGAACAGAAGAGAAGAAAAAGCAAAATCTGGCTTCACTTCTGTGTGACTTTGGCCGCGTCATTTCCCCTCTCAGGGCCTTCTAGCTGCCTGCATAATCTTTGGAGACAACCACTCCTGTTTTTTTTTTTTGTTTGTTTTGTTTGGTTTTTTTGTTTTTTTATTTATTGGAAAGGTAGATTTACAGAGAGGAGAGACAGACAGGAAGATCTTCCATCAGCTGGTTCACGCCCCACAGTAGATGGAGCTGAGCTGACCTGAAGCCAGGAACTTCTTCCTTGTCTCCCATGCAGGTGCAAGGTCCCAAGGCTTTGGACTGTCCTCAACTGTTTTCCCAGGCCACAAGCAGGGAGCTGGATGGGAAGTGGAGCAGCCAGGAAACGAATCAGTGCCCATCTGGGATCCCAGCAGATGCAAGGCAAGGATTTAACCACTAGGCTATTACACCAGGCCCAGCAATCACTCTTATACCTCAATGACAAGACAGAGGAATAAAAGATTTTTCTGCATTTTGCCAGTTCCGCATGGTGAATCCAGAGTCGACATGGTGAGACTAACGGCCAGGCACACTCAGGCTCATGGTCTAACTCTAACACCCATCAGATCAGCGACCTTGCTCAAGTCATTTAACTGAACAAGGTGACCCACCTCCCCTGTTTGCTCAGGGCCAAGGGGGTTCCAAAGATGTCGATTTTCATTGTTAAAATGAGGAGATACTTAAGCAAAACCAAGATGAGCTGTCAATACTCACGGGGCCTCAGTTTCCTCTCCTATACAAAAGTTCCCACCTCGTTGTCTCCCCATCAGAAGCTCGACAACTCCTTGAGAGCAAAGAGTTTGGTCTTACTTGTTGCTTCATCTTCAGGGCCCACAGTTGTAAGAGGCATGCAGTGGAAACGTGATGAATCAATGGATGCATAAATGGCTGATGAAGAATGAATGAATGAATAGATGGAAGGATGGATGGAAGGTTGGATAAATGAGTGATGAATGACAGGTGGATGGATGGATGATGGATGGATGGATGGAAAGATGGATGGATGAATGATGGAAAGTTGAGTGGGTGGGTGGTGGGAAAAGGAGAATGGGTGGGTGATGGATGGATTGATAGGTGGATGAAGTTCTCATGAGGACCAGAAAAAGAAAATATGTGTAAAGGACTTGGGGAGCTCACAGGAGACAGCTGTGAGGACCACTGCCTCCCAAAGAGAGGCTGAGGCTCCCCCAAAGTAAGGTCAGTCCTTCAGGATCATAACAGGAAAGAGGAGTGGGGGAGATGAGGTAAGCATGGTCTGCGTTCTCCAGAGCCCATTCCTTTTCCATCCTCACACCACCTAGAGAGTCAGCAAACAGAAGACAGAGCACCAAGGGAACCACTTAGATAACAGCACTGTCTGAGACGGGACAAAGAAAACATTGGAAATTACTAGGAGGCCCAGGGAAAGAGACTTCAGAGCAAAGTACAGTTGTCCTGTGTACAGCTCTAAGTCAGGGCCAGGGGAGGTCAGCATCAAAGCCTTCAGTGGAGGGCAGAGGCATTGGCGTAGCCAAGTTAGCCGCCTGTTGGATCCCCACATTTCAAATCAGAGCATCATTTGACTCCCAGCTCCTCTGCTTCCCATTCAGCTTACTACAAATGTGCCTGAGAAAGCAGCAGAAGCTGGCCCAAGGGCTTAGGTCCAGGCACGCTCATGGGAGCTAGATGGAGTTCTTGGCTCCTGGCTTCAGTCTAGCCCAATCCCAGCCATTGTGGCCATTTGGAAGCGAATCAGCAAATGGAAGATCCTTTCTCTGTCTGTTGCTCTGCCTTTAAATAAATAAATCTAAAATAAAGCACATCAAACACAAAATGTTCAAATGAATTTTTACTGCATTGATGGAAATATAGAATTGAAAAGGGACACTGTAAGTCCTGAATCAATGATTATTAGAAAAAACCCACACATGTTGTATGAATCAGATTGGATACTGATGATATTAACTGTGTATATGTGTATACCGAAGGGCAGCATAAATGCATGAGTTATTTATTAAAAGCAGGAGCTTAGTGCCCATCACGGTGGCCTAGCAGTTAAAGTCCTTGCCTTGCACACACAGGGATCCCATATGGGCTTCAGTTCGTGTCCCGGCAGCACCTCTTCCCATCCAGTTCCCTGCTCGTGGCCTGGGAAAGCAGTTGAGGATGGCCCAAGGCCTTGGGACCCTGCACCCACGTGGGAAATCTGGAAGAAGCTTCTGGCTCCTGGCTTCAGAAACTGTGGCTGTTGTGGATATTTAGGGAGTAAACCAGCAGATGGAAAATCTTTCTCTCTGTCTTTCCTTCTCTCTATATATCTGACTTCGCAATAAAAATAAATAAATCTTAAAAATAAAGAGTAGAAGAAGAAGAAGTCAGAGCCTGGATGTAGCACATGACAACACCAGCCTCAAGGATCATCCCTCGTGCACATGGGTAATGAACTTTGGAACTCCAGTGCACTGGGCTGAGCTACGAAGTCAGCCGTTTTCTTGCTGCTTCTGATTGTTTTATGGGTTCTGTAGTTCCCCTCTGTTTTAGGCCATTACTTCAACCAACCACTCTCAGGAGATGCACCCAAGAAGGTGCAAGCACCTGGGACCCCCAGAGAGGCCTGTGCCAGCGATGACAGTGTCCGTGCAAGCCAGGAGCAGGATGGAAGCAGATGTTGGTCTCAGTCACTGGCAGACACGATCTTCTTAACCATCTTGCATCTGGAGGGTAACACCCTTATTGTCTGCATTCTACAGACTGGGTTGGAAGCTCGAGGAGGAGCAGTTACTTACTCAGGGTCCCATTGTCAGTATTGGACAGTGACCAACTCTGGGCCCAGGTCTGTCTCAGGCTGTTGCACCACACCATAAATATATTTGTATGCAGACAGGCAGCAGCAATTTGGCACTTGATACGTTCTGCTGTCTTTTGTCCTGTGTTCATTTGCTTAAGCCTTCTTTTGTCCCCGGAAAAGCAATTCAGGCTGTTGATTGCTACCTGCTCATAGCAAAGAATGTGAGAGTCTTGTTCCAAGAAAACTCCACGGGTGCAGCATTTCAAAGAATAGTGTCACACATGCACACACACACACACACACACACACACACACCATAGTGTGCCACAGAGCCACTTCTTATGAGGCTGATATTTTCAGTTTATCTTTTACTTGAAGGTTTTGTTTGTTTATTTAAAAGGCAGGGTGACCCACGGAGAAAAGAACACACATACAGAAGGAGAAAGATTGAAAGAGAACTCTTTCATTCACCGGTTCACCCCCAAAAAGACTGCAACCCCCAGCCAAAGCCAGGAGCCTACAATTCCATCTGAGGCTTCCACATGGGTGCAGACACCCAAGCACTTAGACCATCCTCCGCTGGTTTCCCAGGCACATTAGCTCAGGAGCAGTTGGGATGTGAAGCATGAGCTGATAGGAGCTGTCAGCTTGATTCACTGAGCCACC